CAATTCACTCTATGATGCCTTTGACTATTGCAGTAACCAAAGAAGATTCATTGGGTAAATTACAGAAAGAACAGTCAGGTTCAACAGAATGCTATTATAAGAGAATCTCCCAACCCAACCCCATCTACAAAATGATGCTTGTTTTTTTCTAAGACATCATGGTAATTTTCATTAAAAATAATAATGAAAAGATGTTTCTCCTAGAGGCATTTAGAGAACCATAATTTTACTTGTGAGCTATTTGTAAGTCTTGCTTGTTTCTGTGGTTTTGTGATATCATAATCATCCTGAACAGAATAACATTTTAATTCACAGGGAGGCAGGACAAGTGTAACCATAAAAGCTTCCAGGCATGCAGATGACATTTTAACATTTAAAACTTAGCACAAGGGGCTGGGCATGTGGCTCAAGCGGTAGCGTGCTCGCCTGGCATGCGTGCGGCCTGGGTTCGATCCTCAGCACCACATACCAACAAAGATGTTGTGTCCGCCGAGAACTAAAAAATAAATAAATATTAAAAAAAAAATTCCTTAGACAAGGAAACTGAGACATAGATAAATGAAGTGATTTCCACAAAGCTACCAAGTGGATTCCGACTCGGGCTTTCTGGCTCTAAGCCTGCCTTCTTTATGATTTTTTGCTTTTGTTCCAAATATCTGGGGTGACTTCAGTCTCTCCTCTGCCCATAGTCCCAGGGTCAGAGCGGCCAAGGTGGGTCCTGAATAGAGAGGGTGCCTGCTCCCTGGGCAAGGCTGTGCCCAAGGCCAAGCAGGGATGTAGAGGGAGGGTAGCTGCAGGGAGAAGCTGGGCTGTGTGGGGGCAGGAACTCCAAGTCTGGAGCTGGTGGGAGCTGTGTCCTGCCCCCAGCCTGCCTCCTCCACCCCCTGCCAGGGCACAGCTGCCCTACACTCGGGCAGGAAGGCTGCCCACCCACTCATGAACCGGTCAGCTGCCTCCCCTGCCCTGGCCACTCTGTGGTCCTAGCATTTGTCATTGTTGGCTGTGAGGAAAGACACGAGACTGAGTCCCTTCCCACCTCTGTCACACATGCACACACTTTTGCAAAGCAGTCTGGTGGTTTCAGGGGGGAGAGGGGAGGAAGTAACTGTGGGCCCATGGCATCTTTGCCATCCTTCAGCAGATGCTATCGAGTGCCTACTCCATGCTGGGCATTGCTGAGTGCTGGGCACCCGGCGATCCCAGTTCAAGAAGCATGTCCTCCTGGGACCTGAGGCTGAAGACCTGCCTCCTGCCAGTGTCCACTTTCTGGAAGCTTCCGATCCTCAGCTGTGCACAGGCTGGAGCCCAGGCAGCACTCCCTGTGGAGTTTATTCCAGCTTGGCCCCTTGCTGTGCAGCACAAGTTATTTATCTTCTCTGAGTCCCAATTCGTTTGCTCATCCTGGAAATGTTTATTGAGCATCTATATGTGGATCCTGCGTCCTAGCAGGGGACACAGTGGACAGTAGCCATACCAAGCAATGCCAGTGGAAACCGTGCCAGGGGCAGCTCATCCCACGTAGAGCATGGCAAGGTGGATTAGAAGCAGGGACAGCCTGCAGTGGACAGCATAAATGGGGGGAGGGGCGATGGCCTCATAGAGGTGATACCAGCCAAAGTCTTGAAAGAGGTGATGGAGAGAATCATGCGTAGATGTGGGGGGCAAAGGTCCTGAGTTAAGAGTGAGTTGGGCACACGGGAGGCACAGAAAAGAGGCCAGGGTGGTTAGGTCCCTTACTAGTGGTGGAGGGCAGGAAGGGGGTTCTCAAATTAAACAGTGTGTCAGATGGTGCCCTGTGCTGAGGAGCAAGCTCTCTCTTGGTGTAAAGGTGATCATCCATGTCCACGTCCCCAGCGGCTCTGCCTGCTGAGAGCCTGGCCCCTGGGGGCCAGTGAACAGAAGCCAATTTTAGCTGCTTCTGCAGTTTGTGCTTGCTCTGGCCTTGCTCTCCGCTGCTGCCTTGTTGTTCTGGTCTGTCCGTGTGCAGGATTTGTCTCTAAGACCAGGAACGTGTCTCTCTCCTGAGCCCACAGCCTGCAGTGGGGGCCAGGTAGACCCAGATCCTRGGTGGTTGGTACCTATGGGCTGGGGCTGGGGCAGAATTGTCAGCCAGAGCATGGGAGCCGAGAGGCCTGCAGAGGCCTGCAGAAGCTCCCGGATGCTGGGCCTGCCTGTGTTCTCGGGCCTCCCCCCAACAAAGTTCCAGTTCTTGATAAAGTGAAGGGAAGGCAGGGTAGTGTAGTGAGCTGGGCCTCAGCTAAATGGATCCCATGTTAAAATTCAGAGATGGTGAGCTTCTGAACTCATGGCAGCAGCCAACAGTAATTGTCTAAAAAGCCTTTATGGGCAAAATGCAAACTTGGCAGCCCCCTGTTCCTGTTCCCCTTGAGCTCCTGACTGGTCCCCCAGGTCTGGGCACCTCCGACCTCAGCTGGCTCTCACTGGACAGATGAGGGATCTGGGACCCTGGGAGGGTCATGGTTTGTCCTCCCAGGTCACAGACAAGGGTGAATTTTCCAATTTTTTGGTCTGAGAATGGGGTAGGGAAGCAGTGGAGGAGAGCAGGGAGGGAGTCAGGATCAAGGGGAGTCCTCGACAAAGCCAACCCCGAGTGGGGCAGTTTCCGGGTTGYAGGGAAAGAAGGACCCAGTCCAGCTAAGTCGAGGCAGGACCAGTGATGGCAGTGAGGCCCCAGTGAGGGTTGACCAAGCCAGCTAGACCCTGTGGGCCCCGGGCTGCTCTCAGTCCAGCTGCAGTTGGGCAGGGGCCCTGCAGACTGGCAGACCCAGGTTCCAGTCCAGCCCCGGGCCTCCTCGGCTATCTGGGGACTTGAGTCGTGTTAACTTGTCAAATCAGAACAGAGTGTCTGGGAAGACCTACTGAGCTGACACAGTGCTGGCCACAATCAATGTCTTAGCAAATGCTAGAGGGCAGCCAGACCCCTCCCACAACCCCCGGAGGGAGGGAGGGAGGGAGCCACGTGCTGGGTGGGTTTCTCCCCTCGAAGGGCCCTGAGCTGAGGTGGAGGAGCCACAGAGAGGCCATATTCTGCCTCACACTCACAATCAAACCTGCTCTTACTGAACGTCGGTATGGTTCTCCCAGGGCTGGTCCCTAGGGAGGCGCAGGTGCCCAGGGAGGTGAATGCAGCCGTGCCGTTTTCCACTAGTGATCGGAACCCGGACTGCCTGCTAGTGATGCGGTTCTCGCCACTTCTYGCTGATTTGAGCCCCTCTGAGGGGCAGCAGGCTAGAGATTAAAGCCCCCGTTTTACAGATGACAAAGCAGGTGAGAGGGGAATGGACTCCAGAGYTGTGGCAGGGAAGATACTAATGTGATACGCTGATTGATAGGAGAATCACATAGTCCYAGCAGAAGTCTCTGGTTATCCCCAGCTGGTGGCTAAGAAAAGAGAGGTGCAGGGGCAGTTGATTGCTGGGATCCCATACCTCTGGACTCAGGGATGGACCCAGGCGCATGGCTGGGGCCCTGGGCTTCCTGGATCCTGGAGTCAGGGCCTGGGCAGGGGTCSGTGGCACAGGCCCCCTGCCAAAGCTGAGCAGTTTCATAGAGCAGACCCTCCAGGCGCCTCCCCAAGCTGCTGAGCAAACTTCCACCCCAGGGTAGAATGGGGATTCGCCTCCGGGGATTGACAGGRAACCAGGGCCAACAGGACGAGCCCTGCCTGGTCATGCCTGGCCGCCCAGCCGGAGGGAAGGCAGCCAGGCTCTGGGGCCATCTGCCCCAAACCCTTGCTCAGCTCTGTTCTTGCCTCGGTAGGAGTTCCTCTGTGACCAGAAGTACAGTGATGAAGAGAACCTGCCAGAAAAGCTCTCAGCCTTCAAAGGTGAGCTAGGGCTGGCTGCCCTGTCATTCTGGGGAGAGCTGGGCTGGCCCTTCGGCCCCTGGCACACGGGACTCCTTAACCTCACAGGACTGGCCTATGACCGGTTCATCCAGAATGTTCCTCTTCCTGGCAGGCTTCGAGGCAGGGGTCCCCTGAGGATTGAAGCAGGCCCATCTCCCTGCCACCGTGGGCCCCTTGCCTGCAGGCCCTGCCCCTCTTTCTGGGCCRCCCAGCAGGACTCAGGTTGGCTCCTGCCCGCCCTGTCCAGCCCCGCTCGCTCCCTGGGCCCGGCACACAATCCGCTCTTTGTGAGCCGTCCTTGCCTCTCCCCCTCAGCAGTGGAGCGTCTCAGGAGCCCCTGTGGAGAATGGACGTTTGTGTCACCACAGTGGGGCAGGGGGGCAGAGTTTCTGCCCATTGAATCCCAGCAGCACGGGATGAAAAGAAAACAGGCCCTGGGAGCCCGCGTGGGGAGAGGGGCAGCATAAAGGTCCCTCTGTTCGGGGCCCTGGTGCTTGGTTCCCAGCCCGCGGCTGGAAAGGAGAGGAGCTGGCATGCGAGGAGCCAGGCAGACCCACCTTTCTCGCCCCGGGGAAGCACTTGGGGCACTGGAGCCCTGGACTCTACAGAGGACACTTGGTAAAAATCCCAGAGGACGCAGCCCCCTCCCAAGCCTCTGCATTGTGAGTGTCCTCCCTGCTCCAAGCAGAGGACCTGCCAAGTGTGCCTCGAATCGCTTAGCTCAGTTGTTCTGCAGCAGGACTTGGAGGGCTAATGATGCCCGTTCCCTAGCAGCCTGCATGGTGAGCTCCCCAAATCACCCCATCCCCTAGGAGGGAGTTGGTGCAGAAAAACAAAGGAACTCAGGCTCGAGGAGGAGATGAAGTGGTGTCCTGGGCAGGCAGTCCCAGGCTCACTATGGCAGAGTCAGCCGCTGCTCACCACCAGGATGCTATGGTGCTTTTTTTTTTTTTTTTTTTTTAATGTTTTAATTTTAATTTTTTTAGTTGTAGTTGGACACAATACCTTTGTTTGATTTATTTTTATGGGGTAGATCGAAACTCGGGCCTCGCACGTGCTAGGCGAGCGCTCTACCACTGAGCCACCACCCCAGCCCCATCATAGTGAGGCCTGGTGGCGCACACCTGGAATTCCAGTGACTTTGGAGGCTGAGGCAGGAGCATTGCAAATTCTGGGCCAGCCTCAGCCACTCAGCAAGGCCTTCGGCAACTTAGCAAGACCCTGGCTCAAATGAAAAATAAAAAGGGGTACAATCACCAGAATGGTGGGGAAGAGCAGGGGAAGAGAAACAGGAAAAAGACCCCTGTGCCCCAGGCAGCCGATTCCCTCCTCTCTGGACATCAGCAGGTCTGCTGGGAGGAGAGACAGGGTCCCAGGGTCTAACGTCCTCTCTACTTGTCTTCCTTGAGATGTAGGATTGGGTCTGTTGGGCAGGACTGGGACCACAGGAAGTCATGTTGGAAAGCAAGCGACTGGAAAGGTCTTTGAATCATTCACTTATTTGCTGTCCAAGTGGGCGCTCACTATGGCACGGGCCCACTGCAGGCCTGGGAACATGGTGGGAACACTGCCGTGCCATGGGATGGTGGGGCAGGGTGGGGAGCAGGTCACGCCAGGCACTTTGGAGAAACATGTACCCTGAGGAGGGACAGGAGTGTTCAGTGGTGATGGAGGGGCCTATTCAGAAACAGGGGTGGGGGACCCCAAAGACATGAGGAATGGGCCTGGGACTACCTGGGAGAACAGGTGGGAGTGGGTGGGAGCCAGGAAGCCATGGGCTGGGGCGGAGGGGTGGGTGCTGGCAGGCCACCTGGAAGGTAGCCGCTTTTCCTGCTGAGGCAGGGTGACCATGCAAGGCTACGTGGTTATGGACATACTGTCCTGTCAGCAGAGGCCAAGCTCATCACCTTGCCTCGTCCACCCTGCTGCTGGAGTTCCAGGACTCCTTGACCCAGGAATTTTAATTCAGAGTCTGTAGGTGAGGTCTGTAGGGAGTGTCTGCCACCATGAGCTATGGCACGCCCAAGGGCATTTCTGTGGGTTTCCAACCCGGGGATCTCTGGGTCACTGGGACACTCTGAAACACCCTTCCTGCCTTTGCCCTAACCCTTGGACTTAAGTCTCCAGGACAGAGAATCTGTTCCAATCACTTGGCAGCAGATTCAGATGCAGATGGCCCATGGGGACCCAGGAGGAAGCAGCTGCCTTCTTAGTACCAGGGTCAGAGTGGCCCCCTGCTGTCTTCGCCCCCAGGTGCTTGTGGGGGTGATGCAGGCAGAGCTATCTTCAGAAGAGACCATGGCTGAGGCCACAGGACTCCATGGCTGAGGAGGGCAATGAGGGCTTTCCAGGACCCAGTCAGCCCCCTCCAGGGGCCCTGGACCCCACAGGGAGAGAGGCCGCTTCCAGGCTAATGCCAGGTGTTGCTTCTCTTTTCAGAAAAATACATGGAGTTCGACCTCAACAACGAAGGCGAGATTGGTGAGTGGCCTGGAGGCCGGGGGCAGGGGCGCAGGGTGGGTGGAGGCCTGGGATCCAAAGCTCCGGCCTCACCGGCAACAGTACAGCAGGGTCAGGCTGGTTCAATGACCCCCATTTCACAGGAGCAGAAACCAAGACTCAGAGGTGAAAGGACTTGCTTGGGGCCCCCAGTGGTTGAGGGGTGGGCCCAGAGCCCAGCCTTTGGTTCTGAATAGGTTCTTCTGCCTCATAGCTACATGATATTCCATTACAGGAATGGACTCATTTATTTTGCCAATACCCAAGTATTGACCATTCAGATGATTTCCAATTTTGACCATGGTGATCCTGTGAAGAGCATCTTTGTACCTGAATCTTGGTCCATTTGCTGGTTATTTCTTCAGAGTAAATCTCGCACATGAGCCTTCTGAAGCATCTGCCCAAGCTTCCCTCCGGAAAGGTCTTGACGGTTTCCAGTCTGATGGGCAGCTGGGGCAGCCCCGTTGCTGTGTGCTGTAGGAACTGCCTGGCTCTGAAGGGCCCTGCACAGTCTGGCACCTTCCTGCCTGCCCTGCCTTACCACAGCGCTCACGGCCCTTAACTCAGCCCCTGCCCAGCCCTGCTCCCGCCCTCCTTCACTTATCCATTGTCCACTGCAGAACAATCCTGAGGAAGTTGCCTCAGATCTCGGTGGTGGCCCCTTGGGGTGTAGTGACTTTTTGGTGCCTCCCTTGTTTTTCTTGAATTTTGTTCTTTTGTTGCTTTTCCTGCTCCGAGGGATATTTTTGGCTCTCTCCCCCTTCCAGCTGAGGCCCACTTGAGGACAGCGTGGTGGGAGTGGCAGGTGGCAATTAGTCACCTGACAAAGCTGTGCCCAAGAGGCTGACTTTGAACKCCTGGGCCCAGGCCCACTCCCTGACCTCCCCACTCCCACTGGGCAGTAACTCTCTGGGTAGCAGGAGGGCGGGCACTGGGGCTCACTCTAACCACAGGGGACAGCAGAGATCACTATAATCGTGTGAAGTTCAATGGCTCCATTACTGAGCACCTGGTCTGAGCCAGAGCTTTCCGGGTATCATGCCTCTGAATGACCCCAGCAACCCATTCTGCCGCTGATGAAGCAGGGTTCAAGCTAAATGGTCTGCCCCGGTCGGTCCCGCAGCCAAGGATGGCAGAGCTCTATCCCTCCCGGAGTCTGACTCCAAAAGCCCAGGTTTGCAGCACTGGGCCCGGGATGGAGGAACACTTGTGGCTGCTGATGCAGGGAGCAGATCTCCCGCCAAGCATCTGGGGTGCAGGAGGGGAGCCTTCCTGGTTTCTGAGCTCAGCCTCAGCCGCCTGTCTGCACTGAGTGGACCTGCTTTTCCTCCGGCAGACCTGATGTCTTTAAAGAGGATGATGGAAAAGCTTGGGGTCCCCAAGACCCACCTGGAGATGAAGAAGATGATCTCGGAGGTGACAGGTGGAGTCAGTGACACCATCTCCTACCGGGATTTTGTGAATATGATGCTGGGGAAACGGTCAGCTGTCCTCAAGCTGTGAGTACCTCCCTGTGGGCCTCTGAAGGCACAGCCATTCCCTGGCCAGTGCTGGGGACTTGATTTTTCTGAGCCTCCTATCCCTGCCTGTCAAATCGCTGACACTGGCGATGAGTCTGTCAGCACTTCCTGGGCTCAGTTTCCTCATTTATAAATCAACCCTACTGCCGCCGGGAGGGTTGTTGTGAGCATAAAACAGAATTAAAATCAGTTCTAAAAAGAGGCAGAGTTTGAATCCTGGTGCTATTACTTGTGACCCGAATGATCCTGATTGAGTTACCTGAGTCAGTGAGCCCCAGTTTCTCCATCTGTGAAATGGGATGATATGCATCTTCCTCAAGGCATTGTCCTTCGGGCTAGTGGGATGACACAGGGTTTCAGCCTAGCGCCTGCTCATGGCCAGCCGCTAACAGGGTGGCTGAACTCATGCCCTGAATGTTCTTCCCCACTGAAGAGTATTAGGGAAATTCCCTGGAGTCTTCTTGTCATTTGTCACAGCTGAAAAGGAACCCTTGGCTTGGCTTTTATGACATAAGATTCATTTTTTTTCTAAGTACAAAAGTACACTGTACCTGTCTCATTTTATGAAGGAATTCACCAAAGACCTAGGAGGCTCAGTAGTCAGTTCACCACCCCCTGGTTCAGTCGCTGAGGACCAGAGAGGCTGAGGGCCTAGCTCAAGTCGCTCAGCTGGGAAGCAGCAGGCTGGTATTCAAATCCAGGCTGTTCCCCTCAGAAGTTCCATTTGGAACCCCTTCCCCATACTTGGTTAGGCTTTTGAAGACCCCAGTTTGCTCAGACAGCAAGGACAGGGGAGGGTGCTTGGCCTAGAAGTCTGAAGGCTGGAGCCTCACCCCGCCTCCACGTGGGCCGCCTGTGTGGCAGGGGAGTCACATTACCGCCGTGAGCCCAGCAGCTGCCAGTGTGGGCTTTCATAAGGATCCCCCAGAGGACAGATTCGGGGGGCACTCTGCAGACATGAAGGCTGGGGAGACCTTTCTGGATGAGGAAAGGGATCCTAATGCTGTTGTRTTGTTTTTCTCATTCTTTCCTCCGTCTCCGAACCAGAGTCATGATGTTTGAAGGAAAAGCCAACGAGAGCAGCCCCAAGCCAGTGGGGCCCCCTCCAGAGAGAGACATCGCCAGCCTGCCCTGAGGACCCCCTGCCTCCCACCTTGTTCTTCCTCCCTCCTGTCGCGCTGCCCTTCCCGATCCCTGTGATCTGTCTTGTGCGTCTGCTTGTTCGTTGTGGTGTGTTTGTTTCATCATCTCTTTGTAAAGCACAGATTATCTGCCTTAAAGGGGTTCTGGGTCGGGAGTCTTTAGCCTTGGGCCCCATCCCTCCCTTTTCCCACCTGCCCACGTCCAACAACAAACCAAAAACAGGGCAGGCAGCCAGAAGCCTGTGTCCCCCACTCTTGGAGATGAAGCCGTTCATCCTTCCAGAATGTGTCTGAGCTGAGTTCAGGCTCCAGACCTGGCCCTGGTGAGGGAGACCCTGGGTAGGAACAAGGCTGCAGGGCCTCCTTTGGCCTTTCTTGGACAGCTCCATGCCTCCAGAGCTCCTGGCAGTCCAGCATGTGGCCCCAGCTGACCTCCGCCCTGGTCCATGTTTCTGCTCATCCTCAGGGACATGACGGAGGTGGGGAGGAAAGGAGCTTGGCAATTTGAGTCCCTTAAAAAGGGACCAGAAGGAGCCCTGTAGCCTTGCTTCCTGGCCACATCTTTACAGGCAGCTCAGAAAGATGGTGCAGCCCCACTGACCCTTGCTTGGGCAGTAGAAGGCTCCAGAGGCAGAGGTGAGGCCAGGGGTTTGGGGGAGGGTACTGAGGGCACCAGGATGGGAGGATGAGGAGTCAGTGCCCCTGGAGAAAAGCACCACTGTGAGCCAGGAGCTAAGGCCCAGGAGGTGGCCTTTCTAATGGAAGCCTGCTTGACCCAACTGCTTCTGCACTCGCCTTCCTCACTCCATGTGTTCATTCATTCAGCAGATATTTATTGAGCACCTGCTACAAGCTTTAAGTCCTCCCACTTGGACCTGACACGTGCTGTGTCCACTGACTAACCTATGCTCCCTTTCCAATTTGCTCAAAACCTTGAGCTTGGGATTGAATTGAGGCCACCCTGGGTCCTTTCTTACAGACTCATGGGATTTTAGGGCCCTGATCCACCCTGTAGGCCAGTCCTCTCTGTGGAGGCCCACAGGGGTTAAGTGCCTTGCCGAAAGTCAGGGGGTTAATCTGGGGTGGAAGAGCCTGGATCAGAGTCCAGGTGGTCAGATACCCCTGTCCACACCTCACCTCTGCCTTGGGCTGCCTTATTCACTGTTGAAAACAGGGAAGGGGTGGGAAGGGGCAATCTCCTAGGTCAGTACTTGGGGAAGGCTTCACTGGCTCTGAAGGCCCTGGGCCAGGACTTGCATTCCCCAGGGCCTCTGAGCTGGCGTTGGGTCTTCCCTATCGAGCAGGTCAGTCTCCGCMGTTCTGCCTGCCCTGCAGCTTCCTGGCCCAGTCTCAGAGACCTGCTTCTCAGAACTCATGCAGGAAGTCCTCAAACTTGGCCCCATGTGTTCTGGGTTCCTTTACCCTGTGCACTCAGGACTTAGATGCACTCACTAAACATATTTATGAAACACTTGCTATAGGCTAGGAGTTCAGAACCCACAATAAATGCACAGACTCATGGAATGTAGAGTCCAGGGGGAATTCCAACCCAGACAATGACAGTGAGATGAATATTAGGAAGAGGGTGACTGCCCAGCAGTCCTGAGGTGTCTGGCTTGGCCCAAGCCTGGGCAAGAGTCTTGGAGAAACCTTTGCAAAACCTTAAGGATTGGAAGGTGGAAAGGATTGGGAGTTGTGGCTCCTTACAGGCCCATAATCAAGGGCCCAGGGTGCTGCCCCTACAGCACCCTGAGGGAGTAGAGCAGGCAGGGTAGGAAGACTTGGCCAGGAGAGTTAGTCCTCTGGTCTCAACCAGTTTATAAGCAAAATTTGGCTATGAGTGGCTGAACTTCAGCCTAAGGAGCTGCTTCAAATACACAGGACTAGTTGAAGTTTAAACCCCAGCAACATTCCTCCCTGTAAATATATGATCCTACCCTACCCCCACCCTGCCTTTTCCTCTCCTGAGGTATTAGATTAGCCACTGCCTGACCCCTCCCATTCCTTCTCTCTCTGGGACAGACTGGGACCTTTGGGGAAGAGCAAGCCTTCCTTGACTCCCCATCTATTTAGTGTGACTGTTCCTCTCTGAGAGGAAGACAGAACCAACTAGGTTTATTCCAGTGGGTTCCTGAGATTCAGAAGCCTCAAGGGAAGAGAGAAAAAGGCTGCACCTCCAGAATCTGGAAATGCAGGGAAGAGGGGTTCTCTGCATGCACATGGGGGGAAGTCCCATCTGTCACTTCCTGGAACTTAACCCCTTGGGAGAGAGGGTCTTAAGACTGCTCGCTGGGAAGGGGATCTGTGTGTATTTCAGGTTGTGGCTGTTGGCACCAAGACTCTTCTCTGACTAAGGGCTCAGCTTCTTGGGACTTTTAACTGTCTTCTTTCTGAAAAAGACCAAATTTAACTAATGTAACCAGCAACACAGGGACTGCTAAGTATGGCTTTGTCCCTATGACTCAAAAGGAGTTTGTCAGACAAGTTCAGGTGAATGAAGCTGTGTGTATGTATGTGTGTGTATAAGTACATGTGGGGGATATATCACCTGTACAGATTGGAAATAAAACAGACACATTTACCAGTGGCTTTCTTGGTGTATCTTGGGGATGGATGAGGGTCAGCAAATGCAGAACTAGCTTATACAGCAGCAGATTTTTAAATTTTTTATTTTTTCCTTTTAGTTATACATGACATAGAATATATTTTTTAACTTATCATGCACACATGGAGCCTAACCAAACAGAGTGGCAGTGTTATGCTCGAATTTGGGACCTCCAAAAGACCACCAGAGACCCAAGATCGATGTAAGCAGCAAAGAGGTGTTTATTGCGAGCTAGCTCGGTCCTCCGCACAGCAACTGGTGATGCTGAGAGGCCCTGAGCCCAGGGTTTGCAACAGTTTTATACATTCTTTGGAGAAGGCAGGGACCCCAACATACATCATAGCATCTCTTAGCAAATCATCACACACTGCAGGAAAATCAAATAACAACTCTAAAACATGATTAGCACATTCACTGGCGGGAACAAGTTGGGTGGGGGTGATTGGTTACTACAAGAGGGGGATTCATTTGAACTGATTGGTTTAAGCCAAGAGGGGTGTTGCTGAACTACGGGGTTTCCCAACACCATAAACTACTGGGAGGGTCATCTGGCATCCCAGGTATTTCCCTATCTCATGCTGATTGGTGGCTGCTAGGGAGTTGCTATGGGTCCCCACCTAGCCTGACTGAGTCAGGGACACCTAGTGCAGCAGATCTCTCCTGTTATTTGTAGATAAACAACTTAGCAGGGTGGGAATGTGCCTAGGAGTGCTCTGTGGGCCTTTCCAAGGACAAAGGTCATGTCACTTCCTTGGACAGGCTTTGATCTGAGGTAGAGGCTGGTTTTTCAGCAGAATGTCCCTGCTCCCCCAGCTGACTCAACTTGCAAGAACCTCTGCCCTAGAACATTTATAATTCTGCAACAGAAATCTCTTTTAGGTAGGACTGTACTATCAGCCCATTCCATCTGAACTCTGGCTGAGGGCCACAGGAGAATTTTCTTAACGTCCCTGATTTCATCAATAAAATGTTAATAAACCCCTAGGTGACTAGGAAGCCTTGAAGGTTAAACAACATGCCATCTAATGTGTTTTCTGCAAAACTCAGCACAAATTCTTTAGTGACCAGAAGTGGATATGGCTTTTACTCTGGAAATGATTACCTTGACAGGAGTAAACAAAGCTGGCCTTCGGTGTCCTTTACCATCCCCATTTTTGGCTTTTGTCATTAGACAGATAAAGTCACCTGTGGGGAGACCCTAGTCTACTCACTTTGAATTTATCTGTTTCCTTCCCTCAAAGCCCAAGCCCTCAAAAGCTGTCCCCTGGAAATATCTATAAAGTTCCTAACTCTGGATCGGAAGATAAGAACAGCCACCCACACGTAAGGGTTACTGTAAGATTCCCAGGGAATAAGCTTGTACCGCAGAAGCACGCGCCGCCAATGAATGAAATGAGCCGGTGCAGGCTGCGCACGCGGGGCAGGGAGAGGTCCAGGGCGCAGGCGCGCGGGGTCACGGCCACGCCCCTTGTCTGCTCCCGTTGGCCAATGAGGGCCCGGGCGGCGAGCGCGCGGCTGCCCTGGAATCCACCACTGACGTCACCAACGCGCGCCGGAAGTTCGCATTCCGCCGCGCGCCTCTGGCGCTGAGGGAAGGAAGTTGGCTTTGGAGCGGCCTGGGCTCGGAGCGCAAGGCCGCGGAGGGCGGCGGCGGCGGCTGCTTTGACGAACAGGGCGGCGCGATGGGAGACGAGATGGATGTCATGATCCCCGAGCGTGAGATGAAGGTCAGAGACTGGCCGGGGCCTCCCTCCCCTCCTGGGTCCCGGCGTTGCCGTGGAGCCCCGCCTCCGGCGCCCTCTTGAACAGTGTACCGCGATTCCAGGTCCCGCCGGCCAGCCCGCCGCAGCTTCCCGGCCCTCTTGGCCTGGGGCGCCCCTTGTGCCGTCCTAGCCGCTTTCGGGTGGTGGGCGCAGGAGCGTGGTGTGACTGCTGTTGGTCGTGTGCCAGGCGCTGTGGTGCCCTTTCCAGCACCTGCAGAGGAGTCGCCAACAGAGCAGCAGACCGAGGCCGGAGAGCAGTTTGCCGGGTCACATGCGATCAGGGGACTGAGAGCCGGGCTCCCCCAAGACCCGCCTTCTCACTCTCACTTCTGGAAGGTGGGCCAGGCTTACCTAAGGTAGTACAGGGAAGACCGTCCGCCCTGCAGACCTCAGTTAATCGGACGGGAACACGGTTTTTTTTTTTTTTTTTTTCTGAGAGAGAGAGAGAGAGAGGAGAAAATTATCTTTGAAAACAAATGAATTCATGGAAGACCGGGAGAATCAGGCATGAACAGAGGTTAGGGAAGGTTTCCAGGTCATTCATGTATAAAAGCTCCAAGGTACTAAAGAGCATGACAGTTGAAGGAAATGAAAACTGAAAGTAGGTAGGGGTGAGGGTGAAGTTGGCAGTAGCTATGGCAAAGGAGAAGACTCAGTTTTTTGTTTTTGTTTTTGGTACCAGGGCCTGAACCCAGGGATACTGCCCCCCTGAGCTATACCCTCAGCCTTTTTATTTTGAGGCAGGGTCTCACTAAGTTGCTGAGATCCTCCTGCCCCAGTCTCCTGAGCCACTGAAGTACAGATGTGCACCACTGCACCTGGTGAAGACCAAGTTTTAAAAGGGAAATAGAGTGTTGTGAGATGATGCTGCAGAAGTGGATGGGTATAGCCATGCCTGCCCTTGTAGCCTGTAGTAAGGAGTTTACACTTGTGTTTTAGATGTCCTCACAGCTGGAGCTGCAGTGGTGCACTGTTTGCACACAGTACTTTTAAGATGTCCTTGTAGATTGTTTTCTCTTTCTGTTCATTAGTGTGGCTGAGGGTTTATCAATTTTATTTATTCAAGTACTTTGGATTAGACAAGAGAGTACGAAAGAAAGGGAGGGGAAATGGGAATAGGAAAGATAGTAGAATGAAGCAGACATTATGATCCTATATACACATATGATTTCATGACCAGTGTAACTTGACATCATGTACAACCAGAAGAATGAGAAGTTAGACTCCATATATGTATAATATGTCAAAATACTTTTTACTATCATGTATAACTAATTAGGACAAATAATGTAGCATTTAGTTTTTGCTTAAAGGTCTCTAGTGGACCTTTTGTCTAGTGAAATTTTAAGCATTTGACACAAGTAAGCCAGTTCTTGGCATTTGGTCATCTCTCTGTGGTTATTATTTCAGTATATATTTATTGAGTACTGCATTGGAAGTTAAAACTTACAGCGAGGTTGAGTGATGCTTTCAACATTTAATAATAATTTGTTGAGCACCATGCTGTGTCAAGATTGTGGTGCTTCACTGCACCACAATCCAGGATAAGATTATAAATAATTAAGTGTAGCTTTGATTCAGAGAATAAATACAACTAGAAATTCATTTAAATTTTAGATCAATGTGAGCTGGATTTACCAAGGAAGGCTTCATGGATTTTTCTTTTCATTTATTTCATTCAACAAATATTAATGATTGCTATGCCAGGCATCACCATAAGCAGAGGGAGTCTAAAGACAACTTATATGATCATTACCTTGGGGTTTTAAATATATTTTTGTTATACTGAAATTGTGTCTGCTGGAGTATAAGAACAGACAATTCCTGTTTTTCCCAAATTGACTTTGTTTTGATCCTTCAGGATTTTCAGTTTAGAGCACTGAAGAAAGTGAGAATCTTTGACTCCCCTGAGGAGTTGCCCAAGGAACGCTCAAGTCTGCTTGCCATATCTAACAAGTATGGTCTGGTCTTTGCCGGGGGAGCCAGTGGACTGCAAGTTTTTCCTACTAAAAACCTTCTTATTCAAAACAAACCTGGAGATGATCCCAATAAAATAGGTAAATTCCCTGATTGATGTTGCATAGTAGAGAGAGAGCTATGGTGGCTCACTAGTATGTTTTTTTTTTTTCCCCCAAGAAATCATTTTAATGTTAAAATTAAAACTGCTTTTGGATCTAAGATTGATTGCCAGGATGACTAGTTCCAGGTAGGAACTTTTCTTTGGTCCTTTGTATGTTTCAATGAGCCCTTCCTTGGAGCTCAGAGGAAAGAACTTAGCATTAAGCCATGCTTTGGTTTTGCTCAGTTGAACTTGAGTTCTGGCTCTTCAGGAGAAGAGCATACATAGGTTTTTAGTTGGTACAATAATATCATCCAAATAAGTGGGAATCTGTATTACTTGGAGCATTTGTGGCAAAAATATTTTCAACAAGGGCAGAAGTCACAGTTATAACTATGACAACAGTCCTTGGATTACATAATGCATCATTATATTTCTATGTGAAAATGAAGATTTGTCTGTATAAATAGGTACCAGGCAGTATAGGTTTATGTAAATACAAAAATATTTCATATTGACTTGGATAAAGGGTTTTGGCTCTATGCTTAGAATATGCTGGGTTTTTTTTTTTTTTTCCTTCTTAGTTGATAAAGTCCAAAGCTTGGTTGTTCCGATGAAATTCCCAGTGCATCACCTGGCCCTGAGCTGTGATAATCTCACACTGTCTGTGTGCATGATGTCTGGTGAATATGGTTCCATTATTGCTTTTTTTGATGTTCGGACATTCTCAAATGAGGTAAGCTACTGATAAAATGTAATGTCAGTGTGGAAACCTAAGGAGATTTCCTCATATGGAATTGTAACTTGGAAGTTCCTTAGGTTGGCTCTTCAAGTCTTTTTCTAGATTAAAATATGGGTTGAAAAAAAAAAAGACCTTAGCTGATCCTGTGGCATATGTGTGTCAAGAAGCAGTAATCCCAGCAGCTCAGGAGGCTGAGGCCTTAGCAGATGAGAGGAGACCTCATGGGGGTTGCCACTGAGTGTGAATTCAAAGCCAGCTTCAGCAAGATCCTATCTCAAAAAATAAAAGGGCTGGGGATTGGTCAGTGGTTAAGTGCCCCTGGGTTCAATCCTTATTACCAAAAAAAAAAAAAAAAAAAAAACCAAAGAAAACCCCCTTAACTATATAGAATCATAGGTCTTTGAGACAAAAGGCCTCAAAGAAATTATTTCATACACCACCTTTCACAAATTGTTTTTTTTTTTTTTTAAAGAGAGAGTGAGAGAGGAGGGAGAGAGAGAGAGAGAGAATTTTTTTTTTAATATTTATTTTTTAGTTCTCGGTGGACACAACATCTTTGTTGGCATGTGGTGCTGAGGATTGAACCCGGGTCGCACGCATGCAAGGCGAGCGCGCTACCGCTTGAGCCACATCCCCAGCCCTCACAAATTGTTATCATTTTTCATGAGACAGCCAGTCAGGAAGGCTTAGGTGACTTGCCCGAAACTTCAGAGTTAAAGTAGATACTGTGTTATCTACATGTGAATAAGATATTTGGTCTCTGGCATCCTAATGCCATGTTCTTCCATATAAGTAGTTTACACATGATAATAAGGCTGGGGTTGTGGCTCAGTGGTAGAGCTCTTGCCTAGCATGTGTGAGGCACTGGGTTTGATCTTCAGCACCACACAAAAAATAATATGAAAAAATAAAGGTATTGTGTCCACTTACAACTAAAAAATATTTTTTAAAATGATGATAATAATGCATATGTTTGTACTGACTGTGTATCCTACAGAAAGCATTTATATGTCTTGTCTAGTTTGTGCCTACTGTAACCTCCCATAGTAGGTATGATAATATTCATTTTATGGATAGAAAAACAGACTTWAAGAGTTTAAATAACTGTCCAATGTCCCATCGGAGCCAGGTGGCAGAGCCAAGATTTTAATGTTATTCCTGCTTTTTATTGATTATTTTGCATTTGTATATTCCCCTGCTGGGAATCCCTCTGAGTGTGCTAGAATAATTCATTGCCATTTTCAAAGTTCTGTTGAAATTGTAACAAGTAGATAGGTTTGTAGAGTCAACCCTTTTTTTCATACTTAAGGGAGAACAATGAACTGTGACTTATGAAAACTACTTTCAGTATTTTCCTTTGAATGTTAAATATATCTGTGTATTTATTAATGTATTAATTTGCTTTGCTTCTGTGTATTTATTTTAAAAGGCTAAACAGCAGAAACGCCCATTTGCCTATCACAAGCTTTTAAAGGATGCGGGAGGCATGGTGATTGATATGAAGTGGAACCCTACTGTCCCCTCCATGGTGGCAGTTTGTCTGGCTGATGGCAGTATTGCTGTCCTGCAAGTCACAGAAGTGGTGAAAGTATGTGCCACTCTTCCTTCCACAGTGGCAGTGACATCTGGTGGGTAATAAAGGCTTTCACTTCATAATATACAGTAATGGTAATCTACTTAAAAATTAATTTCTGGAAGTTAAAGTGAATGGTTCTTTGTTTTATGTATAGTTTTGTTGTTGTTAGAATAGATTATATTCTTTATTTCCGTAGATAACGTCTTTGAAGCCAAATAGCATACATGAATTAATTTGAATGTGTTTGGGTTATTTGGAGAAAGAAAGATTTTGGTATTGCTGGCTTAAAATTGTGTTTTTGAGAATATATTCTGTTTCGGTCCAAAAGAGTGGTCCTCTGAAAATCATTTGTACCTTTACAGGAAAAGCATTAGAAATAACAAATAGAAGCAGGAGATAAGTCATAATGAAACCAGAGTTTTCCTGCTTCTGCTGCTGGGTGAGGTTTACATAAGCTGCAGGCCTCTGCAGCTGAGGAAACCTGTTTGTAATGTTAGCAGCTAATCAAGCAGGTATGCCTGCTGGTGTCAGCTCCAAGGGTTATTATACCTGGCAAAGCCCAGTTGTTCTCCACTGATGTTAAGTGGCATGCTAGCAGCTCTTAATGGTGGGCTGTGCTCTCCAGTATTGAAGCATATCCCAGGAGCTTACCACCAATTTCTTCTGAGTTCTTATGAATTTGAAGAATAAAATCCACAATTGAGGAAGAGTGCATAGAAGAGTAGGATATTCACATGGGAAGAAAGAGAGCCCTAGCAGATGAGAGGAGACCTCATGGGGGTTGCCACTGAGTGTGATAGTCCCTGGGTTTATATAGTTCTTTGGTCAAGGCTGTTGGTCAAAATTTATGCTAATCATGTTTTCAAAAGTATCAATGCTATTGGTCCCAAATTTATGCTAATCATTAGGTTTTGGAAAACTGTTAATTCTACTGTTTGGCCCTGCAATCCCATTCAGGTCTGCTATATTTTCTTTTTGCCTTGGCTGGTCGAGAGGGAGGAGATTGAGATCTGAATCCTGGATGCCCAGGGGTTGGGCTGCGGCAGTGGGAGAGGTCAGCCTTCCCTGGCTTGCCTTAGCCCTGGCTTGCAGTGTCTCAGGCCCATGGTGGTGTGGCAGGCTCTATGTGGCTGCAGACCACGCTTACTTTCAGTTCTCAGCAGGGACTGGTGGATTGGCTGTGCAGCTTGCTGGCTGGGGAGCCATGTTGGTGATTGGCTTGTATTATTAAAATGATTGTCCTTTTTTCATCCTGCTGGGTAGGGAAGATCCATGTCTGGCAGAGGAAGGAGAAGTGGTGATTACATATGTAGCTGTTGTGTGATAGGTGGCGTTGGTTTGCTCCATTTTCTTCTATTTTTAATTAGCAACATTTTCTTTTTGCCCAGTGTGCTGGAGCCCCAAAGGAAAGCAGCTGGCAGTAGGAAAACAGAATGGAACTGTGGTCCAGTATCTTCCTGTAAGTTCTTGAACTTCAGAATTTTTTGTAAGTTGCCCACTGTTTGGGGGGTGGTTTGGGAGCCTCTTTGTTGTTTTTGCTATTAGAAAGTAATTTATGCTGGGGTTGGGATTGTGGCTCAGCGGTAAAGCACTTGCCTTGCATGTGTGAGGCACTGGGTTCGATCCTCAGCACCACATAAAAAAATAAATGAATAAAATAAAGGTTTAAAAAAAGTGATTTATGCTCACCTGAACAGTGAATGAAGAACAGAGTGGAACTCTTTCCTTTACCCCCTAGTCCTTCCAGTGGTACCCACTGTTTTCTGAAGTGGGTGGCCTTCCTCACTTTTCTGGTTGCTTATACAGATAGTCCATGGGCAGAGGCATTATCATGTCATGCTGATTAAATAACTTGTGATCATATTCTACTCACTGTTCTACCAATATTATATCCCCAGTCCATTCAATAAAAATGAGTTTAAGGGGAAAAGGAGTTAGTGGAAAAGCCGTTAACATGATGCAGACTCACTCTGCGTTAGAGCCCCCCATTTGTCTTAACTCAGTCCACTTTAAAGGCTTGGTCCCTCCAGCTGTGGACAGTGGATAACAGAGGCTGTGGTTGTCTGTGTGTTCTCTTGTCCTCTCCCTGTGATTTTCTTGAGATAATACAAATATCCTTCAATACAAATTGACTCACACATGTGTCTCTTCAGTCCTGGATACAAAGGAGGGGTTCACAGGTCTTTCTGACACCTGTCCTGACACTCCTCCTGAGATTGCTCTCTGGGCTTCCTGGGTAGAAATGCAGTAGGTTAGATATAAGGCCAAGGCTTGATTTTTTTTTTTTTTTTTTTTTTTTTTTAACATGTCACATTTAAAGAAAATTTTTTGAGATAAGTCTCTCTGATCACTCAGGCTGGCCCCCCCTTCTGAGCTCAAGTGATCCTCCTGCCTCAGCCTCCCAAGTAACTGGGACCATAGGCACGCATGAGGTGCCTGGCTTCTTATTTGTTATTGCCAAAAGTTGCTATGTGAAATTTGACACATACTCTGTTGAATGTATCAGCCTCTGAAAAGCCAGTTGGCTTGATTTTACTGCTTTGCTGCTTGCCTTTTTTTTTTTTTTTAATCCTAGCTTAGCATGTGTTTATGAGCTGTGGCCCAGCCCTATAACTTAATGTATTGAGGTCTTTTTCCAGTGCATTACCTATAGAGTTCTTCATCCTCTTTAATGGCTGCTTAGTAGTTCACTGGGTAAGTGAGCCACAGCTTGTCTACCTACTATTTGGTAGTCACCCACATCAGTACTAGTAGTTCTGTCACTATATGTGCTGTTGCTTTAAATTTCCTTGTTGCCTGCATCTGAACACGTTTGAGTATTTCTCTAGGATAGGTTCTAGGAGTAGACAGTGTTCTTTTTATTCGGTCTCTTTGGCTAGGGAGATGGAACAAGGTTGCTTCTAGGGCAACCTTGGATTTGGCAGTTTCATTGGTTTAGGGATTATTTCATTTGATGACCTCCCCCCCCCATCTCTTTCAGACTTTGCAGGAAAAAAAAGTAATTCCGTGTCCTCCATTCTACGAGTCAGATCATCCTGTCAGAGGTAAAGATGTTTTTCGAATGTGCTGACCTAATGAGATACTGGCTCTATTACATAGACATTCCAGGTCAAATGACATACCTATGTACTTGTGCAGGGGAGTGTTGGTACCTGTCCCACGAATAATGTCACTATTCAGTCAGCTAATTAAACCAGTGTAGGGGTTACCCTCTGGAGACACCTGTGTCTCGTGGAGAATGGCTTGAAATGGATCCCGACTTTATTAAAATTTTTCAGAATTTGCTCTGATTAAAATCCAGCAGGGAAAAAAAAATCTACCACTTTGAATGCATTTGGGCTTCTTGTGTCTGAATTGTATTTAGTCACTGAAACCTGAAATTTCATTAAGTGTTACTAATTTGATTTTTTACCCATAATATGTTAAATTTCATAGCATGAAGTGGCTATTTCAAACATGAGATGCTTTTTGCCATCTCTCTTGCTGTCATTTGATTTCTTGCTGACTGGGGTGTGTGTCTTTCAGTTTTGGATGTGCTGTGGATTGGTACATATGTCTTCACAATAGTGTATGCTGCTGCAGATGGGACCTTGGAAACATCTCCAGATGTAGTGATGGCTCTGCTTCCGGTATGCACACTCAAGAGCGTCTTTGTCTTCTGGGAGTTTGAGATGGGAGCTCTCATGACTTTAGAGGCTTGGGTTTCGGGTTTCTTGGCTTCTTGGCAGTGATGGTGCAGATACAGGTGAAAGATTTGTGCCCAGGGACTAAAATTATGATGTCCACTTATGGCACCTGCAGATATTTAGTTAGGGGTAAGAAAAATGATAAAGCTTGCTTTTACTTAAGCCATGAACTGTAAATCTTGGTTAATCTGATAGAGAAATTTTAGAAAAGAGAATATATTGATTTAAAAAATTCAAGTATTTCCTGAAAATATCCAGTGGACCAGGCCCTGCTTTAAAGCTGAAAATACAGAGGTGATCAAAACAAAGTCCTTGCTTTTATAGATCTTGTGATTAATGATTGACAGTAAGTACAGGGTCAAGGAGGGATAAGGTGATGGAGCAAAGAAGGTAGTGTAAGGGATGGGTGGCAATGAGGGTACCATTGTCTGTGGGGTGGTCAGCAAGGGCCTCTCTGAGGCAGGGCCATGTGAACAGAGAACCAAGTGGAGAGGAGTGAGTCCTTTTGAAGATAAAGGAAGAACATTGATAATAATAAGATCAGTAAAGTGTTGCTGAGTACTTAGTATGCTAATCTGTATATTTGTACATAGATTTGAGTGAATTTTCTTGTCCAATTTAAATGGTTTTTATCTTTTGAGATTCTAAACTTGGTAGGATTTAAGAAAAAGAATTGCACTTGAGATTTTTTTATTCTCACACTGTTCATTGTAGAAAAAAGAAGAAAAGCACCCAGAGGTATTCGTGAACTTTATGGAGCCCTGTTACGGCAGCTGTACAGAGAGACAGCATCATTACTACCTCAGTTACATCGAGGAGTGGTGAGCAGAAGGGTCACTGCTATCACTGATAGGCCATACCTCAGGCACACTGTTCCCTGGCCATTTTTTCTGTAAGGGAGAAGGGTTAAGGCTGAGAGGCCCTAAACGTATTTTCAGCTGCTGCTTGATAATGTCTGTGACCACTGCTTCTGTTCCTCCCATTTTGAGTTATTTAGATTTAATATATACTATGAAAAATCCAGGGGCTGGGGTTGTGGCTCAGCGGTAGAGCACTTGCCTCGCATGTGTGAGACCTTGGGTTCGATCCTCAGCACCACATAAAAATAAATAAACAAAATAAGATATTTACAAAAAAAGAAAAATCCAATTTTCTCAATAGCCTCAGTGATGACGTATGAAAATATTCATCTTTGAGGAACATATTATAAGTTTCTCTCTGAGCAAAGTTTCCTTTGAAAGAAAGGTTGCATAAAGCACCCATTCCTTTATTAAGGTTTTTCTACTTTTAGGGGCTGTGTTGTGAACTCTGAGTTGATTTTATTCTGTATTCCTTTGTTTTCACCCAGGTAGACAGCAGGTAGATTCTTCAGAATTTCACCCCAGAAACTAAAAAGCTCAGCTCTATACTGAGAACTTTCCCACCTTTCTTTAGCAAGATAGAAAACCTTGCCCTCTCCTTGACTTGTGGAAGGAAGCTTCACAGATGTTAGTGTAGACCCAGGTTGGCTTAGAGTTGTTGATGTGCTTGAACTTAATGGTCTTCTGGTTTTATTCTTAAGGGATTTAGTGCTGGCAGCATCTGCTGCTTCCACAGAAGTTAGTATCCTTGCACGACAGAGTGATCAGGTAAATTTCTCTTTTTTTTGTCACTTTTCTATTGTGTGATACATTTCTGAGAAGGATTTTGGAGGGAATTAACTATATGGTTAAGTTTGAGATGAGGTCACAGCCCTCTTAATGGGTGAGAGCAAAGCCTAGATGACGGATGCCTTAGGTACGATGGCTTGGGTATTGCATTGGAGAGATGTGGGTGTCAGATGCAATAGTTCCTTCAGTGTGTTTAAAAAAAAAAAGGCCCTCTGTTCTCTTAGATCCATGCACAGCTTGTGGAAGCATACTAGTAAACAGCCTCCAACCAGAGTGTACCTGGATATATGGAGAATTCCTGCCTTGCTTCATTTGTTGTCTTTTTTCCTTTCAATTAAATCTGCTCCTTCTATAAATTATATAATTATTAGCTTTAACTATAATAATCAACTGTGGAAGAGAAACATGCAGATGATATCAAATTGTGATTCTTCAGAAATGCAGGTGTTTCTGAATTTACAGTGGGGCTGTATCACAGTAAACTTTCTGTAAGCTGAAACCCACAAGTCAAAAGTGCATGGACTCTACCTCACCTACAGAACATCAGAGCCGGCAGCGCAGTATAGTGTCAGTTGTTTGTGCTGGAGACTGGCTGGCTGGAGCTGCAGCCTACTGCTGCTGCCCATAGCATGAGTATTCTCATGACTTACCTAGGTGTGATGCAAGGTACCTTGGAAAACATTCATGATAGTTTTATTTACAGGGCAGGGACTTCATACACCAGAAACAGAGAAATTAATCTTGAAAATAAATGCTCACTTCCTGAACTCTTCATGGTTTTGAGACTGTTTCCCCAGATTTCAGAGTTCCCTGTCAACACATGAAGCTAAATTATGGGAGGTCTTCTTCTTTCCTTATCTAAATGATGTTGGGGGAAACAGTGCAAAGCTCTAACCCATGTAGACTTTCTTTTCCCTCTAGATAAATTGGGAATCTTGGCTGCTGGAGGATTCAAGTCGGGCTGAACTGCCTGTGACTGACAAGAGTGATGACTCCTTGCCCATGGGAGTTGCCATAGATTATACCAACCAAGTGGAAGTCAACATCAGTAAGTGTCACTGTGCTTGGTGCAGAAATGATCTCCTTACTAGTAATGGTTATTGTCAAAAAGCCAGGTGATCTACTCTGCTGGGCATTTTTAACTTCTTGTAGCATATTTCTACCCTAAGAGTGGTGGGGGGTACCTTGTGACAGCACTACTAATTTGAATGAGTACTCGTTGATGAGACCAGTGGTAGGCACTGTGTTTGTGTCYGCATACTTTTAGAGTCTGCTTGAAGTATGTAACATTCAGATTTCATAGCTTGGTTTCCTTGCCCATCGAAGTTCCCCAGTGACCTCCCGAGGGAGTAGGTCCTATTCCAGGACTTCACATTACTGCTGGGTTAAAGCAAAGATGAGAAAACAGACTTGATGTCTAAGGCTTCTACTTTGGGCTTGGGTGTGTGCCCTAAAGGTGTTTTCTCCTCCACAGGAGCTCAAGAGCACTGCAATCAGTAAAATGTGAAAGTGTAAAGGGGAGTCTTTGTTCACTGGTGTTTTAGTTTAGAGAGCTGTCCCTCTTGGACACCATTAAGTTCCTTGTCCTTTCCTTGATCATGCTAATCCCTTAGTCTGATTAGCTCACTTACTCCTATTCTCTTGAAATTGGCAATGTACATATGTAGCCTTTAACTGTGAAGGAATATACAGTAGTTTGACTAGCTTTCTGAATCCTGCTGTGTGTTTTCCAAAGAGTCTACTCTCATTTTCTGTTAAACCTGGCACTTCCTAGAGCCCCCTGTCTTGGTCAGGGAAATGCTGAACCTACCTCCTGAACTCTGAGACTCATAAAGAAAAGAGCCTGGAGAGCACAGGGTTACTGGAGCAGCCTGCAGGGCCCAGTGGGAGGATGGTGACTTGATAGTGACAGGAACACTTGTTAAATAGCTGGTACCTGAAAGGTGTTCAGATCTGCATCTATTGATGCACATGGGCTTTTGAAAGGAATCCCCTCTGGCCGCTTCCTACTTCCTGTGCAGGGCAATCTTTCTCTTCCGGCCCACACCCTCAAATTGACTTGGCTCTTTTATCACCTTTGTTTTCTTTTCAGATGATGAAAAGACTCTTCCTCCTGCTCCAGTTCTCATGTTACTTTCAACAGATGGTGTGCTTTGTCCATTTTATATGATCAATCAAAATCCTGGGGTTAGGTCCCTTATCAAGACTCCAGAGCGGCTTTCATTAGAAGGAGAGCGACAGCCCAAGTCTTCAGGTACTTGCCTCTGCTTGCCCTGGTGGAAGGGGATCCACCTGGGTGAGCACGGGAGCACACTCAGGACGAGGACAGCCAAGACACGCCTGTGGTAGTTCTCGCCTTTGCCCAGTCTGACTTGGTCTGGCTTGTGCTGATCTCTTCCTCAAACGCATACCCATGTCCTTGCCTTCCTTCACCCCTAGACTCATTTGCTAACCATTACTTTAGGGAAAGCGGAAGGTCAGCCGCATTGTTCCTATCAGGTTATTTACTCTGTTTTAAGATCCATGTTCTAAGGATGTGTCTAACCAGGGGATTTGATTAAATTGATGTTTATACATTCATACAGTGAAAGATTTGAGTAACTATTAACAGTATTATGTTCATTGACAAAGAGTGGCATACCATGAAAAAACACCATAGGCTATGTAATCCCTTTTCTTTTGTTGGGGGGCGGGTACTGAGGATTGAACTCAGGGACACTTGACACTGAGTCACATCCCCAGCCCTATTTTGTATTTTATTTAGAGACAGAATCTCACTGAGATGCTTAGGACCTTGCTGAGTTGCCGAGGCTGGCGTTGAACTCATGATATGTGATCCTTTTTTATGAGAAAAAATAAATACATAGAAAAAAACACTTGAGATAGATAATGACACTAATGCTGCTAGGTGGTAAGAAGGTGGGAATTTTATTTTCTTTTGTTTTATTTAATTTTAGTTTTTTTCCTTCTCTTTGAAAATATTACTGAAGTAACACGTATTGGAGAAAAATGAGCAAATTCATAAAAATCAATTTTATTGATTTTTAAAATTTAGTTAATTTGATTATTTAATTATTTTGGCATGTAACTGTGATAAGATTTTTTTTCTTCTAGTATGGCTAAAAATGTCCATAGTGTAAGCAGGTTCATATCTAAGAAAAACTCTTGACCAGTTAGATTGAATAAAGTTGACAATTTGGTGGATATAATTTCTTGCTCCTTAGTGCTGAGTGAGTTTTACATCATTAATAGAGCCACTGGGCCCTGCCTACTGCGCTGCTGCCCCAGGTATGCCAGGTGGCCAGCATAGACGGAGCCAGTGTTGGAAAGCTCCGTTATCTTTAGTGGGTGTGCTCTTTGAGTAGTGTCTCCCCCGTAAGTTATCATGAGTGCCATGAATTACTGCACTTGAAGTCTGGTTTGTGACAAGCAGGACAGCCTGTAGAGTCAGCAGCCTGTGGGGCAGTTGTTTCTTCTTTGCTGCTAGCCCACCAAATGCCTGAGCAACCAGAGGTTGGTTTTACTGTTGGCCTCTCCTAGAGGGCCTCCCTTCTTATCTTACAGCTGGTGCAGAAGTAATAGTCATGCTCAGAAGCGTGGACAAGAACCCCTGAAAGGGTAGAAAGTCTGTCCCTGCAGTTTGCCAGGTGGAGATAAGGACTAGGTCAGTTTAGAAAACATTAATGGTTGTGCTTCTGTGCTGCTACTCCAGGATGGTATTGGAAGAGCAGTAGTAGCAGGGTGACGGTTTCCAAATGTACAATTCTGTTTTCATTGGGAAAATGCCTGTGATGTCCTTAGGGGTTGGCATGTGTTTTTTGAGTTAGTCTGTCTGATAATGGAAGTGACYGGCATCTCTGTGTTTAAAGAAGCTAGCTGTTACTGATTCTGTATGTGTTATGTTAAAGAAGTATTTTGCATGATTGTATTTTCATAGAAGTGACAATCTACTTGAGTCTTTGTTTTCAGACAATGTTATTTGCACCCTTGTATCCTACGTATTTCATTGCTTGAGACTGTGTTTCCCATGAAGATTTACTGTCTTCTTAGCCAGTATGGAAGGACCAAGGCTTATTAATGTAATTAATACTAGAAGAAAAAAAATCTTATTAATTAATAAATAGGAAGTATATTGATAAAAATATCCTTTTTATCTAATTAGTAATTTCAAGAATTTATGTGTTTATCTTATAGAAAGTTTTGAAAATAAAACAAAATTTTTTTAATAATTTTATTTTTGTGGTATTTGGGATTGAACCCTCCTCATACATGCTCTGCTACTGAGCTATATCCCTAGTCAAGCAAGACCACTTCTAAGCCTATCTTTTGTTTTCCAGTGTTTTTCTATAAGCATCTTTCTTTGACTTGTGAGAAAGGATGTGTACATCCTTGGAGAATTGGCTTTCCATTTGAGTCCTAAGTATTGTCTAGATCCTTAGGCTTCGTGGTTTGTGATTGCTCCTGGGCTCATTGGCACATGCCTATAATCCTAGTGATTTGGGAGGTTGAGGCAGGAGGATTGCAAGCAAAGCCAGCCTCAGCAACTTAGCAAGGCTCTATGCACCTTAGAGAAACTCTGTTGCAAAATAAAAATAAAAAAAGGGCTGGGAATGTGGCTCAGTGATTAAGCATTGCTGGGCTCAATCCCTGGTACCAAAAAAAACAAAAGGATTTAGTATTCATTGGCTCCTTTTCACTATTTGGTTTGTTTATATCTTTTTCATTCTTTAGATTATTTTTATAGGTTTTATTCTTAGAAGAGGGTTATTTGGTCAGTTATTTTGTGTTTTTTGAGACATTCTGCCAGAGTATTTTCTAAAAACCATGCTAAGTTATTTATCTACTGAATATAAAATGTTTCGTGTTTATTTCACCCATCTAGTCGTGGAGGATCATACATATTTAAATTTTAATAGTTTAGAGGACAATAAAATTGTCCCCTAACTTAAGTTTATAGTTCTTTGGTTAAAAGGAATGAATATGGGGCTGGGGGTTGTGGCTCAGTGGTAGAGCGCTCGCCTAGCATGCATGGGGCACTGGGTTCAGTCCTCAGCACCACATAAAAATAAAGATACTGTGTCCACCTAAAATTTAAAAAAAAAGAATGAATGCATTTTCTTTTTGTGAATTAGGTTCCCATCTTATTTTTATTAGAGCCTTGACATTTTTTATTTTATTGTAATTTAATTTTATTGTTTGGAAGGATTAGGGATTGAACCCAGGTGTCATGCTTACTAGGCAAGTACTGCACCTCTCACTGAGCTAGAGTCTTGAAATTTTTTTTTTAATCTCAGTTTGTTTTTTTAATGCAAAACATTTTGTTTGTCTTTTGCTAGAAATTTTTTAGTTCATGTACTGTTTATTTTATCATTTCTAAGTATTTAACATTTTTCTGTTATATTTTTTATCAAGTTGGTAGACTCTCAGAGACCTCACATCAGCTCACTCGTTGCCCCCTTTGAGATAAATGTACAGAGGTGTTTTTGTATAAGTTTTTAGTTCATCTGGAATTGCTTTAGTGAATATTTTAAGGTAGTGATTTAAATTAGATTTTTCCTGGTTGTTAAGTAGGTGGTGCAGAATGGCTCACTTGTCCCTTTTTATACTGCCATAGGGACACTGAGAAGTGTGTGTTTTCTGTATTATCCTATGGGGTCTCCATGAGGTCCAATTAGCCAGTCTAACATCTTTCCCTGTTTCCTTGTTCCTTCAGAGCTTCACAGCTCCCCTTCTGTTAGGGAACACCTGCCATGGAAAGTCCAACACTACCTTTTTTTGTGTTTTTGGCTTCTTGAACTAGGATCACTGCACAAACCCTTCTTCATTTGCTTTCTGTTGTGTGGACCTTAGTGTTAGAGTGTTAACTTTATCCTCCCCTTTCTCCTTGATTCTCATTGCAGGAAGTACTCCCACCACCCCAACCTCCTCTCAAGCTCCGCAAAAGCTTGACRCCTCTGCAGCACCAGCCCCTGCCTCCCTTCCGTCTGTGCTGCCTGCCACTCCCATCGCCACCTTCCCTGTGCCTTCTGCTGGCGCTGCCCCTGCCGTATTCTCCTTCGGTTCTTCATCCTTGAAATCCTCTGCTTCTGTCACTGGGGAGCCCCCTCCATATCCCAGTGGCTCTGACAATCCCAAAGCAGCCCTGGGCTCTGGCACCTCTACCTTCTCTTTTGCTCCTCCTTCCAAAGCCTCTGTGGCTCCCACCCCTGCAGCATCGCCCATGGCCCCGTCTGCTGCTTCCTACTCCTTCGGATCATCGGGTTTTAAGCCTGCCCTGGAAAGCACACCAGTGCCAAGTGTGTCTGCCCCAAGCATGGGAATGAAACCCTCCTTCCCGCCTTCAGCCTCTGCGGTCAAGGTCAACCTTAGTGAAAAGTAAGTCACTTTTAAAGTTTGAGTCTTCTGTGCAGTTGGTAGAAATGGTGCGTGTCATCTGCTGGAAATAGAGCCTCTGCAAGTAAAGTTACAGAGCTTTTTTCTGAAGTGATACTTGCAAATAGTTAAAATTCAGCCAGCGCAAAGGTTTACATTTCATCAGTGGACAGTCCTGAGGGTTCTTAGGTGGCATTTTATTTTTTTGACTACTAGAGATTTACATTTAAATACTTGTTTTGCTTTTTCAGAGTAGGAATTCCTTATTTTAATTAAGGAAGATAATCCAGAATATACATCCTGGGAAGGAAATGAGTCCCTCCTAGTCTTTTTTCCTCTTCATGTCCACCCTGAACTCAGCAGTTTTCTCAGTTGAAAAAAATAGCCACCATAGTGACCTGATGCAGCTGTGGATATGTGAGGTGACTCTCTTGCCTGGCGGTACCCTGTGACTTCTCATTGCTGTTGAAAGACCATCTAAGCTTTTTAGCATGGTGTTCAGTTTCTTCCAGATCTAGGCTCTGCCCATGCGCTCATATCTTATTTATTTACTTCTTCATTGTCTTCATCTGCTTATTTCTTTCTCCCCACTAAATCTTACGCTTCTTGAGAAAAGCCCTTCCTTATATCTTTTTTTTTTTTTTTTTTTTTTGATACAGGCTCTTGCTATGTTCTTTAGGCTGGTCTTGAACTCGTGGGCTCAGGTGATCCTGCCTCAGCCTCCTGAGCACTGGGACCTCAGGCATGTGTTCCACGCTCAGCTCCCTTTTCTTACGATCCTGAGTGTCCATACTACCAGATTTTTGCCTTTCTTGCCTATGTTGTCCCTTGTTGCAAGGGTGGTGCTGTGGCCATATTGTCACTGTTAATATTCAGTTGGCTCACAGTCACTGCATTCTAACCACTGCACAGTGCTCCATCTTGCTGGCTGCACTGTAGTTGTTGGACTGGTCATCTAATGATGGATATTTAGATATTTATACTTTATTCACAAGGTGGGATAGACTTTCCATAAGACCATAGGCATTCCAAAGATGACAACCTGTTTTCCTTTTTCTCTCTCTAGAGGAGGCGATCACCCCATAATGAGCTGTTGTAATTGGGTTCCACCCTGATTTTCACTCAGGTTATTAGACTAGAAAATAATCATTTCATGTTGTCTCATCTTCACAGTAAATACTACATTGATGCTTTAGTTGAATAGTTTATTTCTAAGAAAGCAGATGGTAAATGTTTCCTGTTTTCATTTTCATGAGTGCAGCTAAGTATTTGTTTCTTGGAGGCAGTGTGGTGTGGATAGTAAGTTTTTCTTTGGGTGCCTGCCATATTCAAGGCCCTGGGTTCAATCCCCAGCACTGCCAAAAGAATTTTTCTTTGGTGGTATTGTTTGTGCTCTGTGTGAAAGAACCTTCTAGAAAACCCTTTTGATGCAGTTACACTGCCATTTTAGGTTTACCACAGTGGCCACCTCTGCTGCTGTCAGTAGCTCTCCAAGTGCACCCTCGATGATGCCGTTCTCTCCTGCCTCCAAGCCAACTGCTTCTGGACCGCTCAGCCACCCCACGCCTCTCTCAGTGTCATCCAACTCCATGTCTCTGAAGTCCTCAGTCTCTTCCTCACCGTCAGGTATGGTTTGAAGTCAACAGGTTTAGACCTCAGTCCTTCCTTTACACATTGACAGTTTTCAGTGTATTAAGAATCTATACTAACATAGTTGGACAATTATTTTTTTCTTGTTACCTGTGTTTCACACTAATGTGCTGTGATGTTTTGGGTCTGGGGGTTGTACCGGGGATTGAACTCAGGGACACTCTACCACTGAGCCACATCCTCAGCCATATTTTGTATTTTATTTAGAAAAACAGTCTCTCAGAGTTGCTTAGCACCTTGCTTTTTTTTTTTTTTTTTTTTTTTTTTTTTTTTTTTAGAGAGAGAGAATTTTAACATTTTTTTTTTTACTTTTTGGTGGGAACAACATCTTTGTTTGTGGTGGTGAGGATCGAACCCAGGCTGCACGCATGCCAGGCGAGCGAGCTACCGCTTGAGCCATATCCCCAGCCCAGCACCTTGCTTTTGCTGAGGCTGGCTTTGAACTTGCCATCCACTTGCGTCAGCCTCAGGAGTTGCTGGGATTATAGGTGTGCATGCACCGGGCCCAGCTTGTGCACTTTTTGCACTCTGAATTGGGAGATTTGCAGTGGCTTTAGTGCTGCCAGGCTTCTCTCTGACATTTGTCATGGAGAGTTGAAAAGGTGTCTTGATGTTGGGCATTTGTCTTCACGTGCAGCCTGCCATATTCGATGGGCAGGTACACCGAGCAGTTCTTTCACATGCACAGGAGAGAAAGAGCCGCAGTTGAGTGCCTCCTATGTCTAGTGCCATRCAGCAAGCACGTGAATTAATTAAAGAAAATTAATGGGGATGATTATAGACAAGTTAAGTTGCAGTATATTATGAAACCCCRTGGGCAAATGGACCTAGCCTGTCTTTTTTTTCTTTTCAAACATATAGAGGTTGCAAAAATTCATAAATTTTTTTTCTGAAACATTTAAGAATTAATTTTAGACCAATACTTAAGTGTGTATCTCAAAAACAAGGACACACTTAATGTATTATTAGACTTGGGAAATTTTTTTTTTTTTTTTTTTTTTAAACTATTTTTAATATTTATTTTTTAGTTCTCGGCGGACACAACATCTTTGTTGGTATGTGGTGCTGAGGATHGAACCCGGGCCGCACGCATGCCAGGCGAGCGCGCTACCGCTTGAGCCACATCCCCAGCCCTAGACTTGGGAAATTTAACAACAATCTAATCTAAACTCATTCACATTTCTAGAGTTGTTCCAATAATGTTCTTCTTGGCTTTTTTTTTCTTCCTCTAATCCAGGAGCAACTAGAGATCACACACTGCATTTAGTCTCACTTAATCTCAGTAGTTCTTAAGGCTTTTCTTTTTTTCCCTTGGTCTTTTGTCACCATTACTTAATTTTTTTTTTCCCAAGTGGTACTGGGATTGAACCCAGGTAACCAGGGGCACTTTACCACTGAGCTACATCCGCCTCCATTTCCTTGTGATTACAGGTGTGCTCCACTGTACCTGACTGGTGTTTAATTTTTAAAGATTGAGGGGTCTAGATTATTGGATCTCAGTGCCAGCTGTGCACTAAATTTACTGGGAGACCCACTTCCTAGCATTGTGATCAGACTCTGGGATGAGGCTTTGGAATGAATTTTTGGTGTGTTTGCTTTTTAAAAGTGCCCCCGGTGACTGTAATATGCAACAGAGTAAGAATATTCTAGAAGCTTCTAAAAGGGTCCTGAATACTGTGAGTTCTTACAGGTGATGGGATTCTTATTCTAGTCTGATGAGTAAACTTCAATTTAAACTTGGATCCCTAGTTCCCAGAGCTGCATCTCAGGGTTTTGTGAGGAGTGAGAGTGGGCCAGAGGGTCCTTCATGTGGCTGCACRTACTTCCTGTGAGATGCACTGCAGCTGTGACTGACTGCTGAGTGGTTTACATAGGCCTAGGGTGAGGCTCAGTGGTAGAGCACTTGCACAGCCTGCAGGAGGCTCTGGGTTCCATCCTCAGCGCTGCAAAAAAGTTTTTACATTGAGAATTTTTTTTTTAATCTTGAACATTTACTTAGCTATATATCACATCCTGTGTTTGAGATCACAGTAATCTTTTACAACAAAAATTAATCTTTTTTTTTTTTTTAAAGAGAGAGAGAATTTTTTTAATATTTTGTTTTAGTTTTCGGCGGACACAACATCTTTGTTTGTATGTGGTGCTGAGGATCGAACCCGGGCCGCACACATGCCAGGCGAGCGCGCTACTGCTTGAGCCACATCCCCAGCCCCAAAAATTAATCTTTTGAACCCAACTGTAAATGAGCTGAAGTGTAGTCTACTTTATAGCCATTCTAACATGGAGTAAGGTGGGAGGCAGAGCCTTATCTCAGGTAAAGTGGGGCTCTTCACAAATAACACAGTACAGCATTCATCTAAAACATGAATCAAAGAAAGGCTAAGAGAGTTTATAATTTTCTTTTTGTCACACTCAGAATTTTAACATCATTTTTTTATTACCTTGAAGCAGAGGAAGTCATCATTCTTTAATAAAGATTGTAAGAGTGGAGCCAGGGACAGTGCATTTGTTACTTACTTAGGATTGGGGAAAGGAGTGGTGGAGAAATAATGGGAAAATGAATACTGTTTGTTGTGACTGATTTATGGTAACAGGGCGACCTGCTCAGAGCAGTCCAGGTCCAGTGCTCTCAATGGCGCAGAAGTCACCCAGGATCACCCCTCCAGTGGCAAAATCAGGCTCTCCTCAGGTATGTGTAATTCAGTGTACAATACTGAATTTAGTTTATGGTCTCAAGCATGCATGCTAACAAAATGGGTTTTCATATTTTAGAATTCAGATTTTGGAAATAGTAATTAGGATTATACGATGATCCAAGATCATCATATGATTTGTAATGTTTACTCATAAAAGCTATTTTTCTACTTACCTAATATTGATAAATAAATCAATAGAATAAAATTAACGTAATATGCGTATAGATGAATAAATTGTCACTAACTGAATATACCTTGGTAACTAGCACCCAGATTGACAAACCATAGCATTACCAGGACCCTAGAATTCTTCTTCTTCTAGTCACTACCCTTGCCAAAGGGTACCCACCCTCCTGATTTCTAATAGCATAGATAAGTTCATCCTGTTTGTGCCTTCCATCATGTGGAATCACATGGCGTGCCTTCTTGTAGCTGGTGGTTTTGCTCAACAGATGTCTGTGGGAGTTATCCGTATCATGTTGCTGTGTGGAATTCATTGTGTGACTATATTGGAGGGGGCTGAGTGGAATTCCACTCTTCATTTTTCAGCTAACACTACCTGAGTAGTGTTGCTATGACATTTTAACCGTGGTCCTCCAGTGAACACATGATCTTTCTGTTGGGCCCACACCTAGGCATGCACATGTTCTTCTTCTGGTATTTTTCTTCTCTTTTTGGTGTATTTTCTACTCTTAATTTGTATTTCCCTGATGTCCAGCAAAATTGAGCTTTATTTACTATGATTATTGGCCATTTAGGCAGTTGTTTTTTTTTTTTTTTTTTTTTTTTAGTACCCCTTCATGTCTTTAGCCTATTTTCTATTGGACGGTGTCTTTTTCTTAATGTGTCTGTTGTAGTGGGGCGTACAGGGGATTGAACTCGGGACCTAGGGCAGGCTAAGCATGTGTTCCAACCCTGAGCTATCCCCCTAGCCTCTTACTGATTTTTTTAAGAGTGAGTTGGAAAGAAACACATACATACACACAAAATGCAAATACAGTACTGTCTGAATTGCCTATTCATTCATAGTTTCTTTTGATGAATGCAAGGCCTTAACTTTTAGTACAGTTGAGTATATCAATTACTTTCTTTTATAATCTGTGTTTTGTGTGTCTTGTTTTAGAAGTAATTTCCTATTCTAGTGTCAGAAAGATATTTTCCTGTTTTTTAAAAAGCTGTATTATTTTACTTATCACATTTTAATCTGTAGTCATCATTCCAGTTTATTTTAATGACTTTAACATAAAGAGGATTACCAGTTCCACCCCTGTTTTGAATTCCCATGATTAGGAATGCTGTTTTCTCTTATGTCTCCCGCACACACTTCCACACAGGGCACAAGGCAAGTGTCCTGTTCACAGTTCTAGCCTGTGGCCCGATGCCTGACATATGACTTGTTAAACACATGCGCATACGCACATACATTAGCTATTCTAATAACTGAAACTGCTCCAGTGTTAATTGTTGTATGTAGCAAATGATTGAAAAGGCACCTCACATGTTAACATCTATAATGCAGAGCTCTTGTGTCTCATCTCTCCAAGAATCTCTTTTTTTCCTTGTGTTCCCAACTCTGTAAGTGGCACTAACAGATCAGGACTTAGCACAAGCCCCAGACCCAGAAGTATCCCGATTTCTTACATTTCTCCCTCAAACCCAGATTTGTAGGAGTTCTTGTCAGTTGTCTACTGTGTCATATGTCATGAACACTTAGCTCTGCTCCTAGCATCTTATGTCATGCCATTGCCATCTCTTACCTTGTCAGCCTCTTGATGGCTCTCCCTCTTGGCTCCTACTGCTCCATGTCATCCCTATTCTACAGCAGCAAGAGGGATCTTTTAAATCCTAGATTTAAGTAGTCATTTAAACTCCCCTAAAATACCAGTAATGGCTTCCTAGCACACCTGGAGTTGAATCCAGACTTCCTAAGTGTGGCCTTGAATGACATGCCTTGTGTGTCTCCCTGACCCAGTGCCCTGCCTGACAACATAAAGCTCTTGTTTACTTTGTTGTTTACTTGATGTGCCAAGCTCTTTGTGCGTGTTCTTCTCATTCCCCAGGAGGTGCTTCCCCTAGATTACCCCTGGCCTTCTGCCTCACTTCTTGCCTCAGTTCAGACAGCAGCCTCCGGGGAGGGCTTTCTTGGTCATCTCATTTGTCGTAGGATCCTGATTCCCTTTTATTGCCTTGATGTTTTCCTGTTTATTCATCTGTTGAATTTATCTGTTGTGTTTACTTTTTTTTTAAATCCATCTTGTCCAAGCAGGAGGTAAGTTCCATGAGAGTAGGGCCTTTTCTGTCTTGCTCATCTGTCTCCACTGTCCAGAAGGTGCCCTATACAAAGAAGGGACCCGGTAAATACAGTCCAGAAGAACCTTTGGCGAATGAAGTATTTACCATATAAGTGCCATTCCCTGTGGTGGGCACTGATACAGTTGCTTCTAGAAGCTGTAACAGAGAATCCATTTTTAATCCTTTTGTCTTCCATTTTAGGCGAAGTCACTTCCGCCTCCTGTCACAGAAAAACAGGGACATCAGTGGAAGGATTCAGATCCTGTGATGGCTGGAATTGGGGAGGAGGTAACTTTGAGGATTTTTCCCAGGAGTAGCTCTGACACTGAGACTGGAATGGCTTTGAGCACCTGCATGGCTGTTTATTCTAGCATTGTACCCTGACTAGTCCCAGGAGTCCCACTCGTGTTGCATGTGAGTGCAGCAGCAGTGTGGTTACTCCACACCACTCAGGCGGAATCTTTTTCCTTGTTGTGACATCTGCAGATCGCTCACTTCCAGAAGGAGTTGGAGGAGCTGAAAGCCCGGACTTCCAAAGCCTGTTTCCAGGTGGGCACTCCAGAAGAGATGAAGATGCTGCGAACAGAGTCAGACGACTTACACACCTTTCTTTTGGAGATTAAAGAGACCACAGAGGTTTGTGTGTATGGATATTTCTCCCGAGTCGAGTTTTTAGAAATTGTCTTAGTGTTCGTGTTGTTTATGTGCTGAGCAGTTTACCCGGAAATGCCTAAATTCACATCTTAACCATCTGGACATTATAACAGATTGCCTGACTTTGGAAAGTTAATCTAGCCACCCTATGTTTCCATTTTCTTATCTGTGAAATGGGATGATAATAATAGCATTCTGGTCTTAACTAAGGTATCAGGAAGAAAGCTCTCCATGGTGTCAGCAGCGGCATCTTCTAGAAGTAGGAGTGTGTGTACTATCGGTATTTTCCTTGCTTTCTAATTTTCCTATTATTAAGTCCATATTATTAGAATATGGACTTTTTCTAATAAGGACAAAAAATTAAAAAAGAACATTAATATCTTTCTTTCCAAGCAATAAAATGTTTATTACGTTATTGTTAAATATATTCATGTGTTCATGTTAAATGTTTGAGAAACTCCACCTTTCTTGATCCAAGCAGAGAGGTTTTATTTCTTATCAATATTTTGTTCTTGACCTTTTCTAGTCTCTTCATGGAGACATAAGTACCCTGAAAACAACTTTGCTTGAGGGCTTTGCCGGTGTTGAAGAAGCCAGAGAACAGAATGGTAGAAATCGGGATTCTGGGTACCTCCATCTACTGTACAAGAGGCCACTGGATCCCAGGAGTGAAGCTCAGCTTCAGGTGGGGGAAACTACTTACACTTCTTGAAGGTTTAAGAGTCAACTCCTGTTACCATCACTGCCTTTTTTTTAGGTGTAACATTGGATGATGTCCCCTTATGAAGCTGTTGATTTTCTGCTAATAATTTCCAACACTTTCCACAAACTTTCTTACCTGTGGCAAAGAAAATGGCATATGTTTTCCCTTTAATTTTTTTTTTTTTTTTTTAGTATTTATTTTTTAGGTGTAGATGGACACAACACAATGCCTTCATTTTTATGTGGTGCTGAGGATCAAACCTGGGTCCCACTTGTGGTAGGCGAGTGCTGAGCCACAATCCCAGCCCTCACTTTAATTTTTAAAAATTTTATTTTAAAAAAGAGATTTTTGTTTAAGACAGGATCTCACTAAGTTGCTGTGACTGGCTTTGAACTTGTCCTCCTGTCTCGGCCTCTCAAGCCACTGGGATTACAGGTGTGCGCCATTGCACCTGGCTCAAAAATAGAATTCTTGATGGATCCTTAACCTTAGTGTTAGAAGAGAGCATTGTGTGGAAACAGATATTTGTAAACCAACTCAGGAATACTAATTGTTCACATAGCAGATATTTTTCGGAGGCAGGTAATCTGCTAGGTGTTTAATACTCTTTCTAGTCTTTGTAACCAGCTGCTTTGCAAGGTAGGAGTGGTCGATCCCCCACACAGAAGAAGAAATTGGGCTTCCTGGGTTAGGAGCGGGTGTTGTCCATGTGGTGTTGGCTGATGGGAGTGGAACCAGCACCGGATGCTCCATCTTCTGTGCCTCTTTCCTCTGTGCCATACTACAGCACAGTTGCTTTTCCCACTCATTCTTAATCTTTATTTCTGCTTTAGTTAATTGGATTTTGTTTTCCATCTCTCAAATTTACCCAGAATGGCCTTAATGTGAGGGTCATCTTCCCCCTCCTCAAGTTTGCCTCAGACCCCCCAGTGGGTGTGCAGGCAGCCCTGGTCTCCCAGCTCAGGAGTGGGGTGTGTGTTGAAGAGGTCTGCTTCAGAGAACTCAAGCTTAAGCTTACAGATAATTCCTCCTGTCATCCCTGCCCTGCCTCTGCTAATGAGAGCAGTTATCACTTCTCCCAGAGAGCTGAGGAGTCCCTGCTGTGGCTGTTCCATCCCATGGCGAGGAGGGAGCACTGATGGTTCACCTACCATTTCCAAAGAATAGGCCCTATGCTGTGCCCTGCTTGCCGGCTCCACCACTTGCCTTTTGCATACCAGGCTTTTTAGCCAAGCTAAAAGGAAAGCATAGCTTCAGATACACGTCACTCATTTGTAAAGGAAGAATTTTTTTTTTTATGGTGCCAAGTAGATAATAGGAGGTAGCATATATTGAGTGCTACTATATTCAGAGCAAAGATGAGGAAACTTGAGATGCTGAAACTCCCCAGGTTTCTTCCCTCATAGATACTGGTCCTTGATCTTGGGCAATCTGACTCTGAGCCTGAGCTTTTGGCCACTCCTCCCTCTACAATGTTCAGTTCCTGCAGCTGGGTATATGACAGCAAGAAAGGCGAACACGGAAATTTAAAGTGGGCTATGTTGCTGTGGGACCACAAGTGAGAGGGCACATAAGCCATTCCAAGAAAATGTTTATGATAGAGAAGAGGGGCTGGGGATGCTGCTCAAGTGGTAGTGTGCTCGCCTGGCATGCGTGGGGCGCTGGGTTCGATTCTCAGCACCACATAAAAATAAAATAAAGATGTTTTATCCAACGAAAACTAAAAAATAAATATTTTTTTAAAAAAGAGAGAGAGAAGAGCTGGGTTTTGCTGGTCAACCCAGTTGAGAGCTTCAGGATGGAACAGCATCAGCTGCTGCAGAGGTGGGATCACATCTAAAGTGGCCAAAGAGATTCCTGCCGTCTAGTGTGAGCTGAAATTTACACTTGCCATTAAGGCTACTACTATGCCCTTGAGTCTGCTTCACTCTTTTAAATGCTATTTTCTGTTTTTTTAGTTGGGATGCACACTCTTATTTAAGAGTAATCATGAAAATACATTTTGATGTGATCATACCTTTGACCAGATAGGAAGTGCTTTTTTCAGTACTAGGCACATTTGTAAATATACTTTATTGAAATATTTCACCTTTATTTTTACGTTCTAAGAGTCAAGTTGCATAGCCATGAAGGTTACTAGTGGTCCAAAATTCAAAGAAAGTTATTACAGAGCTAAAATAAGTTAAATTGGTGAGGATTTTAATAATGATAAATTTAGTTTCTCGTGCCAATAGTCTCCTTTGTTTTTGAAAAGTAAGTCTTTCTCAACTGGTGAGATGACTTATGTTCTACGCTATGGATAGATAGATTCAGAATTATTTTCAGCACTGTTTTGTTGGATAATTTTGTCTATATTACAGTTAATTTCATGGGTGGGAGAGCAAAAACTAAATGGATGTACTGTCTGAGTACCAAAGTGCAGTGGAAAATTCCCAGACCATGTTGAGATCCCTTTCTAGGATCTGAAAAATTAAAATGAAGCAAGAACATTTCTTCCCTTGGGGCCTTAAGCACACATACCCTTTCTCTTTCCCTTTTTTTTATACTTCTTCTGTGTCACACTGTTAAAGGAAGTTGATTTTCTGTTTTGCATTTTAATTATAATGTTTCAGTGGTTTTATTACTATTATGTTTTCCTTATTCATTATGTTCTCAATACAGAAATATTTTAAAATTATTTGGGCTATTTTGATATATCTTCCCCCCAGGATACCAGAAAAATTAATCATTTGCCTTGTAATTTTTTTCTTGTAGGAAATTCGGCGCCTTYATCAGTACGTCAAGTTTGCTGTTCAGGATGTGAATGATGTTCTAGACTTGGAATGGGATCGTCATCTGGAACAAAAGAAAAAACAAAAGTAAGTGAGGTCTCTCATACTCCAGAGTTGTACTAAGCGTTGTTTTAGAAATGCTGTTAGGGCATGTGTACGAACCTTTTGGACCTTTCCTCTTTTTGACATGGTCATTGCACTTCTAAAAATTTTGTTGATAGATCTAATAAATTGTGGTTATAGCAACTACATTAAAGAATTTATATTGCAGTATAATTATAATAGTGAAAACTTGGATTCAACTTAATTATCCAAATGTAAAGGAATACCCCAATAAATGTGGTCACAGAACACTGTGTAAACCATTATATAGCATGTTTTCAAAGAAATTATGTTAAATGTAGTTTGTTTTTGTTTTTGTTTTTGTTTGGTTTGGTGTTTGGTACTATGGATTGAACTCAGGGATGCTTGACCACAGCCCTTTTTATTTTTTGAGACGGTTTTTGCTAAGTTGCTTAGGGCCTCGTTAAATTGCTGAGGCTAGCTTTGAACTCATAATCTTCTTGTCTCAGCCTCCTGAGTTGTTGGGAACACATGTGGGCCACCATGCCTGGCCAGTGATTTTTTTTTTTTTTTTTTTTTTTTTTGTGGGGGGAGTGGTATCCGGGATTGAAATCAGGGGCACTCAACCATTGAGCCACATCTCCAGCCCTATTTTGTATTATATTTAGAGACAGGGTCTCTTTGAGTTGCTTAGCACCTCGATGTTGCTGAGGCTGGCTTTAAACTCATGATCCTCCTGCCTCAGCCTCCTGAACTGCTGGGATTATAGGCAGGTACCACCTCACCCAGCTGCAAATGTGTTTTTAATATGATAAGGAAAACATGAAATAAAGCATCCTGGAGGTACAAACATAAAAAAGACTGGAAGTAGATCTGTACCTTCACAGTTATATCTTCAATATTAGAGTAAGAAGATTTTTTCCAGCCAAGTACAGTGGCACATGCCTATAACTCCAGATACTCAGGAGGCTGAGGCACAGAGGATCATTGGTTCCATGTCAGCCTAAGTAACGCAGTGAGACTCTGTCTCAAAATAAAACAAAATATCAAGGGATAAGGTTGTAGTTTAGTGGTAGAGTACTTGCCTGCATGTGTGAAGCCCTAGGTTCAATCCGCAATATATGCAAATAATTCTTTTTCTTTGTATTTTTCTGTATATTCTAAATTTTTTWAAAAATTTTGGTACAGGGGATTGAACCCACAGGTGCATAACCACTGTCCCATATCAGCAGCCCTTTTTGTAAAATATTTTATCACAGACAGGGTTGTGCTGAATTGCTAAGTACCTTGATAAGTTTCTGAGACGGGCTTTGAATTCATGTTCCTCTTGCTTTAGCCTCCTAAACATTGGGATTACAGGCTTGCGCCACCATGCCCTGTGTTGGTTTTTTTTTTTTTTAATTTTAATATTTATTTATTTATTTTTTTAGTTCTTGGCGGACACAACATCTTTGTTTGTATGTGGTGCTGAGGATCGAACCCGGGCCGCTCACATGCCAGACGAGCGTGCTACCACTTGAGCCACATCCCCGGCCCCTGTGTTGGTTTTTTGTTGTTGTGTTTTTGTTTTTGTTTAGAAAAAACTTTTTCCCCCTTGATTTATTGTTTATTTTTACTTGTTGATTTTAGGTATACATGACAGAAGAGTATATTTGAGAATTTTTATTGAATTTCCTTGACACCTATCTCTGGCTTCCTCAAGGAGGTTAATGGATAATTGGATAATTTCTGATTAGTATGTATATTTACTGGGATGAGTGGAATGATGGCAGAGGAATAGGAAAACCTTTTAGCCAAATCTCCTATCCCTGGATATCTGGTTTTATCCATGTATTTCTCAGAAAGAATAGAATGAATTCCACTGAGCAGAGAAGTGCCCATAAGAAATTTGAAAAACAAATCAGGCCTTAAGATAGTAGATTTCTGAAATGCCCGCCCTTGATGACTCTGATTAGCCTTGTATGGAAACAACCCGAAACCTGGTCTGTTTGGTTTACAAAGCTGTGGGAGCTTCACCATGGGACAGCATGAGTGTTGTAGGGGACAAGACTAGATCAGGCTTATAGTTGAGTTAAGTAGAATTTTTAAAAAATGAAACTGTGCTGTGTGGAGAAATGCAGAAGAGCCCCAATCAGAGGACCCTTAACTTGGAGCAAAGGTATGGGGACACCCCCATTGTCCAGAGGAGGATTCTGTGTCCTATGGATTAGAGTCCTTGTCCCATAAGATTTGGGCCTCATTAGAGATGTCACAGCCCACTCCCTGCTTCTGATTCTGCTCTAGTTACCAGTAGTGTTCAGGAGTATCGGAGGCTAACAGAAGCTGAGCTTCCTTTTCCTCTATGTCAGCCCATGGGTTTCTTACTTACACTTCCTTGAGTTTGCAATTCCCTTTGAGTTTAAATTCTTAAATTGGTACCGTTTTCTATTGCAATGAAACTTTTCTGTTTGCAGCCCTTCTCTAAATATTACCACGTACCTACTGAAATTTCTTTACAAAAAATTTGTATCGAACTTCTTAGTCACCTTTCTCTGGCCTCCTCAAGGAGGTAATGGGAGAGACAGAAATAAAACAGGAAGTTTCTGTTCAACATAAGGGTTTTTCATTCCATAATAAGTGTTAAGAGGTAAAATATTTACGTTGACATACAATAACAAAGAAAGCTATTGATCTGAACCTGATGTACAATGACTTATTTTGTTTTTATCTGTATAGTTTTCCTCTAGATTGATAGAAAAATTTTGAAGGTATACTTAAGGGTTTAAAAAGAAAAGCAGAGGCATCTAGACCTCTCCCTCTCCATCCTTCCATCCTTTGACCTGACTCCTGGCAATGCACTATTTATTCCTTGACAGCTGTCTAAGGATGACTCACTCTGTAGCCCTCCAGGGAACCTGGCATTTTTTTCTTTTTATTGACTTTAACTTCCTTAGTGAGAAATACACAGGTCTTAGGTGTATGCCTCAGTGAGTGTCCCCTGGGCCCTGACTCCCATTTACTCCTGTCCTTCTCCTCAGGGCCTCATTGGGGTTTTGCCTCATGTGTGCTGTCCTTTGTGACAAGCCTGGCGAGTGTATTCTCAGCTTTACTAGGCTCTCATCTTCCTTTTATTTTCTAATAGTTTTTTTGATGTTTCTTGTCTCAATAGTGTTCTCCCTTTTATCGTTTGCACTATTAAAATCRTAGTCTTATTTTGGCAAGGGAGGTCCTTTACTGGTGCCATTTACTTGTGATTCTTCTCTCATCACTGTGAACAGGCGCCTGCTTGTGCCAGAGCGAGAGACACTGTTCAATACTCTTGCCAACAACCGGGAAATCATTAACCAACAGAGGAAGAGGTTGAATCACCTGGTGGACAGTCTCCAACAGCTCCGTCTTTATAACCAAACCTCCCAGTGGAGCCTACCCTCGGCTCTCCCCACCCACAGCAGCACTCACAGGTGTGCAGGAAATTGTGTTCAGTCAGTGTGGTTGAGTGAGTGCATAAGAAACATTTGTGGAGGAATGTGGGGTGGTCTTAGGTTCAGACATGACTTTGGAAATGACTGTTCCTTATGTGGTCCCAGTCAGCTTCCTTATTCTCTCTGATCCTCGATTTCTTTGCTTTAGAAAATGGGATGACCATACCTACTCTTTGGAATTGTCAGAGAATTAAGTTTATAATGCACTGAATATTTTTTTTTTAAAGAGAGAGAATTTTTTAATATTTATTTTTTAGTTTTTGGTGGAAACAACATCTTTATTTTTTATTTTTATGTGGTGCTGAGGATCGAACCCAGCCCCCTGAATATTTTTTGTACCCGATGAAACAGCTGCTCAGTGATCACAATAGATAACAATTTAATATTGTTATATTGAAAAGTAATGGAAAGCCAGAAATGTAGCTCAGTGCTCAAGTGTCTGCCTAGCATATAGTAGGTCCTGAGTTTGATCTCTAGCATCACCAAAAAAAAAAAAAAAAAAGAAAAATAATATGATTAATTATTTGACAATTTGTCTTGGAAGCACATTCTGCTTGAGTATGGAAACCTCAGATACTTACAGATGGACATGTTAGCTCTGATGTCACCAAGGTGATTTTGTGTTTCTGCTTTTAGGCCACAAGTGTGGGTCTTTTTTTTTTAGAGAGAATTTTTTAATATTTATTTTTTAGTTCTCGGCAGACACAACATCTTTGTTGGTATGTGGTGCTGAGGATCGAACCCGGGCCGCACGCATGCCAGGCGAGCGCGCTAACGCTTGAGCCACATCCCCAGCCCCCATGTGTGGGTCTTAATTGCCCTTTCTCCTGGGGCACCAAAGTGTTAGGTTTCCTGGGGTAGTGAGCCTTTGAGATTGCTGACTCTCCTTTTACATTGGTTAATCAGATGGCATGTTTCCATGTTGAGTGTGCTCTACTGTCTTGCACTTACGCTTAAGAAGATAGTGTATCCTACAGAGCCTCAGATTTCTTAGCTCATAGTTGGTTTGTATGTAACAACTGTCCTGTTTCAGTTTTGACAGTGACCTGGAAAGCCTGCGCAATGCTTTGTTAAAAACCACCATAGAATCTCACACCAAACCTTTGCCCAAAGTACCAGGTAAGTCCATCCTTCCTATTATTCTTGTCCTGTTTCTTCTCTTCCAGCCTCTGGCATCTTAAAAACCAGGTCTTAAGCATTTATAGTTGATGAATTTCTTGCAGCTAAACTGTCCCCTGTGAAACAGGCACAACTGAGAAACTTCTTGGCCAAGAGGAAGACCCCTCCAGTGAGATCCACTGCTCCAGGTAAAGGGAATGGCTCCTCAAGTTTTTTGATATAAGTCACATAGTACATAGTATTGGGATGCAGTGGAGGGTGGGAGGAGTTGTTTTTGGTTTTAATGATGGATCCAGAAAATATCCCCAGAATCTGTTGTTAGTGTGGATGTGGATTAAGAAGCAGCTTATATTTACTCAGTGAATCAGCTCAAGGTAGTGGCTCTGGCTCTTACTCCATGCTTTCTGCAGCCCTGGCAGAGATTGACAAGGCCTTGGGCAGGCCACGCTGGATCCTAGCCCCATATTTTCCTAATTTGCATGGGGTTTTGAGTACAATTACATTGGAAAAAAGGATTCTTAAGAGGAGCTGGGGACGTGGCTCAGTGGTAGAATGCTCGCCTAGCATGTGTGAGGCACTAGCTTTGATTCTCAGCACCACATGAAAATAAATAAATAAAATAAAGGTATTGTGTCCAACTACAACTAAAAACACACACATATACACACACATATATTATATATATACACACACACACACACACACACACACGTGTATATATATAAAAGGATTCTTAAGAAAGAAGGAGGGCTAGGACTGTAGCTCAGCGGTAGAGCACTTTCTTCACAGTTGTGAGGCATTGAATCTGATCCTCAGCACCACATAAAAATAAATAAAGATACATTGTGTTCATCTACAACTAAAAAAAAAAATTAAGAAAGAAAAAAACAACTGATTAGGGTTGGGGCTGGGGCTGGGGCTCAGCAGTAGATCGCTTGCCAGCACATGCAAGGGACAGGGTTCGATCCTCACCACCACATAAAAATAAATAAAGGTAATGTGTCCAATTAGAACAAAAAAAAAATAAAAAAACAACTGATTGGRCAGTGGTGATTTAAAATATTTGCAGAAATAAAGGATGTACCCGAGAAACAATGCTTTATGCCATTAAATTATCTAGATAATTGCCTTAATTTTCTGGTTAAAAAAAAATAAATCATCTTGTTTTATGGGAGAGACAGAATATCTGTGTTTGTCTTTGAAATTCTTTTTTAAGTTAAAAAAATTTTTTATGCCACTAACCAATACCTTTTAGAAATCTATTAAAATAGCTGAAATAAATTTAGTTTAATCTTATTGTATCTTTTTTTTTTTTAGTAATCATATAGGACTAAATTAGGTAATAGTCATAGACAAGTACATTTTTAAATAATTTTTTCTTAAGAATATATTCTCTTTGTAGATAATTGGGGAAAATATGAGCAAGTATAAGGAAGAATAAAAGTTACTCTCTACCTCTTGGCACAGATATGGCCTTACCTCATCATTTTGGTTTACTCCCCAATGTTTTTACTTTGCATATGTAAATCTGATTTTTTTGCAAACACTTTTGGGATTAGAATGAGTATGGTTTTGTGTTCTGATTTTTTTAAATTAAAAATTCATAAACCTTTGTTATAAAACATGAACAAAATAAAATAAATATTGATGAGGATATGGAGAAATTAGAGCCCTCTGCACTGTCAGAGGGCAGCCTCTGTGGGAAATGGCACAGCCTCTGTGGGAAACAGTTGGAGGTTCCTCAGGAGGTTAAAGTGTCATTGTGTGCTCCAGTCATTCCAGTTCTTGGTCTGTGCCTTGAAGATTGAAAAACGGGATTTCAGAGATATTTACATGCCCATGTTTATCATAGCATTATTCACAGTAGCCTTCTTTTTCTATTTTGTATTTAGATTTCCGATTATCCCAACAGTGTTATTGAAGACTCTGCTCCCTGCTTAGCAAGGCCTTCTCTGTTCCAAATCAATTATCCATTTATATGTATGTCTTCTGGTTTTGTATGTTGATTAGAAAGTACTACAACCACTCTGTCTTAATTAACAAATGCTAAAATAAATCTCAGTACTGTTTGTTTTCTAGATTCTTGAGCTGTGCTGTCCAATCTAGTACCCTATTTAAATTGAAGTTAATTTACGTTAAATTAAAAATTCAGTTCCACAATCCTGGTAGCCACGTTTCAAGAGCTCATTGGGTGCATGAGACTGGTGGCTACTGTGGTAACAGATGCAGGACATTTCAACATTTCAACATTATCGCAGAAAGTGCCCCAATCTAGAGCAGGGTTGGCAGACATTTTTGTAGATGACCAGGTACAGGCCCAGGGGTTTCTGTTACACCTCCTCAGTTCTGCCGCTGTAAAGGGAAAGCAGCCACATTGTGTAAGGAAAGGGGTCTTCGGGTCAGTCAGGCCTCATGGAGCAAGACTGCCATCCCATGGTTGTAGTTTGCTGGCCCCGATCTAGAGCGTTTTGGCTCTTCTTGGAACTTTACATTTTCATATTAACATTAGAGCTGCCTTTTAAGATTCTGCCTCCATGTGTAGGCCAGACCATTGTAGCAGGGAGTAGAAAAGCACTGCCAAGGGCTGGAGGGCACAAAGGGGAGTTAGTGTTTAATGGGGACCGAGCTTCAATTTGGAAAGATGTGAAGAGTTCTGGAGATGGTGGTGGTGATGTTTGCACAGTATTATGAATACATTTTAACATCACTGGACTGTTAAGGGTAAACTTTTTGTCTTATGTTTTACCACATTGAAAAAATCATGGGGAGAGAGTCAACTTCCTAGAGCCTTCAAAGAAAAGTTGAGATTTTGGGATTGTATGAATCTGTGGGTCACTTAGAGAATTGACATTTGCAGAATGGTGTGCCTTTTCCTTTTTTGAACATGGTACACGTTTGTTTCTTTGGGTCTTTAATTCTTAATAAGTTTTCTGCATGGGAGGTATGCCCATCTTTTGTTAGATTTATTGCTGAGAATTTAATTTTTTGCACTCTTATGATGGTGGATATATTCTTTCATTAAGTTTATGTTTTATGTTGGGCACAGTATGCAGAAATACATTTTATTTTTGGATATTGACTTCATAGCCAGCAACCTGGCAAAACTCATTTGTTCTAATAATATGTCTGAAGCTATTTCTTAGACCTGTAGCTATGGAAATAATTACATCCTCCATATATACCAGCATTTTTCTTTCTGCCCTCCTGGTCATTTGATTTTCTTATTTCACTGGTTAGGACATCCATTCTAGCATCCAATAGAAGTGGTGAGTGGGTGTCCTTACCTTGATCTCAGAAGGAATATTCTTCACTGAGATGATCAGCAGATTTCTTGCCGCTTCCTCCTTCCCCCACCCCCACTGTAGCAACTTGTGAGTCACATAGTTGTGCTGGCTCTGCTTTCTACCCATTTCTCAGGAAGTTTCTGTCATTACCAACTCCTGAACTAGGAGTTCAGAGAAATGATGGAGAGCGGCCCCAAAAAATGTGAATTGTATTTTTTTATTGTGGATGCCATAACATTGTCATAGAGGCTTCAGACAGCACCTGCTGTCTCACAGCTCTGAGACAGAAGTCTGGATACTGTGTGGCTCTGCTGGGTCCTCTGCTTGGGGCACAGAGGCTGTCCTCTTGAGTGTTGGCTGCACTGGGCTTTTACTGGGGCTCCGGGAAGGATGTGGCTTCCATGTTCCTTAAGGTTGCTGGCAGAGTAGGTTCCCTGCACCTGGAGGATGAGGTCTCTGTCTTCTCTACGTGTGCTCCTCGCCACTGTTATTTGTAAGTCATCGTCGTCTTTCATTTTTGATGGTACTGGGGATCAAACCCAGGGCCTCGCAAATGCTAGGCTGGCCCTTTACCACTGAGCTACACCCCCGGCCCTTTTTAATTTTTCTTTTGAGACACTCAGTTGCTAAGGCTGACCTTGAGCTTGCAATCCTCCTGCCTTGGCCTCCCAAGTCACTGGGATTACCCGTATACAATACCACACCCAACTCTTTTTGGCCTTTGAGTTCATGGGATTTTACATGGGCCCACCTGGATGATCAAGGATCAGCTCCTTGTTGTAAGGTCAACAGACTGTTGATCTTATCTGCAGATTCCCTTCTGTCATCACCACACATAAGTATGTGGCACTAGGGGATAAAAAGTCATGGGGTCAAAATTCTGTCTGGCATGGGGTTCAGTCTGAGGTAACAGATTGTTAAATCAGATTGTGGTCTTTGAAGTAAGGTACACAGGGGTTTGAATTCTCACTCTACATTTACTAGGTTTGTGACTTTGTAGAAGTTACTTTACCTTATAAGTATAACTATCAATTCAGACAATAGCAATTTTTAATTTATAGGATAACTGATAATTAAATGGGGTAATGCTTGTCGATGCTTTGCATAGCACCTGGCACCAAGTAAGTTCTCAGTGAACGTTAACTGTGATTTCCTGGTGGTGCTCGTGGCTATGGGTGGAGTTGCTAAGTGACCCTGCTGTGTTTTGATTTGCCTCAAAATACTCTAGCACACTAGTATCCAGTAGACTTTTCTGTGATTGCTTAAAAGTTATCTGCTGTCCAAAACAGTGTCCTCTGGCTGCATGAGGCTTTTGAGCACTTGAAGTGTGGGTGGTGTAGCTGAGTGGTGGAAGTTTTCCTTTGTTTACCTCTAACTGCCTTAGATTTAAATAGCCACAGATGGCTAGTGGTTGCCAAATTGGACAGTCCAGCCCTTGTACCCGCTATTGATTTTTAGCTACATTTCTTTATGTTACATTTATATAGTGGTATCGAGATCTTGCAAAGTGGTGTGCCTACAGGACAGATAAGTTGAAACTGAGCAAAGTTGCTTTGAATAACATTGGGGAGGAGAAAAGGCTCCGCATTTGTTTTTGGTACTTTTCACTATACAGGCAGGAGCCTGCTCTGAAATTCATGGTAGAAAGTAATGTGGCACAAAGCCTTACTTTATAGTTTTAAAAAGGGGGAGAGAAAACCAGAGAAGGCCAGGATTAGGTTGTGTATGCTTAATAGACTGAGTCAGAAGAATCCTGTGTTTATCTGGAAACATTTGAGACACCCAGGACCAAGGCCACTTTGTGCTTCCCAGCTTGCATTAAGCCTGTTCTTGGAAGGTTATTGTTGGAAAGCACAGCAGTGGTGTGACCGTTCACCCTGCCCTGGAAGCTTGTTTGTTTACTTTTCTGATGTTATTTTTCTGTGGGTGAGGACTTGTGGGGAGGACTCAAGGTCTTTTGGTTTTCCACCAGCAGAAATTCTCTTTTTCTCATGCATTTGTTTCATAGTCAGGATGTGCTCGTCAAACATAGTTTTTCAAAACTTTTTTTTTTTAACTTTGCACAAATACTTTTATTTATTTATTTATCCTTTTTAGATATACATGATTGTAGAGTGTATTTTTTTATTTTGTTTTTTAGATTTTTTAAAAAAATTTTTTAGTTGTAGATGGACACAATGCCTTTATTTTATTTATTTACTTCTAATGTGCTGCTGAGGATCGAACCCAGTGCCTCACAAGTGCCAGGCAAGCGCTCTACCATTGAGCCACAATCCCAGCCCCAAGTAAGAGATTATTTTGACATATTATACATGCATGGAGTATAATTAGGATCCCATCCTTGTGATTGTACACATGTGTTGTATCCATGTATGAACATAGGAAAGTTATGCCCAGGTCATTCTACAGTCTTTTCTGTTTCCATCCCTGTTTGAAGCTCCTTTTGATCAAAGACCGAGAACTGTCTTTCTTTGCATTTGACAATAGCTATTTCCACTTAAAATACATCATAATTAAGTCATTTTACAAATTGGATATGTGTCTGTTGACAGTGAAAATGACACAGCTTTTAGGCTTGTTTTGAGTTGTCTGAATTGTGTTTTGTTGGGGCTTCTGTAGCCAGCCTGTCTCGGTCCGCCTTCCTGTCTCAGAGATACTATGAGGACTTGGATGAAGTAAGCTCGACATCATCTGTCTCCCAGTCTCTGGAGAGTGAAGATGCCCGGGCATCCTGCAAAGACGAGGAGGCGGTGATCCAGGTCCCCCGGCATGCCCCTGTTGTCCGCACTCCTTCCATCCAGCCTGGTCTCCTCCCCCAGACGACACCTTTTGCTAAATCTCACCTGCTTCATGGTTCCTCACCTGCGGGGATGGGACCCTTGAGTAAGTTAACAGTGAGAAAGGAAACCTCCCCATTAGGTTGTTACCGAATAAAGGAGCTAGAGCTGGGTATCAGTGTCTGTACTTCTCCGCATTGAGGTGACTTCTGGTGGAGAAGAGATGTGAGCGGAAGGGGCTGAAATGGCCAGATTTTATGAGAGGAGATCAGGGAGCTGATCAACACTAGCATGAAAGTGACCTCTCCATCGGTGTCAGGGAATTTTGGTGCAAATTATTTTAGCCAGTGCACAGGCAAACTGCACTTGTGTTGGAATGATTCAGGTTGCCAGCCTGTCGGTTTACTGGTACTTTCCTATGTTAATGCTTAAGAATGTTTAGTGTTAACATTTTCCCTGTAGCCTAGCATGGAGAATTTACCATTTTAACTTTTGTATGTTCCTCTTCTCTGACCTACTTCTTGCTTAATTTTTCTCTTCCCCTCAGTGTCTATGTCTTGTAGCAAAATTATTCCTCAAGGGGCTGACAGCACAATGCTGGCTACGAAAACCGTGAAGCATGGCGCACCTGGTCCTTCCCACACTGTGGCAGCTCCCCAGGCCGCTGCTGCTGCAGCCCTGAGGCGGCAGATGGCCAATCAAGCACCAGGTAGACACTGCACAGCAGCGTTTGGGAGACTGATGATGAGCTGGCTGAGTTGCAGGTCCAGGGAGCAGGCGGGTCACAGGACACCTTCTGACCCCTGGCTCTCTTTGCTGCCCTTCAGAGAAGTTTCAGGTGTTGTCCTTGCCCCTTGTGGGCAGGGAGCACCCAGAAGACAGAGACTAGCTCTGAAATATTTTTCCTCTTAAGGAGAGGTACTGGATCTACACCAGTGAGTTGAATGGGACATCAGTGGCTGTTTTGATGATGTTGATATTCCCTGTTTTTGAATGATGTCTGCTTTGAGCCCTAAAATTAAATCTCTGAAATTAGACCTTTAATAACATTAATTCCATCTCACAGCGTATGGAGGATCCCAGCCACCCGGGAGAGTGTGTGTTAGTGTGCCCTCCTCGAGTTTCAGTAGTGTGAGATTCAGAGAAGCAATGGTGACCCGACCAATTCACGGCAGAACCTGACTCCAGCCCTGGGCTCTTGCTTCAGACAGTTCTCCTCAGCCTTGTGGGGTGGGCTTCCATGTACGGAGACTCTAATGAGCTCCGACATTTTGTCAGCTCGACGTTTGGTTTGTAGCTGTCCAAAATTTTCTGTATTAGAATTTAACAGTTTGGGTACTTGGCTGCAAAGACACTAGTTATCACTAGTTATCAATTTTGTAGGGCAATGGTTCTCAACTGGTGCTCTCGCCCAACTCCCCACCTCTTGAAACAGTTGGTGGTGTTGCTGGCATTTAGTGAGTAGCAGCTGGGAAGGCTACAGAAAATCTTTAAGTACATAGGACTCTCCCACAACAGGCTTATCCAGCCCAAGGTGTCGGTTGTGCCAGGATTGGCCAACTGATAAAAACCAGATATTCTTATTTTAAGATTAAAAAGACATGGTGGGTTGATATAGGCAAAAAATTAGTATTAAACAGTGATAAAAGATTTCTAAGAGAAGTACAAATATTAAATAAAACTCTCTTAAGGCTCCTGAAATAAATATTGAAAAGTAAGAGTCAGAAGACAGCTTTCTAAGCTACCTTTGAGCTTTTAGAAATTATAATTTCTTATGTTTCTCTTTATTATGTGGACCAAGCAGAATCACAGCATTGTGCTGATCAGGCCCCAGACCCTGCTGATCGAGTGGATTGTTTGTAAGCTTAAAATCTGCCAGGATTTAGGAATGTTCTATTCTCAGCAAGAGGTGGTGTGATCTCCATTTTTATGTTGGAAGCAAAATTTTCTAAGGTGTAGGCACCTCTGAAGGTAAAGGATGAAATTTCTGCAGTCATAGGCAGCACAATCTTGGTCACTTGTCTGAGGAAGAAAATAACTCTGCCTGGGACGCAGCTTTCACATTTGTCCAGGGTGTAGCCCGAAGAGAACCTGGAGCTTTGCTGAGGCTTTCCTGATAATTAATTACAGAATGCCAATAAGTCTTTGGGAATACAGTTTAAAGTTAGAAGATAAAAGGAGGGGTAAAAGCTGGTGAGGTAGATAAGGTAGGTAAGCAGATGTCGAACACCCCTGTTGCCTTGGTTCAGGCCTCTGGCCTTCTCCCCCGTTCAGCCCAAGCTCCATTTTCCACATTTTATTGTATTGGACTGTCTGCTTCACTAAGCCATGAACCCTATTAGAGAAGAAGTGGTAGTTTTGATAGCTTTTGTGGTCAGCACTCAACAGTGCCTGGCACACAGTAAGCCCATGGTGAGGAGGGACCAATGGATAGAGGGCAGAAAGCCCAAGTCTGGATGCTGCTCATCCGCTGGCCCTTTTCCAGGGTGAGCCAGTAACACAGCAGGTACCTCTGCTCTGCTGGAGGAAGGCAGGCCAAGGAAATTTTTGCCCTGCACTGGTACGTTTGGTTAAATTCCAGAAAACCTGGTTTCATGGCCTTGGTTAATGGAGCAGGCCAGCTGTCCTGTGCAATACACCGCTGAGTAGATTTCCTCATGTAATAAAGTTGCAGTTGGCTCCAGGTCATGTCCTGGTTATTCATTTCTATGTGGCTAGAATTTTTTATCCTTTACTGGAGTTAATCTGGTCCTTTCTCTTCTCCATTTACATAGCTGTGAGTACTTTGACTGAATCAACTCTGAAGAATGTCCCTCAAGTGGTGAATGTGCAGGAATTGAAGAATAATCCTGCGGCCTCTGCTGCAGCCATGGGGTATGTTGTAGCGTTTGGGTGTGTTCAAGCCAGTCTGTCTGGGGTGGAGGGGAGCTGCCTGCAGGGTGCAGCAGTGCTGCCGCCATGTGGCTTTCCTACTTCTCCACAGTGGATACTAGTGGGATGGACAGCCCTGCTGCCTCCACAGTTGATTTCCAGGAGGTTGTCCCTGCACCTTGCCAGGAACAGTCACCTCGTAAGCCTTTCAGGGCCCTCTTGGTATACTCAGCTTGCTATGGGCTATGTTAGTCTGCATGGCATACCACTGGGCTGCTAGGTCAGGTGTGCAGTTGGTTTTTTAATGTTCTCAGGGATCCAGAGTTGACACTTCAGGCCTACTGCTGTCACCTGATTCTGAAGACTGGTGATTTAAGATTCTTCCTTCCTCACCTCCTCTCTCCAAGCATTACTGTTCTTTGGTTCCTTTTTATATGAAGAAACAGTGGTTTAAAAGCCAGCAGCTGTGTTTGGTAGACCTCATGCTACTCTTCTGGGCAGCGTAGTTCGTGGTACATACCTGTGTCCTGCTTCGTTCCCTAATCCTTTAGACCAGCCAGCCTCTTGTGTACCATGGGGAAAAGTTGAAGGACATTTCCTCAGTTTGAATGTGGAGGTCATGAGTATCAGTGTCTTTCAGGGAGTTAGTGTCTAGTACGCACAATTAGTCCAGGAGCAAGAAGAGCGGCCACAGGTACTGTGGTCTCTCCAGCATGCCCACCCTCTGCCACCACCATGGAGCAGACCTGTCCACAGCTGTTTTTGCTTGGTTGAGTGGTGCTGCTTTTCCAGACAGTTGGCCTTCTCTTTTCTCTATGATCATTTGTTTATCATGACTGCCTATTCCAGGAATGTTTTAGTTATCTCAGGGTCATGATAACAGGCAAAAAAACAAGCCTACCCTCTTTTCTATCTAGTAGTGACCTTGAAGCCTTGGAATGCTTTCGAGATCAAAGTAGTATTTGTGGTGGTTGAGAACCTTTGAGAGAGAGAGAGAGAGTACGCGCGAGTGTGTGTGTCCGAGTGAGCACTGTGCGTCAGCCTGGAAACTCTAGCTAGATTCCCACTATAGGGAAGGCAGAGGGAACAGCCGTGAGAGCCAGTGTACCAGGCCAGGGAGGTGCAGTGCATGGGGGAAGAAGCCTGACCTGGTGTCCGTGAGGTGTCTTCCACTAACCACAGTGCTGGTACTCCCACCTTTCTTGGGCTCTGTCTCCCTCCAGTGCTCATCTGAGCTGATCTTTGATAAGGACTTTGTTCAAGAGATACTTCTTCGTTTGCTCTTTTTCTTTCTTTCTTTTTTTTTTTTTTTATATATTTTATTTTTAAGTTGTAGTTGGGCACAATACCTTTATTTTATTTATTCATTTTATATAGTTCTGAGGATTGAACCCAGGGCCTCTCACGTGCTAGGCTAGCGCTCTACCACTGAGCCCCAGCCCTAGCCCTGTGTTTGTTCTTTTCTGACAAGAAAAATAAAACACAAACGTTGAAGAATCTTGAATTTTATCTTCTCTCCATAGACTTGAACTGTGGTATATTATTTACTTTACATGCTCAGCATTGCCTAAAACAGTTCTTTTAATAACCATTTATTCAATAATTGTTGATAACTGAAATTTTTATTTATATCTTCCCCCCATAGGAAAGACTGGGAAGGGAACATGTCCATTACTTTTCAGATTCTATGCCGCAGTAGTTTCTCATGTGTATTTTAAGTATTTTGCGTTCAACTCTAAGTGGTATCTTAGAGATTTACTACAGCATGAGTTCGCGAATTTCTGCTTCAGTCTATTTCATCTTCCTTGGTTTCATTGTGTTTGTTGACCAGCCCTCCCATTTAGTGGATGAGTGTTTATCTGTACAAATCCATGGCTCTTCAGACTCCTCTGTAGGGCTCAAGCTCTCACTTCTGCAGGTGCTCTGAGATTAGGGAAACGGGAGGGGGGGGGCTGAATCCTCACTCACACAGTGCTGACGGTCCAGCAAGAAGACAACCAGGGAGCTACAGTCGCGTGACTCCTTAGTTGTGATGGCTTAAGGTCCCATGAAGTACTAGGAAAGCAGAATAGGGCAGCTAAGTGAGTCTGGGCTGGGAAGGAGCTAGATAAGGAAAAGATGCTTCCGTGGAAATGTGAAGAATGACCAGAAATTGCTAGGCAGAGAGTGGAGAGAAGTAATGAAGCAGGCCAAACACTCCTGGAGACAGACAATAAGCAGAATAAATTAGCAAACTATGTAATATGTGAGGTGGTGATGGGCGCAGTGGAGAAAATTAATGTGGGGGAAGGGCTCAGGAAGTGTCTGGGAAAGGGTTACAGTTTTAATAGGGTGTCCAAGAGGGGTCATTTGGGTGAAGAGCAGGTCCCTTGAATAGTGGAGTGCGGAAAGCCCCAAGCACAGGGTCTATAGCAGGCATGTCTGGGAGGTTCCTAGTGAGCCAGGAGGCCTTTGGTGGCCAGAGCTGGAAGGGAGCACAGGTTAAAAGGTTGGGGAATACATTGCTGGACAGAGTGTCTTGAGACCCTGCTTTCCATTCTTTGGGGTATACATTTAGGGGTGGAATTGCTAGATCATATGGTAATTTTTTATTTTGTGTTTTGGTACCAGGGATTGAACCCAGGGGCGCTTAATCACTAACCCACATCCCCAGCCCTTTTTATTTTTTATTTTGAGACGAGATCTTGCTAAATTGCTTAGGGCTTTGCTAAGTTGCTTAGTCTGGCTTTGAACTTGTGATCCTTCTTCCCCAGCCTCCTGAGTGGCTGGGATTACAGGTATGCACCATCATGACTTGCTCATGTGGTAATTTTATTTTTACCTTTTTGCATTGTTTTACATTGTTATACAGTTTATATTCCCAACAGCAGTATTTATGGGGCTCCAGTTTCTCCACATCTCCACCAACACTTGTTATTGACTATTTTTTTTAATTACAGTCATCCTCAAAGGTATGAAGTGGTTTCTTATTCACAAAAATTGTAGTTTTGTTTTTAGTTTTTAAATTTTATTCATTGTGATACAAGGGCTTGAACCCAGAGTCTCATGAATGCTAGGCAAGCACTCTGCCACTGCATTAGCTATATCTCCACTCACATTGTGGTGTTTTGTTTTGTTTTGGAGTACCAGGGATTGAATTCAGGGCACTCAACCACTGAACCACATCCCCATCCCTATTTTGTATTGACAGACAGGGTCTCACTGAGTTGCCTTTGCTGAGGCTGGCTCTGAACTTGTCATCCTCCTCCCTCAGCCTCCTGAGCTGCTGGGTCACATTATGTTTTTGTTTTGTTTTGTTTTGTTTTTAGTTGTACACGGACACAATATCTTTACTTATTTTTTTTTTAATATTTATTTTTTAGATGTAGTTGGACACAGTACCTTTATTTTTTATTATTTATTTTTATGTGGTGCTGAGATTGAACCCAGGGCCTTGCACATGCTAGACGAGCACTCTACCCACTTAGCTACATCCCCAGCCCCACATTATGGTTTTGATTTGCATTTTACTCATGGCTGATGATGATGAGTGCCTTTTCATGCTTATCACCATTTGTTCCTTTTTTGGAGAAATGTCTAGTTAGTTTATTGTTGTTGTTGTTTAGGTGATACTAGGGATTGGACCCAGGGAGGCTCTACCACTAAGCTGCCTACTAAGTTGCCTAGGCTGACCTCAAACTTGCAATCGTCACTGGGACTATAAGCATGTACCACTGCAGCTAGATTTCTTCTTTGCTGGTTTTGAAATTGAGTTATTTTTCTTTTATTGTATTTTTTAAAAATACAGTTTGTATCCCATCTCTTATCAGATGTATAACTTACAAATATTTTCTCCCATTCTTTGGGTTGTCTTTCACTTTCTTGATACATCCTTTGACACAAATTTTTCATTTTGATCAAGTCTCATCTATTTTTTCTCTTATTGCTCGTGTTTCAGGTGTCACATTTAAGAAACTGTTACCTAATCCACAGTTGTAAGATTCACACCTGACACCAGTATTATCTTTTAAATTAAGAGGTTTTTTTTAACCTTTGTTTTTTATTTATTTATTTTTTTTATGTGGTGCTGAGGATCAAACCCAGTGCCTCACAGGTGTTAGGCAGGCTCTCTCCCACTGAGGCACAACCCCAGACTGCTCTTTAAGAGTTTTTAATTTTCAGCTCTTACATTTAGGCCTTTAATCCAATTAAGTTCTGTAAGTGGTATGAGGTAGGGGTCAAATTCCAGTCTTTTGAATGTGGCCTGGCATCCTTGCCACATTGATTGGTCTTTGATGTTAAACCAGTAATGATATACTGCCTTTTTTTGTGTATGAATGAACACGGTTTGCTCAAATTTTAAGAATGTTTGCCTCTACCTTAATGAGGAATATTAGTCTGTAATAGTATTTCTTTTTTTCTAATGTCTTTGTTGAGTCTTTGTCAGAGTAACGCTTTTCTTACAGAATGAATTAGGAAGTGTTCTTCTCTTCAATTTCCTGAAAGTGTCTATGTAGATTTGGTATTTCATCCTTAAATGTTGGGTTGAATTTACTAGTGGGACTGGATGGGCTTGGGATTCCCAGTCTCTTCCACAGGGCCTCATCCTTCTTGGTGATGCTCCCTGCACACTCCCATAGAGCCTGGGTTCTGCCTGCTGGTGGTGGGAGTGTTCTGTAGATGCTGATCAGGTTAAGCTGGTTCTCAGGTGTTTAGGTCTTCTACATTCTTAATACTTGTCCTATCAAGTAAGAGAGTGATGTTGGCATTTTGTGAATTTTCCTGTTTTCCTTGTTGGCATTTTGTTGTCATGTTTTGAAATTTTTAGTTGCATGAACATTTAGGACTCTGTGTTCTTTGATGAACGGAGCTAGTTATTACAAAATGATGCTCTTCATCCCTGGAAGATGAATTGCTTAGAAATCTTTTTTGTTCCATGTTAGTACTTCCATTCCATCTTCCTTTGTGTAGTGTTAACATGGTATATCTTTTTTTCATTCTGTTTTTTGGGTTTATTTTGTGTCTTTATATTTAAAATGGGTTTATTATAGCACAACAGTGTGAATATACTTACTACTACTGAACTCTAAACTGTAAAATGATTAATTTTTAGGTGGCAAATTTTAGTCCATCCAGAAGTCTAACTTTGCATTTAAGTACAATGGAGTGATTATCAGCATGTTTGGGTTTAAATCCACCATGTACTACTGTTTGTTTTCTATTTGTCCAACTTCTTCTTTGTTTCATTTTTCTCTCTACCTTCCTTTGAATTGACTTTTTTTTTTTAATGATTCTATTTGATCGTTTTTGTTGCCTTACTGACTATACCCCTTTAAGTAGTTGGTTTAGGCTCATAGGCTACGTCTTTAGCTTATTGTACTATGTCTTCAGGTGATGTTATACTACTGCTAGAGAGGATGTGAGACTCTCACAGCAGTGTTCTGGGACTTCTCCCTTCTCCTTTGTGCTGCTGTGGTACATTTTACTGCCTTCTGTGTTATAAACCCTATCATTTGTTATAAAGAGTTGATTCTCTTTTAAATGACTTTAAGAAGAAAATGTATTTCTTATCCATGTATTTACTGTGTTCTTCATTCCTTTTTAGTCCTTGGTTTCTATCTAATACCATTTTCTGTCTGCTTGACAAAGGACTTCCTTTAGTATTTCTTCTGAATTCTGAATTTCTAGGTTTTATATGTGTGCTGTAGGCTTTATTTTGCCTTTTGTTGTTGTGTTTGAAAGTTGCTTTCATTGGGTAAAGAATTCTAGGATGACTTTTTTTTTCCTTTCACTGATTTAAGGATGCTGCTTGACTTTTAAAATAATTGTAATAATGACCCAACAGTTAAAAAAAAAACTTTATTTTTCTTATTACAAATGCTCATTCTAGGCTTTACTAAAAAACAGTTAAGAACAACAAAACTAAAGTCGCCTTTATTCATACTACAAATGTATAATCGCTGTTTGCATATTTTTAAATTTTTCCTGTGAAAATGTATCTTTTTAAAGTAAAATTTGGATACATGCTGCTTTGTAACTCCTTCATCTTAATCATGAAATACAATTGTTTATGTTTTCCATGTTATTAAACTTTTTCCTATAAAATCCTATTTTCTTATTTCACATGAGTCTTTTGGAAGCTCCAACTTCAGTTCTAACTTAAATTATCCAGGTTATTTCACATCTTGACCTTTATGCAGGACCTACAGTTTGATTTAACAGATTTTTGGATAATGTTTGACTCCTCAACAACATAAAGTTTACCAGTGGGGACGATAGTTGGCCATTATAGCTTCATTGATGGACTTCAATGTCCCCGAAGAATGAATTGTTTTCCATTAACAGAAATAGAAATATTTTTTCTTTTTCCCTCTGAGTTTGTTTCTTCAAATTTTTGTTTTGTTTTTAAAATATTTTTAGTTGTAGGTGGGCGCAATACCTTTATTTTATTTGTTTATATGTGGTGCTGAGGCTCAAACCTAGTGCCCCATACATGCCAGGCAAGCGCTCTACCACTGAGCCACAGCCCCAGTCCTCTTCAGTGACTTTTTTTTTTTTATATTTATTTTTTAGTTTTCGGTGGACACAACATCTTTATTTATTCGTTTATTTATTTTTTAAAGAGAAAGTGAGAGAGGGGAGAGAGAGAATTTTTAATATTTATTTTTTAGTTCTAGGCAGACACAACATCTTTGGTATGTGGTGCTGAGGATCGAACCCAGGCCGCACGCATGCCAGGTGAGCGCGCTACCGCTTGAGCCACATCCCCAGCCCCATTTATTTATTTTTTTAATTTGTATGTGGTGCTGAGAATCAAACCCAGCGCCGTGTGCATGCCAGGTCAGCGCACTACTGCTTGAGCCACATCCCCAGCCCCCTCTTCAGTTAACTTTTGATAAGTTGTCCTGTTTACTTACTTACCTTTAAATTACTACCCTAAAATTCATTATTCTTAAATAATTCACTTTAGTGGCTTACACAGTTTAGATCTGCTCTGTTACATACACAAGCAATACTTGCAATAATGATGAAGATTTACCAAAATAAAACATAACCCGGTCTCTCATTTTTTTAAGTCCTTAAAAATGATGAAACAGGTGAAAAGAGTGAGCAGTTGGCCCTTTTCACCACAATGGAATGAATTTTACCTTGTTAAAGTTTCTTTTTTTTTTTTTTTTTAGTTGTAGCTAGACACAATACCTTTATTTTATTCATATATTTTTATGTGATGCTGAGGACCAAACCCAGGGTCTCGCAGGTGCGAGGCGAGCGCTCTACCGCTGAGCCACAACCCCAGCCCCTGTTAAAGTTTCTTAAAGCTTAAAGGGCCACAGAGAAAGGGCCTAGGCAACATTTTACTGCTTCACAGCTTAACATCTCTCTTTTGTGATTGTGCCATTTTCTGCTTGTAGTCCTTTGGTTTTGTTTCCAGGCGTGGAACAGAGAGTTTCAGGATGAGTTGCTGGTGTCCGTCAGGTCTGTCGTCCTAGAAGGTAGGATGCAGCCTTCTAAGACACAGTCATCTGGATTGGCTTTAACATCTTGTGAGCCTCCAGCTATTGATTTCCRTGTGTTAGCTCACGATTGTGCACAAATATTGAGTGTATTTATTTGGGAGCCTGCTATTCTTTTCTGTTCGCCCTTTTGGAACATGGTAAGATTTTTGGTTTATTGACTGAATTTTTCTGTAGTGGTGTCACATGGCCTGGTATGTAGGTACTGTGAATCATTAATGGTGTGTGTTTGGGGATTTAGGATACCCAGGAGATGTATAACATTGTCACAAGTAAATAGAACAGGGGCTGGGGATGTGGCTCAAGCTGTAGCGCGCTCGCCTGGCATGCGTGCGGCCCGGGTTCGATCCTCAGCACCACATACCAACAAAGATGTTGTGTCCGCCGAGAACTAAAAAATAAAAAAAAAAAAAAAAAAAAACAAGTAAATAGAACAGTAATTATACTGAGTGCATCATTTAATTTATTCTCATATGGTAACCAAATTTGGGATATAAATTTTTTTTTCAAGATTTGGATACATTGCTGCATTTATTTTTATTCCTAGTTTTCTTTTATTTGTCATTGAGAAAGCTTAAAAGAGTTTCACTTCCCTTGTGATTCTCATGGGCTCAAACTATTTCTCTTAGCAAGTCTGCTGTGTCCACCCAGGGATCTCTGGGTCCCAGCCGTCTTGCGAATTCCATTTCTCCATTGGAGATGAGCAGAGGTGAGGGGAGAGCACTGTGTCTGTGTGCCTGCTTGGTGAAACATCTCAGGGCAACAAGGATGTATTTCTCCAGAGAGATGCACATTTACAGGTTCTTCTAGCTTTAGTCGAAACAGATTTTGTTTCATTGAAAATAAGTGTATTTTTCTTCTTTCAATCTAATAAAGTCTGTTTGGAAGGTTTCTGTGTTTTTCCAGCATAGAATCCTGATGTGATTAAGTTGTTGGATAATTTTCTCCATGAGGCATCAGCCTGTCATTCCTCTTCCAAGTTAACTTTTTGCTAGAAAATTTTTAATAATCCTTCCTAAATCTAGGAAGAGTTCTAAAAAATGAAACCAGATCCTACAGCTATTACTGTTAKACATTTCAGTCACAGTAGCATTGGGTGGAGGACAGATCGATGGATTGAAAAAATTGTCCCCAGGAGGCATTTCTCCAATGCAGTTGCATTGACAGGTGATTTTTTCCACCTGGTGACACAAACACTTAATGAAATAACAGTTCCCAGCACACAATGCCAGGGTTAATAGAGGATAGTGACGGGAAGGCTTTCTGCAGGTAGGGGTGCACTTTTCATACTGGATCAAAGTGCAGGCTGGAAATGAAACAGTGGMACCGTTGACTCCCTTATATGCTGACCCATGGGCCCTGCACTCTTGGGGATAGCTGCTGTGAGAAGCTAGATTTTCTTTTTGGATAGCACCTTTGAGCTATGTGGCAGCACCTATATATTCCATAGATCCTGTTGAACATTTTTCCAGGTTTGGAAAAGAGTATCAGGAATTCCCAACATGGTCTAGAATGGGAGGAGGTCAAAAAGAGGGAGGRGTCCCCCTCTAGATAAGAAAAAGATCTAGTGATCAATAGTTGAAAATTATTTTCTTAGAATGACAGGAAGGAAATAAGTTTTAAGGTCACTGCTTTGCCTTTTATGCTACAAATCCAGATTTCATTTTAAAAATTTATTCTTCAGTCAACAAAATGTCAGATGAGTTTGGTTGGGATCCCAGACATCTGTATTCTACCCAAAATTGGTGTATTGGACAGAATGTTGGTTCAAGGATGAATGTGACTTCCACCCAGACCTGCCTCTTTGAATGTATCTTTGTGTTTTTCAGTTCTTCAGTGCCATATTCCACAGCCAAAACACCCCACCCAGGGTTAACCCCAGTATCTGCCAGCCAAGCCAAGCAGGTAACTTAACTGATTTTTACTTTAGCAGTCATGAATGTCTGTCTTTGTAACTGAAGATTGTTCTGACTCAGTTTAAATGAGCCATGGTCTAATAAAGATCTGTGATCCTTTTTCTGCAACTTAACGCCAGTCTTCACATAGTTTACCAGAGCAATTGGTTAGGTCTAATGCTGTCTCAGTGGGGCGATCTGACATTCTGCACTAGTAATCTTGGGTTGTAATTCTAATATCATAGTTTGGATGAGGTGTTTTGGTTTGCAGTTTACTTTCACTTAACATCTCATTTACCATATACAGCTATTCTGTGCAGTAGGTGTTTAGATATGTCCCACTGAGGCAGCAGCTTAAGCTCACCCAGTTAGTGACTGGTGGAACCAGAGCTGGGACCTCTGGCTGCTGACTGCTGCCTGTTGTGCTGTCTCACTGCTCCGTTCAGCCGCATGCAGCTCAGCGACAGTGTCTGAGTATAGGTTGTCTGGTTTTCTCCTGCAGTGTTTTTCAGAAGTTTCGTATTTTCAGTGATGTTATGTCTAGCTTTGGGTGTCTCCTACAGAACAGGTAACATTGTAAACGGTTAAACAATCTAAGGAAATAATAGGAGATGGGTGGTAGGCAGATCAGCCTCTCTCTGAAACTTTTCCCAAGGAATCCTGGTTTCTTCATCACTCTTAATATCTATCTCTGCAATCACATTTCTGGATATCAGAACTTGCCTTTGTGAGTTCTCAGACGCCCCTATTCCTCAGTTTGCCATGACTGGAAAATGGGCAGTTAGCATTTAGTATTTAGAGTTCTGTTCTTTAGAGGAAAGTAATAGGTGAGTGTTTATAGAGCATTTGAAAACATGTCCTTTTTTTCATATATATGAAATATTTTTTCATATATATGGAAATGTACATAAAGGATATATAAGCTCTAGATTATGATTTCCAATCTATTTAACTCACTTGTATCAATTTCATTGAAATATTTGCATAGTTTAAAAACCTGGGACATAATGAGTTAAATTGAAACTTTGGTTTCTTTCTGCCTTTTTTCTCTTTTTTTTTTTGTAATTAAAGTATTCATGCTTGCTTGATTTATGATTTTAACATGAACATTTTTTTTATGTGGTCCTCCAGGGGTCTCTGATAAATTCCCTGAAGCCTTCAGGACCCAGTTCAGCAGCGGATCAGTTATCATCTGGTGATAAAACTTCAGGTCAGTTTGCATATTTTTGTTTTAGTGATAATTAAGGTGAATTTTTAACACCAATGAGAATAATATAGTATTGCATTGAAATACATCAWATGTTTTAAATCTATAAGTTCATAATGATACCAAGAAAACTATTTTATCATTACTTTAAAAGCTGGATAATAAAGATAAAGGAAGAAGCATTAATCCTACCACTTCTCTAGAACTTGCACCAATGGATGGCAMACGTTTCTCTTTGTAGTTTCCCACTAATGGTTACAGGTGATGGATCATGTTAGAACTTGTTTTGCAAATTCTGATCAATCAAGGCACCTAGGCATAGAGTACCAGTCACTGCTGGTGTCACAAAAAGGGATAACCGGACCTTGTGTGCTTCCTGATAAAAGAACACAGTACTAGTTATGAAGCAGTATTGCCAAAAATAATAAAATAAAGTAAAATGAGAATCTGATTAAGGCTCTAAGATCATTGCAACAGAAATATAATGTAAGCCATATATTTTTTTTGTAAACTTCTAGTAACCACATTATAAAGAATAAAAAGAACCAGGTAAAAATCATTTTCAGTAAATTTAACTTAACCCAAATATACCCAAATATTATTTCAACACACAATCAACATGAAAAGTATTAATGAGATATTACATATTGTTTTTTGCAAAATAGTATAAATTTTATATTCTCAGCACTTCTCTATTTGGACTGGCCACATTTTGAGTGTGCAGTTGCCACATGTAGCTAGTGGCTACCGTTTTGGACAGTACTGCTCCAGATCCAGGTACCAGCTTAGAAGAACATAAACACAAATGAACATGGGAACCTCAGTAGAGGGGTCCAATAGCAAGATCCAAACTATGAGAAATTCAGTAGGTCAAAACCTGGTTTCCTCAACAGAGATTGGCAAGGAAAAGGTGAGATTGAGGAAAAAGCTGTAGACGGAGAAATTGAAAAGACAAAAGAGAAAAAATCAGGGAGAACTTCCACGTCATGTTTGTATAGGAAAAGAAAAATAGTTAGTACCACCAGTGTTCAGCTTGCAGTTGCATTTGAGAAGACAAACAAGGGAGTAGACTGAAAGCTTCTAGATTGGCTGATGTGTTTTTTTTACCTGGGCAGTGGTTATATCATAATAGTCATGGTTACTCTATGCATTTATTGCAAGCAGTGTTCTTTGTTATGTTTTATAATGAAAACATGAGAGAAGCACCCCAGAGAGTTCATTATTCTAGATCACAGAGAAAGTAGACACAGGATATCAAATATAGAGGTCATATTTGAAAGGCCTCAGCTATTGAAAAGTTTCTAGAAAGTATTGAGCCCTTCAACAGCTTCTGAAACTTTTGAGATGAATTTGAAAACCATCAGAGCAAGAGGGAAAGGTCTTTAAAATCTTTCCCGAAAACAGAGCACTAGCCTTGCTTTCTCCTGCCCTGCCAAATGATCACCATTTAGAAATGAGTGGATCAGAATGTTGACCCTCCCCTTTCTTGTATATAAAGGAATAAAATTCTCTTGGCTCATAATGACAGTGTAGAAGCTGGTATGATGTAAAAAAGTAAAACAGATTTGTTATAGGGTAAAATCTGAGTCGAGCTCAAAAGTCAATATGCTAAGATTTTACGGCTTCCCACACTTGCCCAGCACTCACTCCAACATGGCTATTCTTATTTAATTAGTTTTTGCCCAGGGTCTGCATTGCATAAGCCAATTCTGTATAAGCTGGCATCTGATTTTCATGTGGGTCTTGCTTAGTGTCCTCTTTTGTTGGCTCCTTCTCTGTAGCCTACCTCCTCTGGTGTGGGTGACTCTCTGTCCCCCGTGTCAGCATTGTGCTGCCTACAGGCCCACATGTGTACTACCCTCTGGATTCTGGCTTTTACTCTGACTCAGTTTCTCAAGTGGGTCTTCAGTAAATTCTGTTGGAGACAGCTTTCACCCCTTGACTGTCCACTTCCCACACCTCTGCTCAGTCATTCTTCAAGGGTTATCTAAAGCTTTCTGATTGGACATTGGGTTTTTCTTGAGTAAATATTCCTTGTACTCAAAGCCATTATTGGGTAAACTGAAGTTGTATTCTAGAATTTGGATTAATGTGGAGCCCCAGTTGGTATCATGTGTACCTCACATGAGAAGGAGGTATACAGCACTTCTCAAGTGGGGCTTGACACTTGATGTAAAAAGGAAAAATTTAGAGACTAATTGTCAGATTTTGAATCATTTAGGATTCAAACTAAGACTTGTTTTTCTATTTCTGGCTAATATTTTAGAAAAAGGTTTTGAAAGATCATATAGCCTAGCTTCTTTCAAGAACTTCATTGAAGAGCTCCTTGTCACTCTTGAAACTAAGAATCAAGGAACCATAAGGGACTTTGCTTCATGCATGTTGTAGGCAAGTAGTAGATTGAGAGAACTTTCTGGGATATACCACTCCACAGCGAGGGTGGGAGGCCCTTCATTGTTGCTAGGTGTCTGCTGTGTGTTTCACTGGCCGGATAGTCAAGGTTGAGAAAAGGACTTATTTTTTTCCCCTCTTGGAAGGAAAACCTCCCTGAAAAATACTAAGTTTGCAAAAAAATTTCTCTTAAAAAAAAAAAAAGCGTTTCTAAAACCTCTATAGAATGATTATTTTATTGGCTAATACTGAAAATACTTCTATTGTTTTTCTGGTTATGAAACTTACGTAACCACAAAAATAATCTGGGTGTAGAGAGTTAAAATATAGAAAGTGAAAACTCTTGCCCAGTGGGCACTCCTGCACTTCCCAGCAAACTTGGGAAGCTGAGGCAGGAGGATCACAGATTTGAGGCCAGCCTGAGCAACTTACTGAGACTGTTTCAAAATAAAAATAAAAAGGGCTGGGATGTAATTCAGAGGTAGAATGCCCCTGGATTCAATCTCCAGTACCAAAAAAAAGAAAAAACATGTAAGTAATCGTCCTATTCATCTTTCCAGGGTTGGTGCAGACTTTCTTACTCATTTTACATGGTGGCCTAAGAGGCTCTGTATAGTTCCCTGTTAGATTTTAGCAGCACTATGCCTATAGTTTGGGTTGTTTATTAGAGTTCACAGTGATAAGCGAGGCAGCACTGAACATGTGTACACATTTAGAAAATATCTACCCCATATTCATTTTTTTTAAGTATTTTTTTCTTAATATTTGGTTTGTTTGATTTGCACTTTCTAAATGGAAAATGCAGAAAGGTATAGAGAAATCAGTATGACATTGTAAGTCTGCAGTGAAGTCACCACTAAGAAACCTTGAACATACTGATCTATGTATCTTTGAATTTTTTTCCTTCATCGTATGTTAATTTGAAATAATCATAAAACTGCATGTATTGCTCAGCCTCACATCATAAGCATTTTCCTATACCATTTAATCTAGATCTATTTAAAACTAAATTTAAGCTATATTGGAATTACCTGGGAAGGAGAATGTAGAAAGCCTTAGGTTGGAACTAACATTGGCAGCGCTGGAGAGCAGATTCAGAGGCCCTCAGCAAGGTTAGGTAGCACGCGACTCCATGTGGCTCCTGACTTATCACAGGAGGCACATGGGGTTCTGGAAACGGAAGCTGCAGCTCTCAGCAGCGCCATCAGGGAATTACAAACCAGAATAGTGCTTCTAACAGATTTTTTGTAATGTCCTTATTTTCAGGGACAGGGATAGCCAAGATAGAAGCAGCTGTGACCTCGACTCCATCTGCCGTGGGGCAGTTCAGCAAGCCTTTCTCATTTGCTCCATCAGGGTCAGTAATGAAGTTAAGTTTTATGGCAAATCACTAGCTATTTTATAGATAGCTTCCCTGAATCTTAAAATCAGGAGAGATATTTATATGTTTATTAAGTGTGCATAAATCCCAAGTTTTTATCATGGCAGTAATCCATCTGCTAGTATGGCAGCAGCTGAACATCTTAAGGTAAATCTTTTTCCTCTTTGTGGTTCATAATTATACATACATGTGTTATTGCCTGTTTGTTTATATATTTTGTTTTTAACCTAAACTTCATTTTCTTTGGGTGATGGTGGATCTCTTTTAAATCTATAGGTCATCTAAAATACTTCATTCAAACACCATTTGGGGTCTGGGTATGACACTCTAGTTGGCTTTAATGCACTGAGAGTTCAATATTTAAACCTATGCAGAGAAGGCAGGAAATAATAGCCATTGTAGATTTTGGTTTTCTATATAGATGTTAGGGGATCTTTTTTAATTTCATTTTTTTTTTTTAAGAAATAATGATGGCCATGCATATAGAGTCGAGTCATTTGATGAAGGTTTGTCTGACCACATTCCCAGGCAGGCTTTTGTCCACTGTGTGGGACAGTGCTGCTCCCTGGCTATACAGGCTCTTTGGGAGCCTTGCGAGCTGCTGGAGTGTCCTCCTCCTGCCCTGATGGGCCAGCTGACTGTGTCACACCATCCACACATTTGTTGCTTTTGGGGGTCCCAAGGAAGTCCCTTCTGTACTTTTGAGTTTTTCCTCCTACAACAGAAACCACACCAACTCCATCCCCTTTCCCTGGTTTTAATATTTCTTGACTATTCTTCAGCCTAGCACATGAAAAGAAAGGAGGGCATTAGGATAGAATTCAAGGGACAAAATTGTATATTATATATTTTTTCTAAGTTGTGAATCATTGTTTTATACTTCTCAAAGAAAATTTGGAACAAATTTTGAAGAGTATGTCAATGCCAAGAATTATTTCATCTTTTACAAATGTTAATACAAATGTGAATAATTCATTCTTGCTCCATCATTCCCATTTTTAAAATAAGATGGGAAATTTTGGGTCGTTGAGCCAGTGGCTTGCCCTCTATTAGATAAAATTTCCTCACCAAGGTTGAAATCTGCCAAGAAACAGCAGGGTTTTTTGTTTGTTTTGTTTTGGTCTTTTTTTTTTTTTTTTTTTTTTGGTACTGGGAATGGAACTCGAGGGCATTTAAACCACTGAGCCACATCCGCAACCCTTTTTATTTTTTATTTTGAGATAGACTCTCCCTGAATTGCTTAGGCTAAGCAAGTTAGGCCTACATTGTTGAGGCTGACCTCAAACTTGTGATCCTTTTGCCTTAGCCTCCTGAGTCATTTCTGTCTGCTTTTTTAATATGATAAATATTTAACACATCTTTAGATGGTCTTTGTGCATTTGAGAGAGGCAGCAATGACTAAGAAACTATAAATTCTTACATTTTTTAACATATTTTATGTGCTTGGTCATTTATTCTTTAGAACTCTGTAAAATTTCTTGTTTGCACTTTAAGTACACATAATCTCTTCTGTTTACACTCGTGCTGAGCTTCCTTCTTCAGCTGTGCTATCTTCACTTGCAGTGTAAAGAACATGTGTGGAAAAAGAAAGGAGTCGGAAAGTTTTGAACCAAATTTTCCCAGCTCAGAGCTAAGAGTTATGTCAAAGTTGCAGAGACAGTGACTCCTGTTGCTTTCAGTCCAGCATCTGTCCTTGTAGCATGGGGCTCACCTGACATGGGTTTCAAGTTCAGGGTGGGCTCTTAGAGGTTCTCCCTGGTCCAGGGGCTTCTGCTTTGCTAGACTACTTTTGCACTCCTCCATGAGGCAAGCCTTTACTCCAGTCCCTGTGCCCAGCACACATGCCCAGTGTTTTTCCACTGCTGCTGTTCTCCTTTTCTTGGAACAAGTCTCCATGCAAACCCTTGCCATGGGAAGCCCTGCCCTTCCTCCATGGCCTGCTGTCCCTCCAAAGTCTTTCAGCCGCTACCACTGTCTTGGCTCCTCTGTACATTGCCTCTCCTGCTGGGAGGTGTGAAGGGACTTTGCTGCTTCCACAAACATGCTCTCACCCTGATGCTGTTTACCTAGCGTGCTGATTCTTTTAAAAAGAGGTTGTATGAATGGATTACACAGCGAAACATTGGAAGGGCAACGTTATGCCTTACGTTTATTCCCTTTTAACTTCTTTTTCCACTCACTAGGGCTGGCTTTAATTTTGGGATAATCACACCAACATCATCTTCTAACTTCACTGCTGCACAAGGTCAGTCTCTGTGTGACGTAGCACTGCTTTTGTGTTTTTCCTAAACAAGGGTGGTCTATTTTTGTACAAATATATTGACATTTTAACTGTTCCTCAGTCTTGCTTACAATTTCTGCAGTAAGTTTTGGTAATGTGCAGTAGAAACATGTGCATGTGATGGGCGCTGTAGCTCAGTGGTAGAGCGCCTGCCTGGCACACTCATGTGTCCTGGGTTCCATCCCCACCACTGGAAAAAATCAGTTCGATTTGAGAAACTTTTTCTTCCGTAACTTAAAATATCATTGATTTGTAGTGATTCTGTAGGCTGAGGTAGACATAGTACTGTGAAAATACCTTGGTCTCCCCACCCCACTTTGAAAAACCTATCAGCAACAACACTGGTCCCTCCATGTTGTTATAAATTCATCAACTAACATCTTTGTTTGGTTTCCGGTACTGGTGATTGAGCCCAGGGCCTTACCCAAGATAGGCAAGCACTCGGCCACTAAGCTTTATTCCAGCCCTTTTTATATTATTTTGAGACAGGATATTGCCAAGTTGCCCAGGCTGGCCTTGGACTTGTGATCCTCCTACCTCAGGTGGAGTCACAGATGCACACCCAGTTAACTGACATGTTTCTAATGCCTAGAAGAATTCAGATCTATTTAAAAAAAAAAAAAAATTTTTGTCATGTGCCTCTCAGTTCTTAGTTTGTCTTTTGTTTTAAAAGAAAGCTGTAATTATAAAAGTGATATGTTCAATGCCAGGCACAGTGACATACACCTGTGATCCTCACTACTCAGGAGGCTGAAGCAAGAGGATTGCAAGTTTGAGGCAAGCCTCAGCACTTGGTGATACCATGTCTCAAAATGAAATAAAGAATGACTGGGGGTGTATCTCAGTGGTAGAGCTGGCCTAGGCAAGTGTAAAGCCTTCGGTTAAATCCTTAGTACTAAAAACAGGTGGGGGTGGGGTTCTTATTGAGGAAAACAGGGAATATAAAAATTCATGAAGGAGTTTAGAATCTCCTCGTGTGTACCCCTCAGTAATAACCATAGCAGTTCTCTTTTTTTAATATTTATTTTTTATAGTTGTAGTTGGACACAATAACTTTATTGTTTATATGAGGTGCTGAGGATCAAACCCAGGGCCCTGCACATGCCAAGCAAACACTCTACCGCTGAGCCATAACCCCAGCACCCATAGCAGTTCTTTTATAGTTCCTTCTAGGAGTTTTGTCTCCCACTTAGTTTCACATAATGTCTATTGTGAATTTTCCAATATTGAAAATTTTGTATAAATGTCATAGTTCTTTCTGTTGATAGAATTATTCTGCCAGTTTTTACCCATCCACCATTGGACATTTTGGTTATTTCCAAGTTGTCCCTATTATACATAATACAGTGCCTTTTATTTACTCAAAAATATTTTTTGTTTTTTGCTTTTCAATTATGAAGCAGAGTCTGGCTATGCTGCCCAGGCCGTCCCTGAACTCTTCCGGGTCTCAAGGGATCCTTCTTCCTTAACTTCCAGATTAGCTGAGGCAGGAGTATGGCAAGTCCAAGGCCAGGCTAGGCAGCTTAGCAAGACCCTGTCTCTAATAAAATAATAAAAGGACCAGAGGTGTAGTTCAGTGGCCAAGTGCTTGCCTAGCACACACCAGGCCGTGTGTTCAGTACTCATTACCACCAAAAAAGAAATATATATATGAAAGGAACAAAACTATTTGTCAAAAATTATAAGGAAAATTAAAATGGGAATAAAAACATGATAATAATTCTATGTAAACTTAATTAACATGAAAATAGACAACAATCCAAAACCATAAACAAGCTTAACACTAAAAGAGCTTACTGAGTTGAGCCCTAGTAAGTGTCCCTAAATTGTGCCTAAAAATGACCCTGGATTGACGCTTGGTGTCCGTAAATATAGAGGCCATTTGCATTTTGAACCAGATCCTAACTTCTCAGGAGGGCTGTGGGCTAACACCATGCTGAGGGTATTGGGGAGGGAAGCTACACTGGTGTGGAGTCAGGAAATTAGGGGAGGTACCTTTTTTTTTTCTTTCTTTTTTGGGTAATTGTTAATTTCAAGTATTGTGGGTGTCATGTGTATTATGATTTAATGGTCATGAATGGTCCCCTCCTTTCCACCTCAGGACGATGACTCAGATAAAACTAACTGTGGAGAAGCACTTGTTCTGTCCTCCCGAAAGGAAGCTGCTGTTAAAGCCAGCGATTCCTGTTCTATGGAGGGGAGAGGCTTTGCTTAGGAATGCAGTCAGTGGGAATGTGATGATAGGGCTTATTTTGCTGAATCCAACCTGTTTCCCAATTTCTCTCTCTTGCTAGGGCCGACACCCTCCACTAGAGAGTCGAACCAGCTGGATGCCTTCTCGTTTGGTGGGGGAGGCAAACCCTTTTATGACACCGTTCCGGAGAGCCCCACTCCCTCCACAGTCACGCCAGGAACCAGCACTCCTGGAGCTGCCACTGCCCCTCCAGGAGACTCTGCCCCCTCTGGCAGCAGGCCCACGGCACCTGCTGGAGTTCCGCTCTCCACCGCTGCTAGCAAGCTGGAAACACCACCGTCCAAGCTGGGCGAGCTTCTGTTTCCGAGTTCTCTGGCAGGAGAGACTCTAGGAAGCTTTTCAGGACTGCGGGTGGGCCAAGCAGAGGAGTCTACTAAGCCAGCCAGTAAGGCTTCCTCCACAGGCCTCACGAGTGGCCAGCCAGCCAAGACTTCAAGCGCGTCCTCGGGCTTTAGTTTCACTAGCCCTGCGGTGCTGGTGAAGCCTGTGGAGCCCCCAGTGCCCTCCTCTGTACCTGCCACCGCGGCAGCTCCCCCAGTGGCGGCCAGCACGGGCGCCAGTGGTTCCTCAGCTGGCATCTTTGGCAGTCTGCCACTAACCAGTACGGGGGCCTCTGGAGTGATCAGCTTTGGTGGGACTTCTTTAAGTGGCAGCAAGGGTACCTTTGCATTTGGAAGCCAGCAGAGCAGTAATACAGTGTCGACCTCTGCACCCCCGGCAGCTACGACTGCCACTCCCCCTCCAGCCTCATTCCCCACCTTGTCATTTGGTAGCCTCCTGAGTTCGGCATCTGCTCCCTCCCTGCCCATGTCCTCTGGAAAGAACACTGAAGAGGTCACATCGTCAGCTGTAGCCGAGAAGTCGGGCAACAATGAGGTCTCCACTCCAACAGCCTCACTCCTCGTGCAGCAGCAGGCTGCCCAGCCTCCCCAGGCTCCTCCACACACTCCCGACTCGGTTAAGAAAGAGCCGGTTCCTGTGCAGCCTGCAGTCAGTAGCCCCAGCACAGCAGCAGCTAGTACCAGCCTCATGGCACCTTCTATAGAGGCCATTCCAGCAGCCACGGGAGGCTCTGATGACAAAGCGGAGGCAGCCTCTCCTCCTCCCACCTTTGTGGTGCCGGGGCAGGCTGCTCTTGCAGCAGCTACGCTTCCAAGCACRGGACCCTTGGCTGTTGAAACGTCAGGCTCCCCCACAACCTCTAGCCCTGTTTCCAGTGGTGCTACAGGCCCCACCACAGAGACAGCAGTGTTTGGGACTGTTACTTCTGGCTCATCGGTCTTTACTCAGCCACCTGCTGCTAGCTCTAGCTCAGCATTCAGCCAGCTCACCAGCAACACTGCCACYGCCCCCTCCACCACCCCCATGTTTGGGCAGGTGGTGGCCAGCACTGTGCCAAGCCTATTTGGGCAGCAGACAGGCAGCATAGCCAGCACAGCAGCCTCCACTCCACAGGCCAGCAGCTCTGGGTTTGGCAGCCCTGCTTTTGGTACCTCATCCCCAGGGGTCTTTGGACAGACAACCTTTGGCCAGGCCCCAGCCTTTGGACAGGTGACGAGCAGCCCTGCAAGTGGCTTCTCCTTTAGTCAGCCTGGGTTCAGTTCTGTGCCTGCTTTTGGTCAGTCGGTCTCCTCCACCCCTGCATCCACCAGTGGGAATGTCTTTGGTGCGTCCTCGAGTACGAGTAGCTCCAGTTCCTTCTCATTTGGACAGTCAACTGCCAACACAGGAGGGGGGCTCTTTGGCCAGAGCAACCCTCCTGCTTTTGGTCAGAGCCCTGGTTTTGGGCAGGGAAGCTCTGTATTTGGTGGCACTTCAGCCACCACCTCCACGGCAGCACCCTCGGGGTTTAGCTTTTGTCAAGCTTCAGGTAAGAATTTATAGATTTTTACTTTGTTCCTCTCTGTGCTATTTTAAACATTTACAGCAAACTTGTATTACTTGGTAATTAAAAGAAAGGGAGAAGCAGCAAAAAAATAATGTGTAAGATCAAGAAAGGAGCTTGGCGCACATGCTGCAGGAATTTCCTGGCCTAGTTGGCCAGGTCTGCCTCAGCACGCTCTCTACTCTTCCAGCCAGCAGAATGCCAGCTTCATGGGAAAAACCAAGCATCTTTAGTTTAAGGTCAGGGAAGTAAATGAATGACTCATACATACAAAATTTTGAAATTGGAAGGCGCTGAAGTCATTGTGTCCAAAACTGTCAGGCTTCAAGGAGACTGATCTCAGGTCAAACAGTGCTGATGGTGGAGTGGGAAGAGAAGTGGGTCTCCTCCCCATGCTTCACTGCTCCAACGCAATGTTGCTTGCTGGAAGGGCCAACACTGACACTTAAGAGTTTGCTTTTTTTCTGTTTTCAGTGTTGTGACTTGAAAACAAAAACTTTTAGATTTTTACCATTTTTGAAARAAAAATCTTATTTTCTCAGTATGTGTATCCAATTGTAGTAGCTGCTTTTACTTCCTAAAACTATCAGAAGACAGACCAAGTTGAAAATCTATTCCAAGTTTGACTTTCTGATGGTTCTTTTATGAAAGGCAATTCTTTAGCAATTAGGCCATGGGGAAAACAAGTATTTTGTGAGCAAGATTACAAGCAATTGCTGATTCATTTCTTCGTTAATAATTTTATTAAAAATGGCTGTTAATTTATTAGAAATGTTTTTCTTCTTGCAACAAATGTTAAACTCCTACTAAGTGCAGCTAAAAGGACGCAGTAATGAAAAAAGACACAGTGTGGAGGTCCACTGGTGCCCTCTGAAGAAGCCAGGTGCCTGTGGACTTGGGTGACTTGGATCTGAGTGTGGCCAGGGAGAAGGCCTGTGTGTCACAGGAGAGCAAGTTGTCTCCGTCTCCAGTGCATCATTTGTCATGCAGTCAGGGTTTGAGAAAACCTCCCACCAAAGGCTTTGTCAAACCAGTCAGCAAATTCAGACTCCCTGAAGGATCTTCTTCGTTGATGAGTACCTGTGTGGAAAGCTGCCTGGGTGCCTCCTGCAGTCCTGGTTGAGGAATGAGGCTTGCTGAAGTTCATGTGTCTGATAAGCCACAGAAATGAGGGTAGCACTCCTGTCTCTTCCTCCTCATCCAGGCTCTTGTGTTACAATGCATTGCTCCTCCTGACTCTCCCTGTCTGCATTCAGCCCAGCATCTCCATCATATTATGCCTCTTGGAAGGAACATAAGCTGCCCTGAGAGAATCTGGCATTTAAGATACATTAAAAATCAGGGAGTAGAAATATTCATAATGTTAAGTCAATCATTGAAAAGAATTCTTGGTGGCCAAAAGTCTGAGGAGAAACTGTTTTGAGAGTGTACCATCTTATTAGCCCCTCCCACTTGATAGAAGAATCCAGCTCCTGGGACTTTGGAATTTATTTTTTATAATATATATTATAATTTTAGCAATGAAAACGGGTCTTTTCAATCACCTCTCCATATCAAACGGTTCTGCATCTATAGTTACAACCAACCGCAGATCAAAATTCATCAAAAGAAATACGTAACTGAATATGTGCTGGCTTGTTCTTGTCATTATTCCCTAAATAATAAAGTGTAATAACTAGTTATATGGCATTACATTGTACTAAATATAATAAGTATTATCTAGGGATGATTTAAAGTATATGGGAGTACGATGTAGGTTGTATAAATCCTATGCTATTTTGTATAAAGGACTTGAACACAGATTTGGGTATCCTGGGGTGGGGGACCCAGAAAAAGTGACCCATGGATACCAAGGAACAATTGTATGTGTTCAGATTTTTCTTCATTTCCTATATGGAGAAACAATTTTATCATAATTTGATTTATTATGGGGTAATTAAGCATATTAAAAATGCCACTTTAAAAAGCTGTGCTTGGATGTTGTAGAAGACTCATCCAAATTGAACTTTTGTCTTCCTTCTGTTTTACAGGTTTTGGGTCTAGTAACMCTGGTTCTGTTTTTGGTCAAGCAGCCAGTACTGGTGGAACTGTCTTTGGCCAGGTAAATAAGTGCATTTGTCTTTATTTGTGTCAGGTTTCCCCTGTGTAATCTAATCCTTGTGTGCAGTTCATGCTGCACGCCTAGGCCTAGCAAACAGCTGTGTGGTTCTTAAGCTTTACTGTCCAACTGTCTTGAGCATGTGGAAGTCTCCACTTCACATTAGAGAGTCAACAGAATTTGGATCCTCCTCTGGCTGACTTCTGGGAAAGTATTTAACTGGCCTCCATCAGTCTTCTGCCTGTTCTGTTAGGCTGGGGTTGGCAACCTACAATCCACAGACAAAATCACCCGTAGCCTTGATTTATATAAGTTCTTAAGCTAAGAATGGCTTTTACATTTTTAAATGTTTTTTTTAAAAGAAAAGAAAAAAATAAGAATATGCAATAGCAACTACATATGGCCCCTGCACTGAGCTGTCTGAAGTCCAGGGCTGAGCCACGCATAGTTTTAAGTGCTTTCTTCAGATTAACTCATGGAAGCATCTTAGCACCTCTGTAGGCAGGGGCTGATACTGTCTCCATTTGAAAGGTGAGGACACTGAGGATCCAGAGAGGTTTGACTCAACTGTTAGCACCGGCTACTTTTAGAACACAGTAACCTCAGAAGAGTCCTTCAGAAGTAAGGGCCTCTGATTGTCAGTGACAACTGTGACTTTCCACAGGAGRACTTGGTGGGATTCCAGTAGATGATGTGTGGGCACGATGTGTGTTCCTTCACATATTAAGTAGAAGGTTTTCCACATGCTGGCAGAAGCAGCTTAGACCCACTCTGAAACAGAGCTCTGGACTTTATTCAGTCCCTCACATTATTCTTTCAAATAAGTTTTGGGGTATTGATTCCCACAGTTACACTAGCCATTCACAAGAAATGGGGATCTGTGAACAAAAGCCAGAATAAACGTCAGAAATGCCAGGCATGATAGTTCACACCTGTAATCCCAGCAGCTCGGGAGGCTGAGGCAGAATTGAGTTCAGAGCCAGCTTTAGCAATCTAGAGAGCCCTGAGCAACTTAGCGAGACTCTGTCTCTAGATAATAAAATATTCAAAAGGGTGGAGGATGTGGCTCAGTGGGAAAGCACCCCTGGGCAAAAAAAAACAACAAAACAGAAATACACTTGCAGGGACTATAAAACAACTATGTTTAAAAGAAATAATAGACAACTTAAAAATACTAGTATGGAATAGGAAATCACAAGACCTTTGAAAAAGAACCAGGTAGAGTTTCTAGGAAAAATTAATAATTAAAATTCAAGACACAGTGGATGTATTTAAAAGCAGACAAGCCAGGCACAGTGGTGCGCACCTGTAATCCCAGCTGCTCAGGAGGCTGAGGCAGGAGGATCACAAGTTCAAAGCCAAACTGGTAAATTTAGTGAGACCCTGTCTCAAAATGAAGGGGCTGGAGTTGTGGCTCAGCGATAGAGCGCTCGCCTTGCACACGAGAGACCCTGGGTTCGATCCTCAGCACCACATAAAAATAAATAAGTGAAATAAAGTTATTTTTTTAAAAAATGAAAAAAAAAAGGTTGGGGTGTAGCCCAGTAAGAGCAGAAAAGAGCAGTAGTGTACTAGAACAGTGATCAGATGCTAAGTGTTTTAGGCTTTGAGAACTGCGTAAAGTTTCTGCCACAGCTGCTCCACTGTGAAGCAGCCGTAGATGATGTGCAGTGAATGAGATGGTTATGTGCCAGTAAGGCTTTATTTACAAAAAGAGGTGGTAGACAGGATTTGACCCACAAGCTGTAATTTGCTAACATTTGGACTAGAAGGTTAGTTAAATTATTTGGAATGTATCATGGAGAGCAAAAAAGATGAAAAATGCAAAAATAGAACAGATCCTCTAAGAGAAAATTTAACATACATGTATTCACAATCACAGAAGAAGAGAGAATATGTACATGGCAATATCAGAAGAGAAAAGAAATTTCCCAACAAGTAGATAAGAGTAATTTACAAACCAAAAGCCCAACAAAAGCCCAGCCCAGGGACGCACAACTGTAATCCCAGCAGCTTGGGAAGCTGAGGTAGGCGGATCACAAGTTCAAGACCAACCTCAGCAACTTAGTGAGGCCCTAAGCAACTCAGTGAGACCCTGTCTCTAAATAAAATACAAAAAAGGCTGGGGATGTTAAGTACCCGAGTTCAACCCCTGGTTTATTTAAAAAAAAAAAAAAAAAAAACCTGCAGCAAAAGCTCAACAGGTCACACAGCTCTTGAAAGGAAATCAGTCACAATTTCCTTTCACAGCACAAGAGCAGAACAACAAGATTAGAGGAGGAGGCAGCCTAGACAACTTATCTTCCAGGGAGCTAAGGTGGGACTGCCAGCTGACTTTCCTGCAGGCATGAAAGAAGCCAGGAGGTGGAGAATGTCTACCTCGGATTTCTAAACATGCAAAAATTATCTTTTTGAATGAAGTGAAATCAAGACAGTTTTCCAGATAAACAAATATTGGGAGATTTCATGTCTTGCACACCTGAAGGAAATCCTAAGGGATATTTCTCAAACAGGAAAATTTAGCATTACCAAAATAGTGGCCTTCTTAATTTTAGGGAAAAAGAAGTCGTAAAATAGGGAAATTGTAGCCACCAGAGCAATCGTATTTAGAGTATATTCTACAAAGCAGGGGCTGGGGTTGTGGCTCAGTGGTAGAGTGCTCACCTAGCATGTGTGAGGCACTGGGATCGAGCCTAAGCACCACATAAAGATAAAGGTATTGTCCATCTATAACTAAAAAAATAAAGAATATATTCTACAAAGCAAAAAGGGTAAAGTTTTAGAAACTCTCATGTTGCTAGTAAGAGTATAAATTCATGTAACCTTGGGAAATCATCTGACTGTATCACAACTAACATTCAAAATCTTTATTAACCCAGCAGATCTGCTCTGGGTATATAACCAAGAGAAGTAAGTGCCTTTGTTCACCAAAAGATAGGGATTAGAAATGTTCATGATATAGTGAACTCATAATAGCTAAAAACAGGAAACAACCCAAATCTCATAAATTTGAAGAATGGCCAAATAAGTTGTGCTGTTTTTATCCAGCAGAATACTACAAAACAGTGAGATGAAATATGCTGCTCCTCCCCAAAACAACAGGAGTCACCCCACCACCCCCGCTGGTATTAGGTGCCCCTAGAGGAGCCTGCCCCAGAGTACTCAGTGTAGGACCACGTTGGCCAAGAGATGTGCCTAAAGTGAGAGAGAGCCTTGAGAAGCACCAGAAATGTTTGATATTTGAACATTGAACCTTATGCACAGTTGAAATCGTGTCAAAATTAAATGAGCTCTCTACACATAAAGTTTATGAACTTAATAAAAGTCATAGGGAAAAAAATGGGCAGAAAAGGGCTGGGAATGCAACTCCGTGCCAGAGGGCTCATTCCCAGCCTGCAGAGAGCCCAGGGCTCCATCTCTAGTACTGCACAAAAAAAGAAGAGAAGAAAACAGGCAGAAGACAATTCATGAAAGAAGTTGCACAACATTGGGCCTGTGCTTGATCACTCTGAATGGTATACTTAAATGTAGCCAATATGGTACATTTTACAACGATAAGAATATAGGGAAATAAGAAAACTTTTTTTTTTAATTAGGGTAGACCGAAGGATCAATAAACAAAAAGATGTTCAACTTCATTAGTGATATAAATAAAACCACAAAGAGATGCACACTCATAAGATGCAAAAATATAAAGTCCAGTACTGACGGAGTCACACCGGATGGGAGCACAAGTTGGTCCACATCTTGGAGAAGAGTTTGGTACCATTTAGTAAAGACCAACAATGCCACCCCTAGATTTGTTCTTTAGAAAAACAAATATGTACCAGGATACAAGAGTGTTCATAGCAACACTGTTACAGTAACCCCAGCAACCCAGACAGGACTATTTATCAGCATTCAAATGGGTTGATGAATTTACATTATTCTCTGTATCTAGCTGTGAAGATGGGTAATACTGCTAACTTGGGTAACTGGCTCACAGAGAATGGAGCCAAAGAGATGCAAATGCATTACTGGGTCAAACTCCATATGTTGCTCCCCTTCCCCCATTCTTCCTCCATGGAAATTATGTTTGCAGTTGAATGGGCCAAAAATTGAATTTTATTCTGTGAGGGTAGGTGTCTTTGATACTCATCACCATATCCCCAATGTGTAGGGTTGTGACTGAAACCTGATAGACAATGTGAAATGAATTAATTCTCACATGGCAAGGAGTATCCTCAGAAAACTTGACTAGGATATGAAAGGATATAGGAAACCTTCACTCCCATTGTACCACCAAGAAAAATTCAGATAGTGTGAAATTTTGGTTTGGGGTGATGAAATAGTTTTGGAAATAGTGGCAATGGTTACACAACATGGTAAATGTTACCGACACTGCTCAGTTGTATACTAAAAAAGGTTAAAATTTCCTAGCGTGGTGGCATGTGCCAGTAATCCCAGCTACCTGGGAGGCCGAAGCAGGAGAATCGTAAGTTCTAGGCCAGCCTGGGAAACTTATTAGCAAGGCCCTGTCTAAGAATTAAAAAGGCAGGTAGTGCATGGTGGCACATACCTCTAAACCCAGCAACTCTGGAGGCTAAGGCAGGAGGATTGCAGGTTTGAGGCTAGCCTCAGCAACTTAGCAAGGCCCTGAGCAACTTAGCAAGACCCTGTCTCAAAATAAAAATCAAAAGAAGCTGAGGTTGTAACTCAGGGGTAAATCAGCCCTGAGTTTAATCCCTAGTATAAGAAAAAAAAGACTATATATATTTTTTGCCATAATTTTTAAATTTTTCATAATGATATACCAAAAACCATTTGAGTTTTAGTGTGTTTGTTTTTTGGTGCTGGGGATTGAACCTAGGGCCTTGTGCATGCAAGGCAAGCACTCTGCCGGCTGAACTATATCCCAGCCCCATTTGAGTATTATATGCTATAAATCAGTGTATTGTATGATATGTGAATTATATCTCAATGAAGCTGGTGTAAATAAGTCAGATTGGGATCTGAAAGACTTGCAAATGTAGCAGTGATTTACCTGGCATCCATATCCTCCCTGCTTTGGCCAAGAGAAAAGAAATGAAGACCGCCCTGAAAACGGCTTGCACAATGCTTGCATTCCGCTGCCTGGATCTTGTTGAACCTAAAAGTGATAATGGCAGCCCAGGTTCCTTCCAGCTCCAGGCACTTACAGGACAGATAACCCAAACCCTAAGCAGAGACAGTCCCAAGTCAGCCAGCATGAGGTCTGCATCGTCAGACAGCAGAGAATTCTCACTGTCAAGGAAAAACATTAGTGTTCCTTAGTTGCCACTGTTCTATGGATAAAGTCTACTATGCAAAAAAATAAAAAATAGTGGTCTGGGGCTGTAGCTCAGTGGCAGAGCGCTTGCCTCGCAAGCATGAGGCCATAGGTTTGATCCTCAGCACCACATAATACAAATAAATAAATAAATAAAAAGGTACAACTAAACTACAACTAAAAATTTTTTTAAAAATAGTGTGTATAAATGAAATAACAGAAAGTTAAGGGGAGAGGCGTGCAATATGATTTTTAAAATGAGCAAAACCCAACATATATGTGATCCAGATATTGGAACTAGAGACGGAGACTTTAAAATAACTATTGTACTCTAGGAGTTACAGAAAAATGTTGAAAGAGTGATTGAGTACAAAATCTCAGCAAAGATGTGGAATTTTAAAAAATAGTCTTGATCTGTATTTGAAGTTCAAATCTAATACTTGAAGTCAAAAAAGAAATTATTAGAAAAGCTTAACAGCAGAGTGAATACTACAGGAGAACAATGAACTTTTTGTACATTTTGAGATTTTTCTGTAACTTTAAGTTTTGAAAACTATTGTTCATTTCAATTAAAAACAACAGAATCCTCTCTAACCCTGCTGAGGGTGCAGTAACCGTCAGTTTACATTCAGCCGAGGACATTCGTTATCCACTTCTCCACTCTGGATAGCCAATGTCTAATTTCAAATCACATTTGAAATTAGGCTGAGCCATCTGAATTCTTGGCTTCTGCAGGTCAGTGTGTGCAGCTACGGGAGGCCCCTGTGTGTTAGCTGGAGGTGGAAGGTAGCTATGCAGTCTCATCTCAACAGGTGCATGCATTTGTGGTCATGGCTTCCTTCCTCAAAGGCAGCTTACTTGCTATCAGAACTTCACTTTTGTGATTGGGTTGCTACGTTTTGTTTGGTTTTGGGTTTTGGTACCAGGGATTGAACCCAGGGGCACTTAATCACTGAACTACATCCCCAGCCTTTTTTAAATTTTTTTCATTTTGAAACAGTGTGTCCCTGAGTTGCTTAGGGCCTTGTTAAGTTGCTGAGGCTGGCCTCATTCCTGCCTCAGCCTCCTAAATTGATGAGATTACAAGTGTGTGCCACCAAACCTAGGTGTATTCCTGGTTTTTAAAAGCCCTTTGGACTAGTGCTGTAGATCGGTGGTAGAGCACTTGCATGGGCTTTCACAAAGTTCCATCTCCAGCACCACAAAAGAAAGAAGAAAAGCTGTAACTCATCATTACATAATTGTGGTCGAATAAAGTTCATTGCCCAAAGGCAAAAAAAATTGTTATGTTCAGGGTACAAAAGACAGGTATGATTGTGCCACATGAGGCAAAGGGTGAGAACAGCTGATGGTGACATAGAGATAGACAGGGGCCAGATCAGAGAGAGTCTTCTAGAAGCGGTAACAGGAGTGGACAGGTCTGATGCCTCATTGCATCCTATCCAGCTGCTTCTGGACTTACAGTGGTGGGGATTATTGCACAGTCCCAGCGAAGGGGGAAGGACAGGTGGCCAAGATGGAGGGGCACTGGTGTGCCATGTTTTAGAGAGGGCCTGCTAGAGGTTCCACTTGTGGAGATCAAATGACTGCTTGCAAAGTGCTTAGAAGAGTGCCTAGTACAGAGCTGGCACTTGACCACTGGCCTCTGTTGTTAGAAGGCTGAGCAGCAACTGTTTGTGAGCTTTCAGTTGTCTCAGGTGCTGTTCTGAGGTGTATTCATTTCTTAGCTCATTCACTCGTTTTGAGGCGTGTGGTTTAGTACCCCACTTTACAGAAAAGGACTGGGGCACCACTCTGCTCCCTTGAAGGAGCTCCTGGAAGGTTCCTCTGCCCAGAGACCCCTTCTAAAGCCCAACTTTATCTACATGATAACCAAGGAGACTTCAAACTTCACTAATGTGAGTGGTCCCTCCAATCTAGCACTGATCATCATTCAGGAGTCAGTTTCCAAACAGAAATCAAGTGTCTGGTGCCTGATATAGCTCTGAGTCAGCATGTGTCCCTGAGTTAGCAGCTTCCTCTGAGCATAAGATTTGCAAACTTGGACAAGATTCAGCAATGGTCATCATTTCAACAATGGAGCTAATTTAAGCTTTCTGCAGCACAGGGAAAGTCATTATGAAATGAAATTGCGCAAATTGAGAGACGACTGTAAATCACTCATCCTTTGCTACTGATGAGTTCAGCCACACGCTTCAGGAATCAGAAGTGGTGCGGGTGATGGCTTCTAAATGCTTTCAAATTTTTTATTTGGTGGATCTCGTGTGGGATTGGTTTTCCCGCCCTGGAATTGTGTTGGGCACTGCGGGCAGCAGGGCAGGTGAACAGTGAAAGTTCCCACCTCTGTTGCATTCACTCAAGAACTGTAGATGGAGCAGCAGTCCTTGCCCAAACTCCAGCCTCTCCTATGGTTGCTGGTCTATCCCCTTCTAGAACCAGAAGAGTGCACTTGCTTTGCCACGTGTGCCAGCTGCCACCGCCCACAGACCTGGCCTGCCATCACCATGACCTCTCATCCCAGCTTGCTTCCTGCCCCTTTTGTTCTTAGCAGTCCTCCAGCTCCAGTGGTGGTGTGTTTGGGTCTGGAAACACTGGAAGAGGGGGAGGTTTCTTCAGTGGCCTCGGAGGGAAACCCAGCCAGGATGCTGCCAACAAAAACCCATTTGGCTCAGCCAGCGGGGGATTTGGATCCACAACTACACCAAGTAAGTTGAGAAGAGTTCTCCCAGGCCCCTTGGTCCCTGATATCATTGTCATCCTCATAGTGTTCTCAAAGCTTTGGGGACAGCTCTGAACGAGAGGGAAGGGGTTAGAAGGTCCATTTAAAGTATCTACCCCAAAGCAGTGTGATGAGGTTTTGTTCTGTGGTTTTTAATGAGATGTCCTATATAATCCTGAAAGGACATCAGAGCTGCAGGGAGAGGATCAGTGTCCTGAACCACTCGGATCTCCTCTCCGAAGGCCCAGATTGCACTGTTTCATGGCATTGGGGTGACTTGAAGTGAATGCAGGCAGACAGGCAGAAAGGAGCAGCGCGCCGCACTGGGTGGCTTGCACAAGAACACGTGGGTTTGCGTTTGGGCAGCAGTCTCTTCAGATTTGCCTTGGATTTCAGCTGCTGTAGATCTGAAACCTTCAGTATTTCTCATCTCTTGTGTTTTTGCTTTCTTTTCATCTGAAGCTGTATCTGGCAGCATTTTCTTCTTCAGCTAATTTTTTAAATTCTTTGTTGATCTGTCTATTCGTGGTTGGAAATGAAAAAGTGACTTAGATGCAGTCTTCAGGTTGTGTGTTACCGGGCAGCGGGATCTGCTGCCTTGTGAGCCACTGTGCTCTGGTCATAGCTGATTTTTCCTTCATATTAAGGCCTCTGGAGTTAAGAGCAAAACTTCCTATCCCAACTCGCTCTTCTGGGTTCGTAGGTCAGGAACGGGTTATTTTGATGTCACTGTCCACTTCAGTAATACATAAGGAAAGATTGCTTGTTGAGAGGCATCGACCTCTTAGCTCCTGAAGTTATATAATCAGAAGTTTTTTCTGTTCTCAGCTTTCAGTCTGCCAGCAGAGATTTAGAATTCTAAAGTGAAGGGATCTTGGAAATCAATTCTAGTAGTTTTCAAAAACTGCTTTTGCATGTGAACTCTTATGAATCCTAAGTAAAACTGAACAAGGTTCACACTGAATCAGAGGTCAAAAAGTCCAGAATACATGTAGGTAGTTTGCCCAGCCATGATCCCTCAACCCCCTGAATCTAGGCATCTGTATAGCCCACACTTTGAAAATATTATTCTTTAAGGTCAAAGCCAGAAAGTGGCAGATCTAGAACTCAACTAGATCATATTTACCACATCAAACACAGCATCTGGCACAGAATTAATAACAAGCTAGTTAGAAATTTGGATTTATGCTGGATGTGGTAGCACACACCTGTAATCACAGCAGCGTGGGAGGCTAAGGCACGAGGATTGTGAGTTCGAAGCCAGCCTTAGCAACTTAACAAGGACGTAGGCAACTTGGTGAGATTCTGTCTGAAAATAAAAAGGGGTGGGGATGTAGCTCAACAGTTAGGGGCCCTTGGGTTCAATCCCTGGTCCAAAAGAAAAGAAATGTGGATTTATCCCAGATGTAGGTTCTCATGTGTGAGGCTGTGTTACTGGCCAGTGTTGTTAACCACTTCAGTGTGTCAGATCCCTGTAAAAATTCCCTTCCTCCTGGCCAGTTCATCTCTGTGCCATGGCCCGTAACTGTCAGAGTGGCCTTCTCTCAGGTCAGCTGGAGCTGGCACGTACTGGCTTATGAGAGCCAGATGTACACATCTTCCCCCAAGTCCACATTCAGTGATGTCATATTGGGTAGCCTGAAATCAGCCCTGGTAGTGCACTTGTACCTTGAAGTTGGAAACACTACCAGCCAGGACTCCTCCTATCCCCAGACTGTTGCTAATCATTTGCTGACCCATCATTGTTTCTAATGCTTTGGTTCTGGTTTAAAGTCAATACTTACCTGTTCTTAGTAATACCTCTACTGTTCTTTATCTCATAAATGTTAACTGTTAATTGCAAACCAAGTTTACATTTATTCTTAAGGGAAGTTTAAAGGAATTTAAAGAGGCAGAGGAAAGACTTTTCACATTTTTATTTTTTTTAAATTAAGTTTGTAATTTGATAGTGAAAGGGACAGGAAACTCTTTAACCCTAGGACCTAGTGCAGTGTAAAAGAAAGGAGCAAAGGAAGAGGAGGAGCTGGGGGAAGTCAAGAGAAGGGCATTGTCCTCAGCATAGTACAGAAAGCTTTCTGCGGAATCGCCAGTGGCGGCCTCTTTCTCCTTGGGTGACTCTGCAGCGTTTGATAGCTCCCAGTGCTGCTCCGCTCCTGGGCAGAATGAGTCGCTCTCCTGGTCCCTTCCTCCTCTCTCATCTCATGGTGCTTTTCTGCTGCTTTTCCTCCTTTCCAGTACTGTGGGGCACATTCCCCAGAGTCACCTGGGTCATGCAGTGAGTAGTCTTCACACCCTCCACCCTGCTTCCAATCTCCTCTGCTGTGCCAAGAAATCCATTCAGATCAGGGTTTTTTTGTTATTGTTGGTTTTGTTTTTAATTTTTTTTTTAGCTGTAGATGGACACAATACCTTTATTTTGTTTTCTGGTTTTTTTTTTTTTTTTTTTTTTTTTTTTTTTTTTTTTTTTTTTTTTTTTTTTTTTTTTTTTGGTGCTGGGGATCGAACCCAGGGCCTATGTACATGCAAGGTAAGCACTCTACCAACTGAGCTATATCCCCAGCCCTTATTTATTTTTTTAAATGGTTTTTAGTTGTCAATGGATTGTTTATTTATATGTAGTGCGGAGAATCGAATCCAGTGCCTCACACATGCTAGGCAAATGCTCTACCGCTGAGCCACAACCTCAGACCCAGATCAGGGTTTTTGTTTTGTTTTGTTTTTGTAATATTTGTTTTTTAGTTGTAGTTGACACACTATCTTTATTTTATTTATTTATTTATATGTGGTGCTGAGGATGAAACCCAAAGCCTTGCACACCCTAGGCAAGCACTCTACCACTGAGCCACAACCCCAGCCCCAGATCAGGTATTTTTAAACTGATTTTATTTTGCCACTGTCCCTACCCAGAACCCATTTGCAATTTCCTGCCAAGTTTCTAAACCAGCTATGGACTGGAGTCCAGGCCATCCACAAGCAGGCCCAGCACACCTAAGTTCTACTCAAGTTCCACCCATTCCCTCTACTTGGGCCAGCTGTCGGTGCCACCTCCCTGTGTGGGCTGGTTCATGCTGCTGCCTGCTTCCTGCAGGGGAGCAAGATAGCAGTTGCTTGGCGTGCCCTTGCCTGAGACTCAGAGGGCCCAGGGGATCTCCAACAGCATTCTCATTTGTGGGCTGCAGAGGTCACATGGCTAAGCAACCATCTCCTGGCCAGCAAGAAACAGACACCTCTGGGTATGCCTGTCGGGCAGCCTTGTACCTGCTCTCTGGGGCCCAGAATATGCTTTTGCAGTGGCACACTGAGCATAGACCAGGTCAAGAACAGTTCCCTTGATGGTAATTGATTTAGGAGCTGCCCGGTCCTGAAGCCGCCCTCCTTAGCCCTGAGCAGTGGCTATGGCCAAAATAAACTGAGAAACACTGCTGCTTGGAGTTGATACCTTCTGTCTCTAGGAGCTTGAACTTCATAAGTTTTTTTTTCCTCTGTGTTGTCCCCAGAGACTCTACTAAAGACAGGTGGTTAGCCCCTGTAGTCATTTAAAATTCAGCACCCCTGTGCCTTGTTACCCAGAAGAACCCGTTGTCTCCTGAGTCTTATCCTGAGGATACTGTGAAAAGTCATCCATAGTACATTGTTTTTCTTCAGGGACCTGACAGGTATATTTGTGTCAGGGGCTGAGAAAGCCATCTGACCGTCATCTTTCAGGCCCACAGGCTTCCTCCCGGCTTTTCAGGAGAAGGCCTGAAGAGAGGCCTGGACCAGGGTGTTAATGAGATTTCCCTTCTGAGTGTGCACTGGATTCTTGTTCAATGACTCCAGATCTGAAGAAAGACCTAGAATGCAGTCCCTGTGACACTGTATACAACAAATTTAATTTACATCAAGTATAGTTAATTTTGATTGGGCCAGACTCTAATGTTGGATTCTGCCAATGATTTTGCCACATAAAAGACCAAAGGGTCCACATCTTGCAGTAGGGCGGAAGCCAGAGCAAAAGGTCATTAGACGGCTCTTCAGAGACAGACTTTGTTTTCAGAAGAATCTTCTCTAGTGAAATGCTTGTTCCACCAACTAAGCCACTTCTTGTTTACCATATTTTAAAAGCTAGAGGTGGGGCTGGGGATGTGGCTCAAGCGGTAGTGGGCTCACCTGGCATGCGTGCGGCCCGGGTTCGATCCTCAGCACCACATACCAACAAAAGATGTTGTGTCCGCCGAGAACTAAAAAATAAATATTAAAAATTCTCTCTCACTCTCTCTTTTAAAAAAAAGAAAAAGCTAGAGGTGATTATTTTGGTGGTGTCAAGAGAGAACCGAGGAGCACCCTGTGGCTTGGGATCCCAGGGAAGCAGTCCCAGCCCCGCCTCTTGTTCCAGAGTGGCCCGTGGGTGGTAGGGCGTGTCCTCCTGACTGCCACCAGCTATACCACAACCACGTGTCAGTAGAGCAATTCTTGGGTCTTTACAAATTTTGGAAAGGGCTTGTTTTGCTGTTTGTATATATTAAAATTAAGATATGGAGGGAGGAGTTGAAGGAACAGGGAAGGGGGAGCCGTCTGCTCGGAGAGCCACAGAATGCCACCCTGGGGCTTCCACACTCGTGGCGTCCTCCCAGCAGCTGCCCTAGTCAAAAGTGCTGTCCCTATGTTCTGTATCAGGGAACTGGGATTTAGGGAGGTTAGGTCCTCCCCCGAGGTCACAACAGCTATTAGGTACTCTAACCCAGGCCTGGCTCAGACCTCAGGATAATTCCACTATAATATGCTACAAATACCTCAAAGATATAGATTTCTTATTTTTTTAACTCATTGTGCTAAAACTACATATTTTGGGGTGCTGTGTGATACTTTTAACATACGTATTCTTGTGTAGTGTTCACACCAGAGTCAATCTGTCTTCTCAAACATTGTCATTTCTTAATGGTGAAAATATTCTGAGACTTTTCTTGGACCTTTTTTTTTTTTTTTTTTTTTTTTTTAGTTGTAGTTGGACACAATACCTTTATTTTACTTGTTTATTTTTATGTGGCTCTGAGAATCAAACTCAGGGCCTTGCACATGTCAGGCAAGTGCTCTACTGCTGAGCCACAACCCTAGCCCCTCTTGGACCTTTTTTTTAACTGTACGTTGTCGTCATCTGTGGTCACTCTGCTGTGCAGTACAACACGAGCACTTCCTTCTCCTTGTTACGGCTTAGTACCTATTACTCTCTTGCTCCTCCCAGCCTCTGGACACCACCATTCTGCTCTTAACCTCTGTGAGATCAACTTGTTTAGGTTCCACAAATGAGCAAGGTCATGCTGCATCTGTGCCCGGCTTAATTTGCTTAATATGACAATCTCCTGTTCCATCCATGTAGTCACACGTGACTTCGTTTTATGGGTGACTCGTATTCCATTGTGGATATGTTCCACATTTTTTCTACCCATTCCTCAGCCCATGGAAACGTGGGTTGTCTGCATCTCCTGACCACTGTGAATAGTTTTGCAGTTAAACCTGAGCATGCAGATGTCTCTCTGGCAAACTGATTTTATTTAACAAAAGATTCCTAGAGAAAAAGATAAAGAAGTCCAGAGACTTCTAAGTAGTCTCAACTTCTAAGAAATCTAAATCTCCCAGCATTATCCCAATAAAATCATTTCATTTCTCATTTCATATAGTTGCCCCAGATTTCTCCAAGATGAGGTCCCACCCCTAGACTTGCCCATGAACTTACTGTTTGGAATTTTACATCACCAGCACTAATAAACAGAGAGCTGAGTCCCGGGTTCTTGAAGTGCTGAGTAAAGGCAGCGCACTGAGGAGCCCGCCTCCTCCCCAGGCTCAGCTGGGCTGCCCTCAAGGGAGGGCAGTGCRGCCTCCGGCTCCCTCACCAACAGCCGCTAAGCCTGCTCAGAGGCTGCTTTGTCCACTACACCAGGGATGAATGAGCGGCGCCTGTCCTACTCAGCATCAGGTCCTCCTTGTCAGCAGTGGAGACAGGGCCTTACTGGGCCAACGCTACGTTATTGGTGCCTAGAAAACAGGTAGCCATGTCCCGGAAGTGAGGCCACTCACCTCCCTGATGGTAGATCAGGAGCAAATATCAGCTGTGCAGTCTTCCATTGAGGCAGGACTGGCCATGGGTTGAGGAGGGCCAGCCCTTCTAGCAGCTGGACTTAGAAGGTGACAAGCGTGTCCCTCCCTGCTGTCCTTCCACCTGATGACTGGGGAGTGGCTGGGGTTGCGCAGGTGTTTGGTAGCTCTTGATGATATGCCGCACCCTCTGTTACCCATGCACATCCCCCTGTGTACGTTTTGCCCCCATTTAAGTATGGGTCTCAAGGCTTCCACCCAATTTCAGGGAAAATTCTCCCTGCCTTGTCATGGGTGTAAACCATCTCTAATAAAATATCCATCCAGACCTGGTGAGGAAACAGTTTTTCCTGGGTCCTCCCCCAGATAGTTCAAGAGTCCTGATAGATGGTGTGCTGTGTTTTCTTAGCACTGCTTCCATGCACGTGACTTTGGGCTGTTTGTGTGTGTCCAGTTTTTTTGTTTCTTTCCCAACATGGGTTTTCACAGCTTCCTTTCTCCCTCAGCTCTGGGTGCGGATTCAGGGTGTGGTAGAGGAGGGAGTGACCCATTAGATAAGCATCTGAGATGTCAGGGCTTCTCTGAACCTCTTGGAAAGAGGAAATCAGACTGGACGCCTCGCCAGCTTCTTTCATGTTGTGCAAAACATCTCTCACCCTCTTCAGACCAGAGAGAGGAGCCGCAAGGCTTTCCTGTTCTCCAGCCGATCTGCACAGCTCAGTCAGCACAGGCCCGCCCACAGCTGCTGCGTTTGGTGTGGATTTGTTCTAACTTTGATTTTTCCAAGTTGGACAAAATTTGAAGTTTGCCTTCATACAAAGACACATGTGGAAACAGGCCCTGTTCTCCAGAAGCAAGCAGCCTGCAAAGCCGAGCTGCTGCTGGCCCTCTGTGGCCAGGTAGACCTGAGACCCCTGGGAGCTCCCAGGCCTTCTCCGGTGGGGCCTCTCCTGCCCCTGTGTTTTGTGCCTGTGGTGTCATGCCAGGAAGTCCTGGATCTGGGTAACACAGGGATTGCAACCCCCTTCTCAGGGTGCGTGGACATCAGAGGGCGAGCTGTCGTCCTTCAGCTCAGTCCCCTCCATGCCCTGTCCTGGGCTGGTTTGTCACTCCTTTCCCTGCACTCCTGACAGGCTTCTCCCTTGTGAAGAAGAACAAACGCCCTCACGTGTGTTCTCGTCCCTTTAGATACCTCTAACCTGTTTGGAAACAGTGGGGCCAAGACATTCGGAGGGTTCACCAGCTCGTCCTTTGGAGAACAGAAGCCTGCTGGCACTTTCAGCTCTGGAGGAGGCAGCGTGGCATCCCAAGGCTTTGGGTTTTCCACTCCAAATAAAACAGGTACCTTACACATGCTAGTTACGGGCATCTCTGTGTGCACGTGTATCTGTGCAAAGATGCTGCAAGGAGATACTACGGTGCTTTTTGAGGTGGGGATGGAAGCATGGGAAGAGTTAATTTGTGCTTCAGTTAGTCTTATATTTTTTTGAGCATCTACTACATTCCTAACACTTTCCGAGGTCTTATGAGACCTGTCTAAAAAGGACAGAATGCTAATGCAGCCCTGCAAAGAATGTATATTCTCCTTAGGGGAGAGAAACGTAAATGTTTAACAGTTGCAGAACAACCAAAGCAAGGGAACACATCAGTAAATGATAACTTAAACAAGAAGATCCTGAGTCACAGATTTGTGTGGATGCCTATTGTTTGTGATGGCCAATACAGATGCTCCGTTTAATTTCTCTGTTTACATCATTTTTCCCTCTTTCCTAAATCGCTTTTAATTGAAATGCATGTGTGTGCATGTATGTGCACACACTATCCAAATATTGTAACTGTACAGTTCAGTTGATTTTTTGCAGTTGGAATTTTCACTACTTTTCATTTTAAACTTATAAACTGCAGCCTATCTATAGTCATGTACTTTATTTGTAATTTAAAATTTTAAAGAACAATATGTGTTTAGAAACCAAACCATGTCCTTCCTTTCCGTCCTCTGCCTGTCTGCCCTGTCTCTGTCTCTGAAGTCTGCAGAGGTTCTGACTGCTGCCCCTGTTGGTGGAAGTTGTCTGCTGAGATTTTGTTGAGGGCAGGGCTGCTGGGAGGCTGTGTGATAGRAAGCAGCTCCCTTGGCCGGCTCCCACAGAGAAGAGGGTAGTCTGCGTCCTCAGGTGTGTGGGCTGCTCGGAGGAAGGGTCCTGCCTGAGGACTAGATGCGCAGGTGGCCCTGACCTAGGAGTGGGGCTGCTCCACCAATAGCATGGACTCCCGCCTGTGGATCCTGGAGGAGCGGGGTTTCCAGGCCCATTGACCTGTCCTCAGACTGTGCCTGGGTGGCTTGGTCTTAGGTCACCAGCTCTTAAGATGGATAGAGTGCGGGACTGCAGCTCAGTGTCCATCTCCAGCACAGGTAGGAAGGAAGGAGGATGGACAGACTGGAAATGGACATCACAGCTTCTTGTTATTGCCACCCCCCCATACACACACACACACACACACACACACACACACACACACACACACGGAACGATTTGAAAATGAAAGGACCACGAAACTTTAGCCCTCGTTAGAAAGGAGTGTGAACATTTGAGAGATGTGTGTTCATTTGCCACTGAACCTTCCGTTTTCCTTAGGAACGAGGCATTTTCTTCGGCTCTTCCGTGTTCCTGTGTGTGGTTCCTTATCCTGGAATTTATGTCCCAGCTGATTCGAGAATCTCACTCTTTTATCAGTCTTAGAGAAAAATGTGTCCACCCACCTTTCAGAATATTTTTCCTGTTTGACAAAAGCACCTAGCTTGAGGATTCTAGGGGAGAGCTGCCTTTCAAATACAAGTGCCAGATGATGTAGCCACCAAAATCATCAGCATGGGGCAAGAGACCTCTCCCTTTCCTCGGGCTTCTGTGCAGGGCCTGGGTTGTATCTGCAGCAGAGTGGGCAGATAAATAGGGATGAAATAAGAGTCCGCCCTCCCGAACAGGCCGGACAAAGGCCAAAAGCATCGGGATTATCCCTTCCAGCTTTAAGAGGGATTTTAGGGTCGTGGTTTAGAGAGGTCTTTGAAAAAATTCCAAGAGTGCCCATTGTCCCTTTGGCAAAATTGTTTTGGAAAATACCATTGCTGGAGATGACCAAGGAGAAGACAGGGGTGAGACCAGGGAAGGTGGCCTTGCTGCCRGCTCCAGCCTGCGGTCTGTACCCTGCTCCATCGCCAGACTTGTTAGACCATTGACATGGCGGGAGGTGGGGGACTCATGATAGACAGAAGCAAGGTGGCTTTTGAGTCACAGGAGCCTTGTTCCAGTCGCAGCCACCTGCAGTAGACCAGAGGCTTTTCTCTGATCCTCCATCTGCCTATCCACCCACAGGGTGGTGGGGAGGTGGGCACTGCACCACACCTAGTGTAGGCCTCAAAGTCCAGACACGTCATCACCGTTGGTTATTAGTGAGCTTCTGCTTTTCCTGGAGAAGAAAAACACATTAAAATATTCCGTTTAGTATAATCAAACTCCTCCAGCATTAGTAGTGAGCTGCCCATCTCCACCAAGAAGACCAGACTGTTTTCTGGCTGTGGATTTGGCTGTGACCCAGGTTTATTGTTGGGGGTGAGTGGGGGGGGGCCTCCTCCCTCTCCTCCAGCTTACTTTCTGTATCATTGTGACTTCTAATTTTTCACTTAGCTTCACCAAGAAGTCTAAACAATATTGAGTAGGAGGCACTAGATAAAGCCCTCGTGTGTCTAGGAAGCAAGTGTAACTAGATCCCAGATTGCTCTTAAATAATTCAGCCGCAAGGGGTTTTAGCACTTTTTTTTCCAGCCTGTTATATTTGTGATCCGCCAGTCTCCATTATCATGGCTTGGAATTTCACTTGAGATTTTAGAAGACAGAGTGTCACCCAGACTTGAGCCTTAGCAAAGGTATCTTCTCGGTGTGCAGCCACTATTGGTGATGAACAGTCCACAGTCTCATCGCACAGGAACAGTCACCTATCCACCTGACAGCTTTCCACACCCCGGATTTGATTCAGAGAGTAAAAGTGTGTAGTGTGATTATAATAAGGCCAGACACATCCCTGTCACAACGGGGTGGTCCTGGGCTACCATGACTCCCTCAAGTGTGTGGCTCACAGGACAATATGAGCACAAGTGCTGTGTGCACCATGGAGGGAGTCCCGAGAGCACAGTGCTGACGCCACCGCCTCCCTTCAGCTCAGCACCCCTTCCTGAGTAGCTCCTGTACACCTGAGAAGGACCCAAGTAGTGTCTTGGAGTTTGGGGCCCCCTCAGGAGCAGAAGGAGTAGCTTTGGGAAGGACATCCCCTCTTACCTGATGGCCCTCACCACCAGTCAGAGGCCACCTCATGCCTGGCCCGATTCTCTGCTCACCAGTGTGCACAGGCCTCGGCCACCCAGGCCGTAGAGAATAGTGGCACCTGTTGAAGGGGCTATAGCCACCCCACAGCCTCCTCCAAGGCAGGAGGTCATCGTGTGTTTTATTCAGGAGGAGTTCCAGGCTGCGGAAAGAGATCATTTTTTTAAAAAAATTCTTGTGTACCAAGATGGAGGTGGATTGCTGATAAGAGATGTGTGGCCATCAAGCTGTAAATAAATAAAAAGCACCTGGCCAGGTGCCAACATGCACATTGCTGTCACTGCTGTGACCCAGTTCACAGGTTCTCCCAGAGAGGGGCTTTGAGTGTCTGTGTTTGTAATTTGGGTTTCTATGAAGCTTGAAGCCAGGCCTGTGAGGTGACAAGTAATAGAACTCTTCATCTTCTCACAGCTGGGAGGGCCGGAGCTTTTGGGGACAGCATTTCATTGAGAAGAGTCCCTAACAGCACAGGGACTGGGAGGGGCCTGAGCTGCTTTGGGTGGGCCCTTGGAACAGTCTGCTCTCGTGAGACTTCATGTGACAAGCCAGCCTGCCTTTGGAAGGGACGTGGGAATCTCAAACTCAGACTCTGTGGGACATCCCATGTAGGTCCCAGGCCTCCACTACCAATGGAGGGAGGCAGTTTGATGGGGTGGGTTCTTTCTGTTTTAACTGCTGTTAGGGATGTCACCCACTGGAATGGTCTTTGCATTGGAGTACCTAACATTCTGTTTTCCCTTTTTTCTTCCTCTTTTGATTTGGTTTCTCACTGCTCACTTCCTTTCTCCTCCTTTCTTTCCCCCGTTTGTTTGTTTGCCTCTGTTTTGCTCAGGTGGCTTCGGTGCTGCTCCAGTGTTTGGCAGCCCTCCTACTTTTGGGGGATCCCCTGGGTTTGGAGGGGTGCCAGCATTCGGTTCAGCCCCAGCCTTTACAAGCCCTCTGGGCTCGACGGGAGGCAAAGTGTTCGGAGAGGGTACAGCGGCTGCCAGCGCAGGAGGATTTGGGTAAGTGCCCTGGGGTGGGACCTAGGGAAACCCCGAGCTGGTGCCAGGCCAGAGCACCAGGCCTGGGCCTCCTGCTCCGAAAAGAATATTCTTGTGTTTTCCAAACTTTTGGACAGTGAGCAAAGGCCTCTTCACGGTGGACAGGGCTTGGGCTTACAGCAAGTGGCTGGGGGTCAGCTGCCATACAGGCCACTGCTGTTCAGAGAACCTCTGCTCCGGCAGTATTAGAGGAAGAAACACAGCCCCGCCCTGGCTGTGTCACTGCCAAGAGTGTCCCTCGGGTGCCACCTGTGTGAGGAAGTTTTGAAGGAGCAGTTTTCGCCCCATCTTCCTCTTGAGGTTGTCCTAGAGGGCACACCTCCTGCTCCTCCACACCCCAGCCTGGGTTTTCAGCCCCAGGGGCCACAGGGCATCAACTGGGCTCCGTTCGTGTGGGAGAGCTGCTGGCCGCTCAGCCCATAGCTGCTCTCCCGCTCTGCGCGTATCCTCACTGGAAAGTGCCATGGTTGGGATTTGCTTCTTGGGTCCCAGAATTTCAGTCTAGTTGCCAATGCTACAAGGGAAAATTAGAACGCATGTGGGGACGGCCACGGAGCCTCTGTGTGAAGGAGGAAGTGTTGCCTGAAGGGGACTCTTGGCATGCTGCTCCCTAGGGACTGGGCTTGGGGTGTGGCATGCTGAAGATTCGGGTGGGAGAGAACACATTGGTTGGATTAGAGAGGTCCTGGGGATGAGCCTCGGCAAGCTGATGCCGTCTTTATCTTGAAAGTAGACCTAGTGTGTTCTTATTCAAACCTTCTCTCAACAAAGGTGCTGGAAGGTTCCAAGGAGAGTGAGTGAGCGGGTGGGTCCTTTCTTGGGTTTTGTGTGGAGATTAATGTTTCCCCTGAGGAAACGCCAAGAAATACAGTTGAGAAAAGCTTTGCGAGGAGTGTGAGGACCGCCTTCAACCAGCTTTGTGGGCCGGCCTCGATGGCTTCCATCTCTGCACACACCGCAGAGCTGGTGGAGGTGTGGGTGGCCAGGGGCCTGGGGTTTTATTTACTTATTTGGCAGAGCTGTCTTCTTTACTAGTTGTCAGGTGGCTGTCACACACAAATCCCGACTGGTGGCCACTCCCATTTTCTAGAAGGGCTCACACATCCAGCTAGGTGTTGAGTCTCTGGGAGAGACCACTACCTTTCTCAGGTTCCTGGCTGCATCCGGTCTCACCCTGGGGAAGTCGGAGAAGGGCCCCTGAGGCAGGAGTGGGAGAGCAAGCCCTCTCGTGAGTACAGAGAGCCCGCTCCTGGCCGCGTGTGTGGAGGCGGCCCTCCACCTCCTCGTCCACAGTGGCTGTGCCAGCAGGACCTGTGCCGTCTCGGGTGCCCTTCCCTTCAAGGGGGCTTAGCTGGGTCCCGTCTCTTCTCCCAGAAACACTGCTTCACCTCCCTGCCTAGTCCCCTCCAGGCACACCCAGCCAGAACTCTCTGAAATTATTCAGAATATGTTCCTCAGCCTCATTGGCTGGACTAGACCTGGAGGGAGAACCTCTGAGGTTTCCTGAGGATTGTCCTCAGGTGGGGAGAGCAGCCTGGAGAAAATGGAGCTAACTTTCATACTGTTTTACTTAGTATTGATGATTTTGTAAAACAAATACAAAATTCTGAGTGAAATTACTTGGAAACTGCCCTTCTCCAAAATAAAACTACAAACTTTACATGCAAAAGACTCCCACCATTATCATTAAAAGTGACACGTGCCTGTAATACCAGCTACTGGCAGGTGGGGCGGGGTAGCTGAGGCAGGATCACTTGTGCCCAGAAGTTTCAGACCAGCCTGGGCAACATAGTGAGACCCCATCTCTTAAGGAAGTGAGTAGAATCGAGATGCAGAGAAGAGCTAGAGACAGACAGGTGAGGAGGGAGTGTGGTCAGTGAGTGGGAGACGCCAAAATGAAGAGCTGCCGCTGGAGGGTCCAGGGGAGGAGCAGCGGGAGCACGCTGCTGTGGAGCAGTGTCCAGACAACCTGGAGTTTCTAGACGGTGGACAAAGGCACAGGCGCTGGCCGGGGTGGATTTCATACCGTGTTCTTGTTGTTTTCCTTCTCAGATGTGAGATAAAGTTTGCTCTGGGCTGTAGCCCATTCTTTCTGAGAGGCTGTTGGCATAGACCAAGCCTGTCACCTCAAATCGTGTGTGTTGGGCATCTCAGGCAGTGACAGTAGCCTGAGGCTCACAGCGGGCAGTGTGACTGAGAGGCCGCGCTAACTCTGGTCCATTTTTCTCTGGAACCCAGGTTTGGGAGCAGCAGCAGTACCACGTCCTTCGGCACTCTGGCCAGTCAGAATGCTCCCACTTTTGGGTCACTGTCCCGACAGACTTCAGGCTTTGGGACCCAGAGCAGTGGGTTCTCTGGTTTTGGATCAGGCACAGGAGGTAGGTAGCCATGTGTTCCTCACACCCAGACACAGTGGTCCCTCAAGTAAACTTCTCTTCCCCAAAGTAACGAGTCTTGACCAGACTAGTCAGTTTAGTGTTTTAAAAGCTAAAAGTATTGGAAAATAGTGTCCTTTTTAGATATTAGTTAGACTTGCGGCATGGTGCCATCTTACCAGATAAATCACTGACTTCATATTCGGTCAGGATTTGAGAGCAGTCCTAGGCCTGGGTCGATAAAGCCAGGCCGGCAGACTCAAAACACAGGGTTTGGGTGTACATCACTCTGTCCTGTGTCGCACGGTGCACTGCCTCTTCAGGTGGCAGGGTGTGGACGTTTTCCTTTGTCCTGGCAACAAACTTAAGAGGCACAGAACTCCACATTATTGTGATTTTACAAATGAAGAAACAGAGCTCCCAGGTGGTGCCAGAGTCATACGCAGCAGCAGGGCCAGCCAGAACCCGTCTTACTTCTCTGGTTTTCAAAAAGGAGAGGAGACGGGTGCACACGAAAAACCAAGTTTTCCTAACAGAAGGGATCTGTGTGGTACACAGCAGCCTAGTGAGGGGGGATGTGCATAGACCCCCTGCCTGCAACCAGGATAGGGAGAAGGGGATCCTAAGTCACCAACAAGGTAGCCCTTTAAGGTGAAGGAGTGTGCTGCTGGCTCAGGAGATGAATCAGAATAGAGGAGCTTCTGCATGTACCTTCCACCCACCCTGCAAGTGGTGGGGTCACGCAGCACGCTCCACAGGGACTCCGTGTGGGAAAGAAGCTAACTGGGAGGCCACGTTTTCAAAGTGTGTGTGCTTTAATTTTACCCTTTTTGTCTGTTTTGTAGGCTTCGCCTTTGGATCATCTAACTCGTAAGTCATTGTCTTCCTGTTTTGAGTCTGACCTTACTGAACTAAAAGCATTAAGTAGAAGTGAGGGAGGCTGGGTGTGGAATCGCAGGACCCTGATTCTGCTGAAAGTGTGCTTTGCTTCACTTTTTCCTGTTGGAAGGCTTGTCCCGGGAGCCTAAAGCTTTCTTCCACAGCCCGTCTTGGATGTGGGGACTAACTCCTCAGTGTAGGGTTGGGAGGAGAGAGAGGGATGAGCTTCCCAAGAGGCAGGACTCGGGCTTCCCTGGTTTCCCATGGGCGCCTGTGTCGTGTGCTGGTCCTCATCGCCATGGGCAGGAGCTGACCCCACTCTCCTGCGTGTCTTTGCAGGTCTGTCCAGGGCTTTGGTGGCTGGAGAAGCTGAGTGGGCGTCGTTCCTTTTACTTCCTGTGACCTGTGTGCATGGCTCTTCTCCCCCGCCCCCCCAGGGACCCTGGAGCGGGCTGTCAAATGGACTTTGTCATTGAAACGTGCGCCCAGAAAGAAATAAGAGACCAAAACTCGAGAGATACCCGACTGCTTGTTTTGTTTTGTTTTATATTTCATGTTGGGTTTTTCCCCTGCTATTAAACTGTTTGGTCCATTTCTGTGCAGAGTGTGTGTGGGTGTGTTTGGGTCACTGCCAAGGAGAGAAGTTCCCCCATTTCTGGGGCTCTGAAAACCTCCACTGGGCCTTGAGAAGCCAAGGGCGAGGGGGCAGAGCCTGCCCTGGCCTCTGGGTCCAGAGTCCTCTCCAGGGAGAGGCAGGCTGTGGCAGCAGCCTTGCAGAGGTTGTGAGGTGGTATTCACGTGTCCTCACGTGTCATGTGTCAGGCCCCTCAAAATGACACTCAGTGGGGCTGCCACGGAGGCACACCACTGCCACAGCATCGCTTGATTTTCAGAAGCACAGTAGCACTTTTGGCCTTTGTCACAGTCAGCCATGAGGTGGGTGAGGCCAGCTCATCACGGTGTGGCTCCTGGTTTGTGCCATAGCCTCCTGCTTCAGCGTTTGAGAAGCAATCTAGAGTGGGGGTGACTGGCCTCCACACCTGGCCTGCTGTCTGTTCCCACAGCAAAAGCACTCTGGGATGGGCCCAGGAATTGCAGAGACACCTCTGGTGCCCGATCCCACAGGCAGGACAATGCTGAGTGTGAGGCAGTGTGGCTGAGGGGTCGTCATTTCAGTTCCTCCGTGATGCAGTACCTTTCAGGCCTGGGTGTTCTGTTTCTTGGCCCTACACAGGTGAAATCCTAGACAGGCGCTGACAATGAGGGCTGCCCTGCGTCGGAGGTGTAAGGCTGCAGGCCCAGAGCGGGACAGTCTGGCTGGGGCCATTAGCAGAGAGGAGATGGAAAGACACTGAGGCTTAGAGTTTTACTTATTGGGAAGTTGTATTTTTCTTTAATATTTATTTTTTACTTACAGGTGGACACATATCTTTTTTTTTTTTTTTCTTTACTTTTTTTATGTGGTGTTGAAGATCAAACCAGGGTCTCACAGTGCTGGGCAAGCGTGATACCTCTGAGCCACAATCCCAGCCCCAGGAAAGTTGTATTTTTTGATGTTTAAATAGAACTTGGACGTGTGGAACTAATCCGTCATGGTGCGACTGGTATAGCCTCTTGGTTTTGTGGCTGGTTGGTCCACAGTGAGGTTTCCTCTGTGCTGTGGGGGCCCCATCCTGCCAGTACCTTGACCTCACCTGGGGAGTTCTTGGTGAAGTCCAGGTTCACATTGCTGCATCTTGGAGACTGATTCAACAGAACCCAAAGTTGGGCTGGATGCCCAACTGAGGTTGTGTTCAATGGTTTCTTATAAGAGGAGGAGCCTCATGGTAGTGCACTCTGGGGTTCCAGAACCCTCCCAGACCAGCTGTCAGCAGAGCCAAGACCTACATTTGGGTCTGCAGTATCCATGGGGACTGTCCCCATGCCTACCGCAGCTTGGGAGGGTTTGTCTGCACTTTGCATTGATTAGGGGCTCTGTCTCTTTTTAAGAGCTGAGTCCCCTTTGGTCCTTTGGAAGTGAAGAATCTGTCACCCTCACTCAAGGGAGGTCCCCTCAGCTGCGAAGCAGGGGGCTGTCCCCAGACACCTGCCTCCAGTCTCAGGCCTCTCCTCCCACATGCTCTCTTGTAACTTATACAGGAGCCAATGTGAGACAGCGATGGTGCAGGCTTCCTGTGCAGAGTATCATTGTAAAAGAGCTGTGTACAGGGTGACGGGTGACGTTCTGCCCTGGGCGTGACGTTCTACAGGCCAGCCCCAGCCAAACCAGCCTTCTGCCCTCTGTTACCCAGAGAGGCTCCTTTTTATAAATAGAAGCTGATTTGGCCTAAACCCTTGACCTCAAATTCTCTACTTTAATCCTCCATTGAGGTGGCATGTGACATCTCTCCATAAGGCCATATCAGCTGTGGTCTGCCAGATAACACCCCACCGCTGTCATGTGGTGGCACCAGAGGAATGTGCAGCTGGCGTCTGAGCCCCTTTGAGTTCCTTTTTTGGGGTCAATTACAGTGGTAGGTGGAAGGGGTCAGCTCAGCTCAGCAGCCTGTGTCCCCTGAAGGCGGGCAGGGAATGCATATTGGCTCCTGCCTGCTCAGAGGGAGGCTGGTGGGGCTCCAGGCAAAGAGCCCAATGAGTGTGGAGTGGTGTCTCAGTGATGACCGCACCTGCCGCACAGGCCCAGGGAGTGCCCACAGCTGCCATGGGCAGGCCACAGGCAGAGTCAGTCAGTGATGTCACGTACTCAGGTTCCACAAACCAGGTCACGTCTCGCTTGGCTTTTCCAGGTGTGCCCTGCCTTCAGTGCTGTTGCCTCACGGGGCAACACATGGCAGAACCACAGGTTGGCTTCAAGGACAGCCAGAACCCAGATTGTATAGCAGTTCCCCTAACCCAGCCCCTGGTCCAAACAGAAACACAAGTGCCCTGGACACGTGTTGACAGGCCCAGCTGGTGGTCTCGGTGCTGTCTGCTGTCTCTGTGTCCTGGTGCCACCACCAGCTTGGCCTTCTGTTTCCAGAGTTTTCTAGGCCAGGACTTCAGCTGCGCAGAGAGGGTGTGGCCCGTGCAGGCTGATCCTCCTGAGCCCACCCTGCCTGGCAGGTGGTCTGGCCTGAATGAGGGAGTTCAGAGAGAGCCCTGGCAAGTCAGTGCTTGCAGTTGCTGACTGTTATTCCCATTTACAGGACCTAGTGGCTCAGACAGCCCCACATAAGACCCCCCAACCTTAGGAGCAGGTGGAGCATCTTCCCCCTGGCTCCTCAGCCTCATGGCCTGGCTGAGTGGCCATCCCCCACTGTGGCAAGAGCTGGTGCGAGCCTTTGGTGCAGTGTTCCGACAAGGAGGTGTCTTTTGGGCAGGTAGTCCAGGGCCAGAGTAAGAAACCTTTTATTGGCATGACCTTAAGGACCCCCTGCCTGGGAGCATCTGCAAGACCCCTTGGTGTGGTGGTGCTGTTAGTCCCAGGCGCAGCGTCTTTATGGAATTGTTGAGAGGCCCTGAGGACAGGAAGTGTGGGCCTGGCCCCTCCTGCCTGACAGCCACGAACACCTGCTCGCTGGCCAGCCACCATCCATCATGGTTGGGGCTTGAGAGCAGCAGGAGGCAGCGCCCTGGCTCCCTGAGGCCACCTCTCAGCCTCTACCTCACTTCATCAGCAGGTTGGTTTCCATCTTCAGGTTCTCAMGGCAGTCCTGAGCATCGAACCCAGAGTGGTGCTGAGAATCAAACCCAGGGAGCTGCTCCACAAGGAGCTGCACCCCAACCCTTTTTTACTTTGAGACAGTCTTGCCAAGTCACTAGGGCTAGTCTCAAACTTGGGATTCTCCTGCCTCGACCTTCAGAGTCGCTGGATCGTAGGCGTGCACCACCACACCTAGCTTTTCAGTAAACAGCTGGCCCAGATTCAGGCTTCTTTGCCCCGTCCTTCCTCCAGGCCAGCAAGGCAGGAGCCAGGGGCATCGTCCCCTCTCCTCCTCCTCCCTGGTCTCTCCCTCCATTGCCATTTGGTATTTTCTACTGGGAGACATTGTTCTACCAAAGCAAAAAGAGTACCATGGTCAAATAAGTTTGGGGAAAGAATGGGTAGAAAGTTTTATACATCTTTTATTAAAGAACATTTTTTACTTTAATAAGTAAACATGCTTTATAAGTCAATATGATGCCATTTCCCAAATATTTTCACCCTGGGAACCTCTTGCCTGGAGTTCAGTTCCTGGACCTCATCCTGGGAACTGCCTTGGCCTGGACGTGGCTGGGTAGAAGCGAGGCATACCTCCTGCCAGCTCATTCCTAACACGTTCCTCTCTTTATTCTGYTGTAGTACAAGATATAATTCACTGGGTGTCTGTGATATGCCAGGCACTGTCTATCCTAAGCACTCGCCAGCACCACCCTGTTAAACCCTGTGGCCTGTGTGAGAACCCACGTGTTCCAGGTGAGAAGATGGGGCGGGGGCGGAGCAGCTAGCCCAGGTCACGCACGCAGGAGCTGGTGCCGCAGCTGACTCCTGTCCACCCTGGATCTCACAATTCCCCTTCCCCGAGGACCATTCACTCTAGCAGGAATACCTCCTGCTGTGCCAAGTACCTGTTGCCACCTGCCTCGACCACCTGTGGACATGAGCCATCCCTGGACCTCAGTCACAGCAGAGACCCCACCCTGGCAGCTCCGTGCGCCTTGTTTGTGTTGGTGAGCGACGTCTCTCGMTGCAGCCCAGGCGGAGATCTGGGGCGAGGCTGAGCCCGTTCAGGTTGCATTGGCACAGCCTCCAGAGACAGGGGCTTGCAAGTTGCTTTTGATGGACACGATCAGACCCTGGTGCTGTGTCCCTCTTTTCCGGGCTCCTCCAGGGTCTGGCTTTGAGGCTTCCCAGAGTCCCACTGGAGGTCAGGCCACGGCCCACTCAGGTGGCAGTTGCTACGCAGTTCGGCCCCCTCCGAGGTTTTAAACAGCACCCTCCTTACCGAAGTGCTGGCTGGAGACCCGCATTGTTTTCAGGTCTAGATTGCCAGCACCAGAGGAGTCCTGTGGGGGGCAGGTGGGGGACAGAAGGCAGAAGCCCTGGCAGCAGGTGGCAGGAGCCAAACTTCATCTCTCCAGCCCTGCTCCTGCCCACCCCATCTTCCAGCCCACTGGTCTTGGCCCGTGGGAACACAGACAGGACTTTGCCCCTAATCCCTTCAGATTCTGGCTTTCTGTCTGGAAGGCAGAAGGGAACTTGGATGCCATGTTCATCCTTGTAGGCCCCGTGGTCTGACCCTGTCCTCTCGCCTGTCCCCCTTGCTCTCAAGGCCCCTCCCAGCCCAGGCTGCTCTTTGTGGGACTCTACACTCAGCCCAGATGCTGCCTGCACCCTCCCTGCTCACCCTCAGGCCTTACTTCCCCTAAAAGCCTTCTCGGCCACCGACCGCTCAAGGAGCCAGCCCGGCTCTCTGTTCTGTCCTGCCACTCGGCTATTTTGAGGCACTCAGCACAATTATGATTACTTATGTCCTTAGTTATTTGATTCATTTGCCTAGCCTATCCTCTCAGCACCCCAGTGGTCAGCCGCACAAGGGCAGG